TAGAATCAAGTTAACACATTTTGTTCTATTTAGGACCAATAAGTCTAATGTACACACTTCAACCTCTGTAAGTGTCGATGTTTTCAATAAGACTTAAATATAATGCGCAATAACGTAAATACTGTTACAGGCATACAAACAGAGGAAATATATTTAGTATCCAAATATGATATATACTTGGTCATACGTATGCGTGAAATGACAATTGAAAAACAACCTTAAGATTCTATCCTTGATAGTCACCCAGTTCCCCAGTAAAGAGAAAAGGCAATAAGATAAAAGGTGTATTGTATACTTCAAAAATATGTAGAAAACACAACGGTTTATATAACTTTCAATGACCTTGACTATTTCTAGGCTTCTCTACAATCGAATATCCCATTTGATTTTTACCTCTTCAACCAATCTGATATTTACATGTAGATTCATGTACTCTATTTCAGAACTTCTAAGCAGCGCAATGGGCCGTGAAACGACTTAGAGAATCTTAAGCGAATCTGTACAACCTTATCGCATACTGTATCACTATAACTGACTCAAACAACAGCTAAATTTTAACTGTTGCTAAAGTAGAATTCCCATTTACATTATTTATCCTTTTTTTGTGGATCATATATCATTGTAGAAAAGCAGAAGAAGTAGAAGAGTAAAACAAGATATTTTACCATCATCATCAATAGCAATATAACACCAAGTAACTGTCCAAGTTGACACACATCACATCAGCACATAAAGTACTAAGATGGAAAACAAAGAAAAATTAAAACCAGTCAAAAGTATTAAAGGTAAAGCAGGAGGAATGAGAAAATGCTGAATTCAGTGCAGCATTTCAGATGAAAAAAAATATGTGGATACATCTGCACCACTGACATCGATCCAAAACCATATCACTCAGGGTCTACAACCAATGATTTCTCTTGTCATGCAGACCACAACCAGCTAGTCTGTATTTCCCAACACGGCTCAGACCAACAGTCAGACACTTCATGTTGTGAGGCAATGTTTGAATTTACCCCCCCCCCCCTCCATCCCCCACGCCACAGATGCGTAACACATCTCATGGCCACCTCAGTCAATGAATATTCACAACCACATCAAATGACTTCCCACTCCACTCTACACCTGACTACTGCTTTACTGATGTGGTGATATCACGATACATGGGTTATACGATGAAGATAATCGTGATAGAACACCTGAAGTCCTCTCATCTCATCACCTTTTATTAACCATGTTTCATAATCGTGCAGTAGAAGGGAGCGAACTGTAGCGCAGTGCATTCGACCTCTACTCGACGATCGCATATCACAGTGGCGCCATAAATAGCGTAAGTTAACAAACGTCAAGGGAACCTTAATGTTAATGGAATCAGCAATCATGAGAAATTATACGTTTCACACGTGAAGTAGAATTGTCTCATTCTCTGTGAATTTCACCTTAGCACAAGTGCTTACAGATAGCGTCGGGTAAAAAAGCTGTGTACCGATTTTGACAAGCACCATCATCACCATGATTGTGATCATGATTTTGTTTCAAATGGATAACAGGCTGCAACATTTGAACAGGTCAACTATTTATAATGGATCCACTTCATGCGCCATCATCATCATCATCATCATGATTGTGATCATGATTGGGTTTTCAATGAATAACAGGCTGCAACATTTGAACAGGTCAATTATTTATCATGAAATTTGTAATCTGATGCTGAAAGTGATATGGAGTAGGAGTAGGGGTAGGGGTCGTGGTGTTGCAGTGACAAGAAAAAAGGTGGATGGTATGAACGAAGAAAATTCAATTCAATTCAATTCAAATCGAATCAAAATCATCATCATGTGTAATTAATGTGATAACACATCCATTATATTAAGTTGTATGCATAGTTAGTTGGCTGTGTGTCAAGCAAGGGAGAGAGAGAACTAAGCGCTGTATGTTGAGAGTGGAATCCATGTGGTGATTGCGTTGTGTCATTTCAAATTATATAAATGATGGTGGTTTACGGGATGGGAGAGTTGTGAAGGGGGTGGGGGGTGGGCGAACTGCCTGATTCTCACGTCTCGTTTGCGGAAAGGACAGAGAGAGGAGAGACTGACTGACTGACTGACTGACTGACCAACTTGTTCATGAATGGTCGTCAATCGAGACCAATGGCGCACGTTGAAAGTCAGTAGTAGTAGTAGAAGTAATACTGAATATAAATAGCCGAGCCGAATATCACATGCTTAAAAAAATTACAGCGAGAGAAATTTGTTTTCGGCTAATTGGTTGGTGCCAAGGGGAAAAGTGGTTTTCGTTAGCTGCACTATTATCGCTAGTATCCTTTTGATGATGATGATGATGATGATGAAGAGAAGTCTGTCACAGTCTATCATAAGCAAAAACAAGAGCTGCTGCAACTTCGACAAGAGAAGCAATTTGACAAAGCAGAAGAAGCCCGAGAAAGTGTTTGTTATTCAGGCGTTGACTACTAAATTATCAGTCAGTCAGTCAGTCGGCAGAGAGTGAGCGGTCGGAGAAGTGAACACAAAAATCTTGATTCTGCTGTCAACTGAATTCATTCTCCTGCTCTACACAAACTCATCTCACCTTTGCATCAATCTCATTGCTTTACAGGGAGTAAGAGAAGGAAGAAGAAGAAGATTTATTTTCTGCTACAAAAGTCTATATCTTATTACCAGAAATTGTGGTCGAGTGAGCACAAGAATTTTATCTATCCTGTGCTAAACACAATATATCTCATAAACGTGAGTTTATATGACATTTATCATTATTATTATTATTATTATTATTATTATTATTATCTTCATGGGCTCGCTTTTGAATCATGTTATATTTGATAACCAGTCAGTCAGTCAGTCAGCCAGCCCGCCCACCCACTAGGAGGAGGAGGAGGAGGAGGAGGATGTGGAGGAGGTGGAGGAAGCCAAGAGAGAAATAAATAATAGTTGGTAGCTAAATTATCATTATTACATTATTATTGTTATTATTACTCGACATATTCTTCAATCAAATGGATAATATTGACTAGCCTATTATGCGAGTAGAGTGAATTTACGATCACATGAGATGAGATGAGACCAGTTGAAATGTTTGTTATTTGTTCTCTAGTCATTATCCCCCGATGTTGATGACTGACTGATATGCGAACGAGATGTCTGAGGAATGACCGACTGAGTGAGTGAGTGAGTGGATGGGTGGCTAGAGGTGGGAATTTCTTAGATAATACGAATTAGTGGTTGACTGACTGACTCTAGGTGAAATGGGCCACAATGGCACTGATTTAGTCACTCTTTTTTGTCGTCTTCTAATCTAAAGCTAAGCTTGACTAGGTGTGACTAGGTGTGTGAACTATTGAAGACCAGTCGTGCAGCAACAACTTACATTTCAGTAGTGGGAAACGCACCCTAAACATTCTCAAATCTCCACTCAAGATGTCTAGAAGACTCGGTAACTCGACAGCGTCTTCGTATGGTATAAGGTTGAACAGACCATAGAATCACCAAGACATCCACTACATAATTATGACTTTTCAAAGTGTAATGGAGATTAATGTATATGTCTTGATAAAAGCTTCAAAGAAAAGCATTAACTATTCAAACAACACTTTTACCATCGTTATCGTCAAAAGCTGAGACAACACAAAAAAAATGTAACCTTAAGAATAATACAGAATTGATTTATAATACAAAGTAAATACATGGAAATATATTATATGATTAAAAAATAATAATAAATCAAACATTTAACTTATCTACATAACTATTTTCTTTTTAATAAAAAACATCTCTTGATACACTTTGAAGGAGATTAAAAAAAGAGTTGATAGGCAGAAGAATGAGTGCTTATCACCAACAGTTTAAAGGCTGAATACCCTATGAATGTTGTTCACAAAAGGGAGTCTCTCTTTTACATATATATATATATATATATATATATATATATATATACACAGAGGGAGAGAGAGAGATACGATGATCTAACTGAAAAAGACAACTGGACTAATATATATTCACTAAACAAGCGTAAACTGTGAGAGAAAAAAGAGAGGAATACTGCAGAAGAAAACAGGGAGAAAACAATTTCCTACATATGAATTCACATTAGACCAATAGAATAAAACATGGGTGATTAATTCGGTGATTTTATTTTTGAGAAAAAAAAAGGAACACAGAACTTACTTGAAAACAAACATGAGGAATAATTTCATCTACAATAGAATCCTATACAATAAACGAAAAAAGTATACAAATAAAACTTTAAAACTAGAAGGAGGAAGAGCGTACTTTGTACCCAATAAAATAACGACTTGACAAAACAGTACTAAAATGAAGTACAGAGAAATAAAGGAAAGAAAGCATAAATAAGTCTGTTTCCATAAGGTTGTACATATTAGCTTGCTTGCTTATTTTTTTTGTGGAACAATGATGAACAAGGAGAAAATTTTTAGAGAAAACAAGCATACTGATGAAGAATTTCAAAAGAAACTAAAATAATTCACAGCCCTATTCGTTGTCAGAGTTGTAATCTAAAGACAGAAACAGAAGAAAATTAAGCAGACCACTTCATATATAAAAGTGTAATATATATATATATATATATATATATATATATATATATATATATATATATATATATATATATATACCTTATGTACAAATATGCTGAAATAGAATGGTAGTTTCTAAGATGAAAGTGAACATGTATATTCTCTACTTACCTTTGGTATAAACACATTTGATACTGAATACAATGAGTAGTAACTTAGTTATCGTTGTTTTGAACGATGTAAAACTAATATGTATATCAGATAGAATATATATATACACACACACACAAAGTGATAAAGAAAATTCTTTTTACAGAACCTGAACATCAAATGGATAATTTGTACAGAAAAGATGCACAGGAATCATAAGACATCTCATGTTCACAAGAGAATGAATGACGCCAAAAGTAATAAAAATTTCAATAAAAACATATCAGTAATATCTCGGTGAAAGTTAATCTCTGTGGTTTAATAAATAATCCATCAAAAACTGATTATTATTATTATTATGATTACCACTGTTATAAGTAGTTACATCGTCTATATCATTGACTTCAATCACACCTTTATCCTCCCAAATAGCTACATAATGACCATCTAATAATGGTGGACCTCCTGGAAATGCTAATAATGCGATAGTTCGATGACAGAATGATCGTGAACTTAAGTCAGGATTATTTGGTGTCCATCGGTGAACACGGTAAGCTTCAAGACCGGAAAAAATAGATGACTGACAAGCAGAATATGTTAAACTTTGTATAAACCATTCTTTTGAAGGCCAGGATAGTTTGTTCAAATGTTCATTTAGAATTTGACTTGTATCAGTAATCTAGTAAAACAGAACCACCGGTTAAATATATGTTAGAACAGAGAAATTTAAATGAACGAATTTAAGTGATCGCAGTAGTTAACCAAGTATATATATATATATATATATATATATATATATATATATATATATATATATATATATATATATATATATATATATATATATAGGGGGCATTAGAGGGTCAGATAAAACTGTGTCCCACCTTGACTGATTAGGTAAAAGCCAGGACTATTACCACGTAATGATCAGACCTGTAAACTGGTTTGTACCCATGCAACCTATGTTGTATGAAATATATAATTATTATTATTATATATTAGTGAGTCACAAATATGTACAAACACGTATATTTGCTATATTGCTTCTGCCTTCATTGATAATGGATATCAACCCAACAGTTATAGTTCCAATGTACCTTTTCTCCAAGACAATATCGGTTTCCAGTATTCGAAAGGAAGTTGATGAGTAGTGAATGACAAACAGGTTGATTTTTTAACCCTTCATTAATTCCAATAAATAGTTGTGTATTAGTGTTACTGAGTTACTCATTTCTTTCTGAAAATAATAAACCAGATCCATTCTATGATGTCACTGGAGAACCTTAAAAATGAATTAAAGACTGTAAACATATATAGACAACAAATATATGCGACGTTTTTGAAAATTCAAAACAACCAACTACATCAACATGTTAATAACGATCACTGAAGTGGTCATGAGTGCATACTGCTGAGGAACACTATACTAAGACAAAATAATGAATGTGTCTGGTCTGGCAAATACTAAATACGATTAAACAAATAGTAAGTCCAGACAAGTCATCTTATACTATTGTGGATGAGAGATACATACTTTACAAACATACTCCCCTATTAGGAACTTCATTAGAGAGAGTAGAGGTAAATCTGTTGACGAGGTTATGAACCCTCATCGATTGAGGTGGTTGGGACACGTACTACGTATGCCTGCCTAGTCACCGATTGCCTCGTCACACAATGTTGACCGAAGTAGGTCCAGGCTGGAAAAAGGCCTGAGGTGACCAGACTAAAACATGGCACCAATGTATCAAGTCTCTGACTGTTGGTTTGAGCCATGTGGGGCGATGCAAACTAGGTGGTTTGGGTCGGCAGGACAAGAGGAACCAGTGGTTGGAGACTGTAGGTGATGGCATCGCTCAGAACCGATGTTAGTGGCGCAGATGTATACACACATTATCCTCACCTTAACGACGCTATACCGAATCTCACCACTTTTCATTATTCCTTTCTCTCTTTTCGAACTTTAATATTTCTCTTGAATTCTCTTATCTTCATCTTGCGCCTGACTGCCTTTTTATTTGATGCAGTGATATGAGCTTTGGCAACTCAAACCGTTATGCAGTATTGCCTGGTCCTATGTCTAAACTGACGATGATAACGATGATTAGAGAGAGAACATGTATTGAGGCGGAATAATGATTCATTATACCGATAGGTTCTTCTCCGTATCCCTCGTCAACATTCTCTGGATAATACCATACCTTACTACACCATCTCGCTTCTTGCTAAAGGATTTGATCTGACTGCTCTAAGTACGTTTAAATTCGTTTGCATAAGTCATAGGTTTCAAACTGTAAGCGCCTGATGAGAAACAAACGAAACAGCTTCAATAGTTGTTCATTCTCAGATACTCAGACGGACAAAAGCAACGTAGAACTTCGTGCATAAATGCATCGGCTTACGTTGTCACACTTCCTAGTAGTATGTAAAGAATACAAGGATAGTAAGGAGCGATATCAAAAAAGACAAGGTTGCATGAGAGGATAAACAATTTGTAGACACTATTTAGTGCGAATATTCAAGCTTTAGAAGACGATAAGGAGTGAACACATCTCCGCCACTGTGACCGGTTTTCAGTCATGTCACCAAGAGCCCTCAACCATGGATTCCTATCGTCTCTAGGATCCCAGCCAGGCAGTCCACACCTTCCAACAGGGCTTAGAGCAACAATCAAAAACTATCATGAAATGATGCCATATAATGATTCTTAATTCAAGGGACATTTTTCTTCTTCATTTACTAGTTTAGGAGAACTTGTTACATTAAGCGTCTTAAGAAGCGGATCACACAAAAATTGTAGGAAAAAAGTATGAAGAAAGACGATCCGAATAGATGCATTCAACAAGAAATTCCGTCAACTTTTAACAAATATAAAATAACAATTGTACCATGATGGTGACTAGTTTTATAATTCCGAGCTAAATATGATATCCTATCAAACCAATGTGTCGCATAAGGAGGTCTAGCGTACCCTGATTGACTATAAAGATGCGATGCTGCATCTTCTTCTAAGTTAACACAAACACCTACAATTCTATGATACTGCCTTCAATAGATCCTTCAGAACTTTTTTGTTAAGAGAGATTGTACATTTTTATAAAAATGTAACTATTTAACTGAAAATAATTAATAATAAATGGGGAAAAAACAGGAATACTTCTCAAAATTTAGCTACCTGTTTAGAAACTTAAGAACCATTAAATAAAAGAATATCAAAATTGAAAAGTTGTTATTCATCGTAGACTGACATCAGCTGGAGGAACAAAGGAAACCTGGGAGAACTGGACAGCTGTTTCGTCCTAGTATGGGACAGCTGTCCAGTGTTCCCAGGTTTCCTTTGTTCTTCCAACTGATGTCAGTCTACGATGAATAACAACTGGAAATAATTCCAAATCTTCACAACTCCCTCAAAATTTAATATCAAAATTGAAAAGTTAAATAATGTTGAACAAAATACGAAAAAAAAGGGGGGGGGGAATATTTACCTTAACTTTTGACTTTTCCTACAGAACTGCTCTGAATAAAGATAATCAAAATTATGTCCATCACGAATAGTACTCGTCGATGATGCAGTTCCTCCAGTTGTATTATCTAAATCATTTTGTTGATGAATTAATGCAATCAAAGTGGTTTGTTTATCATATTCGAATTGTTTAGATGACCATTTACTTGTACTAGTCGATGGGTAACCAGGAACTGATAATTTAGAAGATATTTCAATACAACTGACAACAGGATAACCAGTCTTCAGATATTCATTTGTATTACATGCAGACTGTGATATGTTTATAGTAGACTCTACTTTATCTGAAATAGTTGATTAAAAAAAAATTCAGAGTTTCATGCACGTATTCTTGTGTATACATCAAAGATTACTTAAGCATCAGATTGAACTAACTTAGTCAACTTATAATCTATAGGGGTTTTATTGACCTGAAAGTAGGTATTATCATGGACTAACATCAAATTGAGAACCAATGAAAACTTAAGAGTATAGCTGTTTCATCCCTATATACAAGACTCTTCAGTAATACACAACCACGAAGAGTTCAATATCAAGAGAATACGGTTAAATGTGATCTGGAGTTTTCAATGATTCTCTTCAACTGGATGTCAGTCCGTAATGAGAACCACGTTTCAAACTAACAGAAATAGTCGCTTCGCTTTATCAAAACTAGAAGATTGTTGTGTAATTTAAACATAGAAGTGAGTAAGGAAAAAGATATAAAGATTTGATTAATTAGCAAAAGGTAAATACGAATTCTCCTCTACGATTTATCTCATACAGTATCGGTTTCCTAGAGGTTTAATACGATAAATTTACAACCCAAAAACCTCTACCCTTCTGTATTACCTCTGTATCAATTTTTCATCATCATTATCAACATAGGACCAGGCATTACTGCGTAACGGTCCAACTTGCCACACCTCATATCAGCACATCAAGTAAAAATGTAGTGAGGTGAAGGATGAAGATAAGTGAATGCAGTCAAAAGAAATATAAAGCATGAGAAGAAAAGAAAGAAGAGTGACAAAATGGTGAGATTCGGTATAGCGTTGTTAAGATGAGGATAATGTGTGTATACATCTGCGCCACTAACATCGGTTCTGAGCGATGCCATCACCTACAGTCTCCAACCACTGGTTCCTCTTGTCCTGCCGACCCCAACCACCTAGTCTGAATCGTCCTACATGGCTTAAACCAACAGTCAGAGACTTCATATATTGGTGCCATGTTTTAGTCTGGCCACCTCAGGCCTTTTTCCAGCCTGGACCCACCTCAGCCAACATTGTATGACGAGGCAATCGGTGACTAGGCATACGTAGTAGGTGTCCCAACCATCTCAGTCGATGAAGGTTCACAACCTCGTCGACTGACTTACCTCTTCTCCCCAAAACTCTACACCTAACTTCTGCATTACTCATGTGGTGAGTAAGCAACTGGTAAGCACTAAAACACATGTGGCCTAAGAGACAAGTAATGGGTACTGAAATTAGTTTGAATAATATGATATAACAACAATCAACGTTCTCTCCATATTATTCTATAACTAACAATTTGATAGGAAGAGGCCTGAATGTAAATAAACATTTTAAGTCACCAGTCGCTACGGTAGCTAGCTTTATATTTCAATTTTTGTTTCATATCGCTGTAAGGTCCAGAAAACTTTCATTGGGCAATTTTATCCTACAGTTGGCCAATCGGAATAAGCTATTTAACCTAGTGGTCTTGTATGTTCATGAAAACTATTTTTGTCAAATAAAGTTTCTTCTTCATAGTCACATGAGAAACTTCGTCTTCTGACATTTTCATGACTCAGTGAAGTACAAAGTATTCAAGGAAAACGGTCACTATTCGTGTCTCATCCAAAATATCTCATCGCATTAGTTTTGTTCATGTATTTCTCGTTGTTCACTCGGTCACCTTCCCATTTCTAAAAGTCCCCCCGGTTAAAAATCAGTATTAAAGTTGAATAATCCCTGATAACTAATATCAGTAGGCTCAAATCAGCATAAACGATTTCGATTTTCAAAAAAAAAACAGAAATAAGTAGTTCAACAAAGAAAAAACCAACCGAAATATCACAAAAATTAGATTAAGTTTAAAAAAAATAGTCAAGGAATGAAGTAGTATCCAGACGAATTGATGTTACTGAAGAAGTCAAACGAATAAAAAAAGGCAATAATCCATTATTTCGGTATTTGTATTTCCCAATTTCCCAAACGAAACAATTTTGTTTGTTATATTGACTGGTCACTTGAGGAGTAAATAGATTTCATGTTATCTAGTATTGGGCGTTGATCAAATTTTGCTACGAAACTCACCATTGTAAACCACTTTAGTGAGTGTTGACTACTGGAAGGCAATCGATGGGAAGGTTGTTTTAACTGGTAGTTCGCTGTTTAGTGCTAATTCGGGGACATCACGCGCCAAGCCAGACTCTCGAGTGGAACGCAAAGTAGAAACGACAAGTTGGGAGTCTGAGGGTGACATGAAGGAGATGAAATGAAAGCTTCTGGGCAGTCGTTGAGCCAGGTTGAAAAGACTGCAGAGAACAGAGTGAAATGGAGAAGTGCTACTGAAATCCTATGTCCTACTAGGAACCCAAAGGACGAATACTAATAGTAATAATAATAATACCTTTATCAAAGTTATAGTAATCGAGGATTAACCGTATCTAGGCTCATATATGATAACTTTCTGCACGGTTGATTCAACGCAGTTGAAAAGAATGACGATCATATTCAGCTTCCCATTGTGAATTACTTGGCATGTGGCATCTTCATATAGTTGCTGAATGAGGCTGATAAAGATTTGCGGTACTCCGTAGTAATGAAGCAGTTTCCAAATTACTTCTCGGTCGACGCTGTCAAAGGCCTCGCCTGATTAACTAGTTCACCAGTTACTAGCCGATCCTAAGCCCGGGTAAAGAGGGAAGCTTGGCATAGGGCTAGCAACCCTACCCCGTAAAACAAATCTAACCGCTAAAGAAACTTCAAAGCACAAACAAAATATATAAAAAATCCTATGTAGGTTATCAAAATCTCTCCATATTCACAGATTCATATTCCAAATAAAATCCATTGAACAGATTAAGAATATTAAACAACCGATTAAGAATAAATTAGCGGCAAACAAATATTATGACTTCTCAATTTACTATAGAATAAAACGAATCAGGAATCATAAAGGATATCCAGAGAATGAATTGGATTTCAATATACTTTTTGAGAAAAAAAACCTATGGAAATGTTAATGACAACTTATAGTACTCTATAACCTACTTACAAACATTTCACTTCCAATTATGACTAAATTTACAGTGAGAAAGCAATTTTAATCTGCTTTTTTAAACATAGAGATGGTGTCATTTTTTTTTCAGAGGTAATATTACTGTAATAACGGTTTACGACTGTAACAGCTCAAGTTGCCACACCTTATATTAGCATATTGAGATACAGAGCAGTAACGTTATACACAGAACAGCTGAGAGTAAAAAAAAAGGTGTGATTTAAAGTCATAAAAAGTCATACGACAAGTTAAGAGGGTGTAAACCAACCATGAAATCTGATATGACGATCAAGATGACATCTAAATGCCTCTAAGCTAAATCACCTAGAGTGTATCCAACAATGTGTTTTGGTTGTAATATGAATCTGGGAATGCATATTATCCCAAATGGCTCGTATCAGAAGTTAGTGATTTCATAGACTGATGACACTTTTAAGTCCGATCATGTTTAACTTTTTCCCTAAGTAAACTTGCATTTCTGAGTGTTAGATGATTTCTTGAGAACCAATCTACATTAATCTCAATAAACTGTAAAATATAAAGAAAACTTCAAGAACCATACAAAAAGTTAACTAAAGATTTCAAAAACAAGGTAACCAGCGAAGAGGACTCTTTTCAACGAATTTATTCTCAAACTGTACATTCGTAAATATATACATATATATATGGGGTTTAAAGATTCTAATCCGTTAGGAAGATTTAACTTAAATAATGGGAGGTTGAAACAACAATAATAATAGTGGATATAACTATAATGTTGCTAGTTGATGACGTGTATAGATTAAAAAGCGGTGAGAGCATGATAGAGTTAATAAACAATCAAGGGATTAGGTATTATGAATGAGACAAGTTAACTGGAGTAAATTGAAAATGTTTTGTTAAAAGTTTCGATTATTAGAAAGATCAAATGAAATAACTCCGGAGAACAATTTAAGACTAGTAAAGATCAAGTGAAGTTTGAATGAAAGTCCTGCTGATTTGTATAAAAGACAACATCCCTCGCCAGGCCACATCCATGTGTACCTACCAGTTCACCTGCTACTGTGGAGCAAGATACATCGACCGTAGTCAGAGGTTTCTGTCAACACGTATACGAGAACATATTCCAGCCTGGTTTTGTAAGGGTGAAAAGAAATACATCAGAAGTTCTATCCTTGAGCATTTAATCGATTCCAACCATTCAACCGATCCAAACAAAGGATTTTAAGGTTGTCCATCGAATTCGCTCAAACATTTCACGTTTAATCCGTGTTCGGCTTCTAAAAACAGCAAAGGCCTTGGCTATCCATAAACTGAAGACTGACCTTTGTGTCCAAAAGAAGTATGTACAGTTTTTGTCTCTACCTTGGTCTTAATTTATGTTGGTCTTGGTGTGCTTCATTTCCTTTTTTCGTTTTTCGTCCCCCTTTTTTGTCAGATTAATCTTTGTACTCTTTGTACTCATCATTATACCCTCATTCTTATATTTAATTGTTTCCGGTGTTATTTCATTTAATCTTCCTAATCATCGAAACTTTTAACAAAACATTTTCATTATGATTCGACTGTCTGAGATGGGCGTAGTTTGGCAGACTAGTATTTGCACTCGGTGATGATTGAAGGTGAGATGAAAATCTGAACCGTGGCCGGATTTTCATCTCACATTCAATCATAGATATACAAATCATAATCAATACGATACTCTACCTCTCTGATTAAGTTAGATTTGGATTGGGATGAGAAGTCCTGACTAGGCAGCCAGTGTGAATACGATCAAGCGGCAGTAACGCGCCAAGAATTCACATGGTAGTCGGGCAAAACCCTTGGTGATTGAAGTGGAAAAAAAATTCTGGTCAGCAGTCGAACCTCGTAGCTCAGTTGGTTAAGCACCAGGCCGGTAATCCGATGGCCGCTGGTTCGAATCCAGCCGCGGTCCAGATTTCCAACTCACCTTTAACTACCACATAGTACAAAAACATTTCTAATTTACTCCAGTTAACTTGTCTGACTCATAATACCTAATCCGTTGATTGTTTATTAACTCTATCATGCTCTCACCCCTTTTTAATCTATACACGTCATCAACTAGCAACATTATAGTTATATCCACCATTATTATTGTTGGTTCAGCCTCCCATTATTTAGGTTAAATCTTCCTCACGGATTAGAGTATTTAGATTATATATATATATATATATATATATATATATATATATATATATATATATATATATATACGAATGTACAGTTTGAGAATAAATTTGTTGAAAAGAGCCCTCTTCGCTGATGTTGCAATGGGAATTATGAACTTTGGATTTGTCAACGAACTCATGCCAACAATGACACCAGTAAGATATCTGACGGCGTATCAAAAGTCTAATACATTGCAACATGTTCTACTATAGAGTTTAAAAACATGTGATTGCAGGTAAACTATTATTATTATTATTGTTTCTAAGGCGATATAACTATGCGATGTAATCACCGGACGATTAATCTAAGGTAATTTTGACAATCATTCGTAGTACCATCTGTGAATAGTTTACTCAAATCCAAATTTGTTTCATATTTTTTAAGCAATTTGTAGCTGATGTAGTGCGTGAAGCAAATGCATTCACATCTTCCCTGTAAGCACTGATAAAATGATTTCGAAAATATGCTAAGTTATTTGAGTTCTTAAAAAGAAAGTCTAATTGAAACAGCAGGAAAAAAGTTGGAACAGAAAGGCTCACACTTACTTGCCTATCCTGGCTGGTACTCTTCGCCTGACCTCAACACTGACCACACAGTGGTTCCATCGGATGAAGACACCTATGATCCAAACTCTGTAAGCCGTTCATCTCTCATAGACTTATAAAAAGACAGAACAGACTGCACCGTAGTATGTTCGTCCTTTGATAGATATCTCACCAGTCGGCGCCACAGATGACGCACGTTTGCAAATGCCGAACCAGCATCCTGTATCCAAGCTGAGATTCCATCAGCAACCGGTCCATTCATGCTGATGCAACTCCTCAAGTAAGTGAAATGGTCGACACATTCACATTGTCTAATCCTAAGAGCTGATCGACTCCTATCGATCCTTTTGCAGTATGTCCAACATTCTAGGAGACTCACCATTGTGATGTATCGTCATAGATGTTAGTTGGATGGAGGCAATCAGCAGGAAGCCTTGCTTGACCTAGGTTTTAAGCTTTTACTACTAGTCAGCAAGCCGTATATGCAACCTTGATGGAACTAATGTCTCACCTGAAATTTGAACCCGCGTCACTCAGCCGCAATGGATGTATATGATTCAATTATGTAAATACATTATGCATCTTGATAGTCATGCAGATTGGTATATGTTAGACAGAAGTAAATGGATTGTTAAGTATTATTTTATTAGTTATATAAAGTTTTCTTTTAAAATAAAATCTCTTGATACTTCCAAGTAAATCTAACATTCTCACTGTAGTGAATGAATAAAAGCATCAAAATATTTATGAATAACACTAAATAGAATACAAACCTTCATGTATTTCCGGTGAACAACAGTACCGACGACAAAAACGTGACCAACACTCACGTATACGTAACAGAATATTGACAAGTGATAATTCACCACCGCATACATGAATATAATCTTCATTGTCACCAGCAAAACTAGTTATCAATGGACTAACATAAATAGGATAACCAATAGGTGGATCACAACTGGAATTTACTAAATTTCGTAGAACTGGATTAGCACTTTGAATACTACCACGCTCTTCATTATTATTACGTAAAAATATCTGTTCACGCTGTTGTCCAGCCCATAGACCACGTACACATTCTGGATTTAACTGATAACATTCAATAAAATGAAGAAAATAATCTTGTCATAGTTATCATTAAAAAAAAAAGGATAAAAGGCATCCTTAAGTTTTTCAATAATTTTCATTTCTCACAACTAGTCAAATTCTCATCAAACTAGTTCAGTCTTCAAACCAACATAATCATCATAAGTAGTTGAACCATCAACAAATTGAACATTGAACCTAGGCATGTCTTTAGTTCTAAATATAATTTGATCGATAGAACAATGAAGATAGCTGATGATTACATTTTATGACAAGGTAAATTTGTAAAACAGATATGATACTATCATCTCCTTTTCAATCTTATGGTTTCGGGTAGCATATAACTCAACCTACGTACACTTTATAAACTTGTTTTTCTTTTACAGCTAATTTCTTATCGCATCATTTATTATCCTAACTGATTGTTAGTCAATTATTAGTCTAATGTAGTGGAGCTGTGAATCATTGGTTTAGGGAGATGACTTTACACTAATGGGTTATGGGTTCGAGTCCCGCCAAAACTATGGAGGTCTAGGCAGCCAGGTAGTATTACTAGTCCTCAGATATCAGGTGTAGCTCATTGCTTATTACACAAATGTGCACAAGGTTGCTGAGTGTATTTCAATCTTTTTAGTCTAATATAGTAAAAAAGAATTATTTAAGATAATTGCCAGCTCTAACAGGCAACTACAAGAATCATGACTATGAACTATTAAAATTGATGATAGAAACCATGGCAGCTTGTAATCTTCATTCTAACACGGAAAAGAACGACTCCTATGGATCGATTGTGTGAATTTCGAAGAAAAGAAAATTGATAAAATGCCCTTAAGTGATCAAGAGGATAGGGGAAATAGTCTTCATATTAGCCTTTCATTGAAGTCCCCTATCTCCGCATGGATACGAAAAGATCATTCCACGTTCGACAACTTCTACGACGACACCAGGATATCATATTTCCCGTTAATGGTTGAGGGTAATGAATAGTGGTTAGTTGTGTTCCATTATATGAGCACATAGGAACGCAAAAGTCAACCAAAGAATTTCAGGTAAAAGGCGTGAGTTACATAGTGAGGCAGTGAACTTTCATCGACCTAGATGCCTGTGATACAAGTTATATATGTCTACTCAACGTCTGCTTCGTCGCACAATTTTAGCTGAAGTATGTTTACTTTCCAAGAAGGTTGAAGGTGGACAAAGTAAAACATTGTATTAGTTCACGAAGTCGTTGACTGTCAAACTGAACCATGCAAGAGAATGCAGACATCTCAGTTAAAGTCTGTATGACAATGGGAATCGGAAGTTGGAGACTTTATATGATATGACAGAAAGCTTATCTGAGTTGTGCAGCTGCATTCATATTTTATCTTTGTCGTGACCTCCTAGATAAGTTTCATTACAGTTCATTTCTTTCTTGTCCTCTGTCATGACTTCCTACAACTTGCGACTGCGTTCCTCCTAATTTCTTTATCTCCAACTTAGGCTCAATGTACTTTGGTGTACTTATGAGGTGTGATCAACTTGGACCATTACTGAGTGATGCCATGTCCCACATTGATGCTAACTATGACTCTGATACGCACCACCACCACCACCACCACCAACAACAACAACAACAACAACAAACTCCAGTCACCATCAATGGGAGAAACTTAAAGGAAGTAACCTCCTTCACTTATCTAGGAAGCACTGTTTCAACTACAGGCAGCGGTGGCACAGACGAGGATGTCAAAGTCAGAATCGGAAAAGCAAGACAGGCAGGTGTTCATTAGCCTGAAACCAGTGTGGAGATCTTCTGCACTCAGCATGCTTAACAACATCCGGATTTTCAACACGTCAACGTCAAGTCAGTGCTTCTGTATGGTTCAGAGACTTGGCGCGTTACGAAAGGGATTTCCAATAAACTACAGACATTCATCAACAGCTGCCTAAACTGGCTCGCTACTGAAGATCAGTGGAGATGGCCAGAAAGAATAAGCAACAAGGAATTCTGGCTGGCTGTCAACGAACCAACCAAGAACCTATTGCTCAACAAATATGCAGGAGGAAGTGGAGATGGACTGCATTGGGCATGCACTGAGAAGGCCGACTGGGGACATCACGCGTGAGGCCAGTTGCTCGAGTGGAACCCCGATGGGAAGCGACGAGTTGGACGTCCGAGGGTGACATGGAGGAGATCGTGTGAGGAGGAAATGAGAGCTTCTGGGCTGTTGTGGAACCAGGTTCAAAGATCTCAGAGAACAGAGGTCACTGGAGACGTGCTACTGAAGCCCTATGTTCCACTAGGAACACAAGGGACTAATAATAATAATGTCTCTGATAGGAAATGACTTAGCTAAACCAGAGAACATTGTCTTACCATAGCCGACACAAACAGGTTTAAACAGGAATCATAGAATGATAAATTATTTTTTTCGTTTATTATTGACTTTGAGAATAAGTTGATATTAGACAGTGCGTTAACGCATCTTTAAGTGATGGTTCGTGATACTAATACTTGATATTTCGATGAAATAAATTGATTTTTTATAACTATTCAACGATATTATCTCTACAGACCGGTACATAAATGACAACAGAACTCATCATGAATGTCTGGTAGAGATTTTACACCTGATAACCTAACTCCCACTTCCGATTTTCCTAAAAAATTCCATGGAGAAATCATGTTACTTTAGCTCTTAATCTCAGTTGTAAATACACTAAACAATAAAACAGTAAACTCGAGTAAGTAACTAGGTACATTATAAGCAACAATTACTAATTTTCAACTGACTTTTATAGCTCTAAACTCTAATCTCCTTTTAGTAAGTTGAACAATACGATAAACATCCATAGAGGTACGACCAGACACCCAACGAAATGAAAACAAACAATCAGCATCGTTTAGAACGGCAAACCTCCATTTTGGATCCGTTTCTTGACAAATGACAACATTCTTCTCTGTATAAACAATCTTTTTGTATAGTTCATGGTGTGCGTTACCTGAAGACCATGTAAAAGTATCCTATAAAACAATAATAAAGCGTTTATATATAAATGAAAAAAGTAGGTCACAAAAATGAAATGGATAAGACATTTTCTTTGTTGATATTCACACATCAAGACCACCCTTCATGGTATCAGATCATGAGTCTCAAATAGGAAAGAACATGAGCTTTGAATACCAAAGCTGAGCAATAGGAAATAGTATGAAAATGCAAATTGTAAAAATAGCTTGCACCAGAATGAACCCAAAACTTGAGTGGATTGGAAGTGAAGCCAAGATTTACTCAACCTTAATAATAATTGAATATGGATGAAAGGTCAAATAGTTCAGTTTACTGACAACCGATGGTGTCCACTGGAGATGTCAAATACCATCATTCCTGAATAACTTTGTTACAAACATCCAGTTGAATATAACTTTACGTAATTTCTACTTTTCAGGGATTGAGTTACTTCCTGGATAGCATCTGGTTAGGTTTACTTAGGGTATGCAGGCAACATTGTCCTGTTAGGCAAAAGCACTGACAAAATCCACACTTATCCGAATGCTTTGATCATACATTTAGCACCTGCCAAATGTAGGATTATGCTGCAGGACTGGTTTGCATCCAACCTCTTATATAAGGATAGAGAGTGAAATGGTGGAGCACGGTAACCACTTTACCTACTTAAAAAGTGACATCATCTCGAAAATATTGGTTACTGATGAAATCTTAGATCGGATACAAAATTCCTGTTCGGCATTTGCCAAATAACTTCACCTTTAGTCTCAGCTAACTATTAGCAGAGGAGTGTACTGTGCAACAGTTCGCTCCATCCTGTTATACAGCTGTGAGACAAGACTTCAGGAAAAAGATATTAAAAGATTACAGGTATCTTCGAAGCATTGCTTGCTTGTGATAGACTCGCCTTGTGACCAATGTTTAAGTTAGGCGGAGGGTACAAGACAAAGAATTTGTAAGCTTTCATTGATTGAAGTAGCTCAAATATGTTTTGGCTATGCAGAGGCACAGTCAACCTCGGTGTGCAATGTTAGCCGGCATAAGATTGGGTTGGATGAAAATAAAGTTCCCAAACGAAGAAGTGCCACCAGTACATAAAGTCCTTAACTGATTAGTCTAAACGTTATAGAGAGTTATAGGTTGCTAGGCTGGAATCAATGGTTGGTGGCTATTGATGGCATAGTTAGAAAATGGGTACAATAACACAGATATATCCTAGAGAATTTGAACTCTTATGTTTTTCTCTCTCTTCTCTCAAACATGCTTGTCTACTTTCTACCCACTTCTTCTATCCATGCTGCTGTGAAGTGTGGCAAAGTAAACGAGTTCATATATGTGCCAGGTTCTACATTAACCAATCTGACTGTCTGCCTTATCGACTTTATATCAACCAGTTCTTATAATCATGAACTAATGATATTAAAAACTACATGGACAACAAATGAATCACATTCGTTTAGCCCGAGACTAGTTATCAGAAGGTTAATCAATCTTTCATTTATTTTTCAATACTATTTAAAGATGTGCGCCTAAATATTTGATTATCGTAGATCATGTTAATGAAAATTCATTTGCATAATAACCCTAGGATAATTTCATTCTATAACAACATCAAAAAATCCTGATGAATAGAATATTGAGACAGGTAAAGCCACTGAAAAGAAAGATACTCACTTGATACAATTTTAATGCAATACGAATACTTGGAGTAACAACTGTTTGAAGCAGATCAAGATCCACTAAAACCCAATCATCTCTTGGTACTAAATTAATATCTCCAGAAAATACTTGATGGACACCGTGCAGAAATTGATCCAGTCTAAGGCAAGTGAATTAATATGAACAAAGTTTCAAATTTATTTCAAACATGGATCGAGTACTCCAACAAAAGGAATATTCAGTGGGAAGTGTGTTTAAAGCAAACACCGTCAATCTAATCTAAGCTTCTTATCCTACATTTCAAACTGTTTGACTGCTGACAGAAAATGATCTATTAAACTTAAGTTTTCGATTCGATACACTCAGCTATCAACCATCATCAGACAACTGAAACTGACACTGCAATTCCAAATTATGATGTTAATATATGCATTGAACTATGAGCATACATTTCATATATAATGAGACCATAATATAACTAATCAGTTGCTCATACCTATATAGGAGAAGTAAAACTGAGCTACAAAACATATCCATTGAGTCATAGAGAAGAGATAATTCAGCGAAGAAAATTTTCTTTCTCGAAGATATCATTTTCTAAAGTTGTACAATCGTATTTATATAGATCATAAAACAGTAGGGTATAATTATATCATTAACCTAGTGCTGAAAAAAAACCCGCAATCAAGAATGCAAAGTAGTTGCGTAATAAACTAAGACAGTAGAAATATCGAGGAAGGTAGGGAGTTTGACAAGGTGAAAATTGTTGATGGATAAGAAACGCAAATATTGAGTGTCCACTTGATAGATAGATGTTAAGAAGGTGAAAACTGAGACTAGGGTCACGATGAAGGTGATAATAATAAACTTATTAATTATAATGAAATCGTAAAAAAAGGAAGGTGTTAAGACCGTGGTAAGATGAGAGATTGAACATACTCCTTTTGTACGCAGAGGTCAGGCTTGAATTGATGAATTGCCGATGCCTTCGCTGTGCACAACTGTCGAAGGCGTACTCCTTTTGAACTATTCCATCTGACACGATAAATGACATTGAAGGAGGATTCTTGTCTAGCTTTATGTCCAGAGATGACCAAATGTTCAAGAATTGAACTGTCAACTGATTTACATTCTCCCGTCGACAAGTATGCAGTATAGTGCTTAGAGATACGTTTGGAAAGCGTGCGCTTTGTGCGGCCTATATAGCTAGCTTCACAGGAGCAAGTAAATTTGTAGACACACATCGAAGTGGCCGAAAGTGGCAACCCATCCGGAGTGCGTTAACGACAGGCAAACTCCTTGCCTTCCTCGGTATTTCTACTGTCTTAGTTTATTACGCAACCACTTTACATTCTTGATTTCGGCTTTTTTAGCATTAGGTTAGTGATGTAGTTATACCCTATTGCTTTATAATAGACTGCTATATGTTTATGGTATATATGAATACGATTGCACAGCTTTAGGAAATGATATCATCGGAAAAGAAAATTTTCTTCGCTGAATTATCTCTTCCCTATAAAACTGAGGTACTGACTCGGGAGAATTTTGCAATCAAGTACCAAACACACTCAGCTGCAAACTATACACCCTTTAAACTTTAAATGAATGAATATCCCATGAAAGAGACAATAGTTAAATGTAGATAATAGTGAAATAGAACCATTCCATTTACAGAGATAGTTTCAGTAATGTGACTTGACTATGATATCCACAAAGCGACATGGATTTCACCAGACACCAGGACACACTAGAAATCAAATCGACTTTATCTCAATCTCAAGAAAGTGGAGACGCAGTCTACTTAACACAAGGGCAAGAAGAGGAGCAGATGTAGGTTCAGACCACTATCTAGTGCAAGGAACCCACCTTCCAAATCAAGTTAAAAGCCTTCAAGAAATCTGGTGATAGACCTCAATTCAAGTACAACACTCGGAAACTGAAGGATGAAACTACAAAGGAGATCTTCACGTCAGTCATCAAGACAAAATGGGAGATATCGAGGAACATCCCTGAAGAAACCTGTGTGGAAAAACACTGGAAGTCTTTGAAAGAGATGTGGGAAGAAACTTGCATAACCAAGCGTATTAAGGAAGGAAGAAGAAAGAAGATAAGAAATGGATCTCGATGGACACATGGGAGCTGATAGAGGAGACGAGGATCATGAAGCAGAAGATAAACTAGTGTAAGGATGCTCAACGACCTGAAGAGGAACTGAGTACAATGTATAAAACACTGGACAAAGAAGTGAAGAAGAGTGCATGGAAAGACAAAAGACACTTCTACGAAACACTGGCAAGTGAAGCAGAACAGGCTGCAAGTAGGGGAGACACAGATCTGACGACATTGTATCAAATAACCAGGTTGTTATCTGGGAAGAGATCAACACAGATGACTATGAACTACTTATTCCATAACAAACAGACAATCAAGGGTATTATAATAATAACCATCGAGTATTCAATAAATTCTTACTGATTTTTACAACATTCAACTAACAACTAACGTCACAGTACTTTTAAAGTATAAAGTGATGACTACAATAAGTAATTACTTTTAAAGAAGATGACGTAAGCAGATTGTTCAGATGTTTTACTGTTATTGTTGTTCAAGGTATAGAGTGGATAAAGATGAAGCCATTCTTCACACTGTAATCATACGATAGGCTAGATAACAAATACACAGCATCTGTATTCATCATCGTAACTAGCAGAGGAATCCTAGTGGAAAAAGGATTTCAGTTTGAAGTGATACGTAGTGAGTTTGAGTGTCAGTAAGAACAAGATCACTCACTGAAGTACAGGCACGTACGGCTGATGAGTCCCAAATAAGACGAAATGCAGGTTCTGAATTCCACCGTTGGTCATCAAGATGAATACAACATCATGAATAACCTACACGGCTTTGGTATCCGCATAGGAGTCAATCTGTCAACAGACATCAAGCAATTCTACACTGTATAGCAAAAAAAAAACTACAAGTATCCAACAATTACACAACTGTTTACGGTAAACTTGAAATAAATCAAAGTTCTAAATAAAAACCTATACACACATATCAATTTCACTTAAGCTGCACGTCTCACCAATTGATTTCTCCCTATTATGCTAATTTGAAATGTAATGAGCGATCAAGATGTATTCATAGTTATTTTAGGTTTCATGTAGTTGATTTTTGCCTGAGAAAGCTGCATAATTTGATCAGTAAGTTTAACAATAAGAAAAAAATTTTGTTTCTTGTTTCACATAAAAACTTACATATGTTTTGAGGATTGATTACCACCCATACATCGTCTACCCAACAAGCTTAATGCTAAGCATAATGATACCACAAGAGAATCTGGACCACATGGTACAGACTGAAAAGAAAGGGAACAATAACGTAAGCATGTTAATAAAAATATAAAATTAACTTTGAAAGGATTGGAAAAGAAACGCTAAAACTATGTGAGAAACATGTAACAACATTATTTTTAAAACGATCATATCGCTTGGATTGCATTCTATATATAAAAATACTGACTTTGCCTGAATCTTCAAGGAAAAAAGCGTGAAGACATGGTATAGTTGAAAGTCATGAAGTTGTGGCTCAATGGTTTACGGAGTTGACTTTCAACCAATGTGTCACAGGTTCAAACACTGCCCTATCTACCGAGGTCTGGGCAGCCAAGTAGTATCATCAGTACCCACACACAATAAGTGTGGCTCTTAGCCTACTGCATGAATATGCGCAAGATTGTTCGAATGGATTTTGATTTCGACTAGATTTTTTAGTTGAAAGTCAGAGAAAACCTTAAAGACATAAGAAAGCATTTAATGGTGACACAAATAAGTGTCATTATCGTTGTAAATGAACTTTGATGAGAAATCATCAATAGAAAGCGAAATGATATGAAAAAATTAAACAAGATTATATTTTCCATATCATTGAGGGACATCACGCGCCAGCCCAGACTCTAGAGTGGAACCCAGATGGTAAACAACGAGTTGGGCATCCGAGAGTGACATGAAGGAGATGGTGTGAGGAAGAAATGAGAGCTTTTGGGCTGTCATGTAGCCAAGTTCAAAAGATGGCAGAGAACAGAGTGGAATAGAGATGTGCTACTGAAGCTCTATGTTCCACTAGGAGCCCAAAGGACAAATAATAATAATATTTTCCACAGGAGAAGAAATTGTGACCATTTTCAAGAAGACTCATTAACATCTTGAAAGACCCATACAAAGGAACCTGAACTAAAATAACAACAAACAAATAATTTTTTCTGAAATGTTTCAAAAGCGATTCCGATTCATTGCTCATCTAAAAATTTCCTGTCGGCATCGAACTTGACGAAGTTTTGAAAGTCCATAATAATTGAAGAAGTACGTTTGTTTCAACCTGACCTGGTTAACTAATTCATTAGTTGCTAGCTGGTCATAAGCCCGGGTAAAGAAGGAAGGTTGGGCATAGGCCTAGCAACCCTACCACGTAAAACCAATTGAACCGCTACAGAAATTTCAAAGCACAAATAAAATATAAAAAATAAAAACCAAACGTTTGTTTGTTTTACTAAATTGCATTCAGTAGGCTGGTGATAAAACTTTTATAAGTTTGGCAGGCGTTTTGCATCACGGAAGTGTAAAATACTTCTGTCAGATTTACAGAATCATTTATCTGTATTAAACCATGGAAGTGAATCGTTGAAAGATATAGAGAAATGTATATGGCTACATTGGATACGTGACTACCTGTTATGCATATTTCATACAAGGTCAATATCTTTATACAGTGAGAATCACAATAACATTTAAAGCAAAATTACAATGTTCATTTAGTCGTAAGTGGTACCATGGGTAACAATTTGATGATAATACTTCAACACTGACATATATGACGGTGTTTCATGACTGTCTCCCCAGTATTACTTGTGTTTCATGGCTACAATATGTAGGTAACTCTGATGTTCTGCAGCATATATTTGCTCACTATGAAGATTAGTAGTCAATTACTGTAGGTATCTTAGAACATCAGCTATAGTGGATTAAAAATGCTTCATGCATCCGTAGGAAGATGAAATATATGAGTTTTTACAAAACAACATGAAAATGTAGTTTATCTGAAAAGTGTGCTTCATTTGCGCTGTGATGTCGACCAGTCTAACCACACAACCTTACTTATAATTGCATATTTGTATGTAAATGCTCTTTTTCAATAGTCAATATAACAAGCAGTCAAATTTTCAACTGATTTCACGTTGGAATTCAGCATGGAATGACACCGAATGAAGGAACATTGATAAACAATGAGCATTGGATAGATATTTCATCGCAGTATGGAAGTCTTCAGTAGTGCGCACCCATGACTCCTCCAGGGATCGGACCCAGGACCTTCAGGTTCCGCAGCCAGCACGTTACCGTTGAGCAAATAGGTCGGAATCCAACCGTCCATATTTCTTACTTCTACCAGTTCACGATATAGCACGACCCACACCCAATACCGTCGTTCAGCTTGGTTGGCTTCCACTAATCACGACTTCTCATGGATCCAAAAAGAAACATAATATACTAATCATTCTTCATACTAAAGAGTTACCACGGAAAGCCTAACGTAACAGTCAATTTCTTCTTGAATATATATAACAGTTTCAAACTTCATTATTGCTACAGCTTCAAGAAAGTTAAGTGAACGCCCCCAATACGTTTTGTAAATAGGTTTGAACAACATATAGAAATCAACCTTATGACTGGTTTCAATAATAATACATAAAGTTAGATATTTTTTACCTAGGTGAATGTGATGTACTCTGCGGCCTTCAATTGTATAGATTGAGGGGTCCTCTCAAATTGTGAGTGTGACCACAGATACATGTAAACTGATAAATGTGATTGGATGTGACCACATCGTTCGAATGCTACAAGGGTTAACATGAGTACATACATTGCGTTTTCTCTAGAATGATGACCTTTTCTGCATAGCAGCAACCGATAGATTGTAGAAAATAATCGTTGTCTAATAATACTTTGATGAGTTTTAGCGTTTCATCCACTAAATTATGAGTTATGCATATCCTTCGAATCTGACTGAATAGATATTTGACTACGACCCATTTTATTAAGTGAACAAAAACTATAGCAACTTACGTACTTTACCCTCTTCTTATGTGTTGAAAAGAAGGTGAATAATTATCACATCTAGAATGATGACAATCCTTTGCTTTTACTTTACACTAATGATAATACCCAGTGATATAACCACTTTCTGACAAGGTTAGACAAAGACGGTACAAAGGTATGCGAATTCGCAACAGAATAATTGAGATGTAAAACCTATACCGCAACAAGGAAGCTTCATTATCCAATGAATCTATAACAGTGAATATATGAATGGTCATTATGAAGAATAATGTTTTCATCACTTCAGTAAGAACGATAATTTCGATTACTCAACGACGGATTCGTGAGTACTGAAGAACATAATGAAACATGAGAAAAAATAGCTCACTACAGAATAATTACGTCACAAATTGTTTTCAAATGTTGTGAAACAGTTTTTAAAAGTTACACCACAAAAATACACTGATAAAATTTCATAAGTGGATATAGACATCGAAAATATAAACAATAAATCCTGTGAATAACTATAGTATCCTTACTGAATTTTCATTATGCTTCTTTAAACAATATGATATCCAATCAGAATAGATTTGAACAAAACGTTGCCTAGTAACACCATTAACCTCTTCATCAAAATCATCATCAATCATTTTAAAAAATACAGGATCCAAATCAAAATAATCTTGTGATGAGAATCGATTGGCTTCTAAACACGAAGATAATTGTATCAACCGATTGGACAAATTCGGTAACTTACACACAAAGTAGATAACACACTGAAAAGATATGGGAAGGAAAAACAATATATATGAATTTAAATAATCAAAGTAAGCAAATAACATTTTAAGAAAGACCATGGACATGGTAAATGTGGTAAAGATGTTTTAAATAGGGAAAAAAAACAAAAGACACCTTACAGGAGAAATGATTTATACACCAAACGGGGTGGGAAACAGTCATCTTTCAACTAATAATGGAAGAAGAAAGTGTCCATCACCACTCCGAGATTTGACTGCTATATGGTATCTAAATCCTTGAACAACTGAAGCTACTTATCAATATATCAGCAGTCACCAATAAGGTTAGGGGAACTCATTAAACATCTGGAACATACTCGTGTCATAATTCAAAATCTATAATACACACTACCATTCACAAGTATAGCTAACTGAAATCATTACATACGATCACTTAAAAGCTACACTACGCAACATCACTGTTTTAACCGGAGCAACTTAACACATGTCTAGGTACTAGACTATTAAGTATAGTTAGGTCGAAGTAGACGAAGTGGGATTTGAACCCATTACAAAATGTTTGGAAGGCGAATAAACCACCTGTTCAACTTCATAGCATACTTTTTATACCTGTTTGATTGAAAGCAGTCAGTAGAATTATCTTAGGGAACTGTGATAAAACATCGTTAAACCTGTATTTAGTCTTACAAACCCAATATCAATTAAAAGTAACATAATTGTGGAGCTCCGGGTCAATAGATTAGGAAGATGACTATTAAGTATTGAATCATAAGTCTGAACTCTACTATGCCTACCAAGGTTTGGTTAGCCAGGTAATATATCAGTATCCTTCACTCTTAAAGTGTCGTTCATTGCCTACCCTAAGTATGTGGACAAGGTGGTTACCTGCGTTTCGTTCGTTCGTTCATACATTTTATTATGAATTGATTACACAAAAAAACCAGATAAACTGAAGTCAACTCTATAACTTACGTGAACAAACCGACTGATTAACACCTTTCTCAGATCTGTTAGTTGAAACGTGAATCCAGCACTATGATCAGTAACTTCATATCCTTCAATGATATATGGAGTATATGCAAACTGCCAAGCCATACAACTTAGACGAACAGCAGTATTGAAACTTAGCATACCATGAAGAGTTTTAGAATGACAACAACAGAATCGCTTATTTTTATGCGGATCAGAACGTAGTGTTTCTGATTCACTAGCATGACATAAAGTACCTGACAGTAAGAAAAAATAAAAATATTACTATATTGCACTAAAAGTAGCATAAATATTGCAAGACATAAAATCTATCTAGAAGTAGTATTCATCATGGACTGATATCAGTTGGGGAACCATTGGAAATCTGGGAGCATTGGACAGCTGTTTCGTCCTAGTATGGGATTCCTCAGCAGTACGCACCCACGACCCAACTAGGGGTCGAACTCAGGACCTTCAGGTTTCATGGCGAACGCGTTAACCATTCACAATTTCCAACTTCTGTCAATTCACGACATAGAACGACTGTCACCCAAGGTCTTCAGTTAGCATTCACTTCACTTCCGACTGGTTGACCCCACAGGTCACGGCTTCTCATTAGAACTTCCTGATATCCATCTGGAAGCAAGTCACTAATGTGTGTGTTGACAAAATTCTAGAAAACCTCCTTTTTGATAAGGAAATAAATTCACTTTGAAAACTTTTCTCTTCTATCTACAGGAATAATAGATTAAAAACTTTCGGTAATTCTACTCTAATTAAGTCTACACTGAATGCTTAAAAAAAATCAAAGAAGAAATAATCAACTTCATGAATTTATGTACAGAAAGTGAATTAAGTTACTCAATTCCCAGAACAAAGTCGTTGTATCCCACAAAAGTAAAAGTAAGTGATAGATAAAACAAAATATCCTAATCAAAAGACAAATAACTAATTTATAATGAAATAATTAGGAACAATATATTTTTCATATAAAATTTAGACAACCTAAAAACATTATAGGTTGATGTGTTATTGCTTGTATTACACCGCCGTTGATTGGACCAAATTCATTAATCTCTGTTGGCATATGGGCTGCTGTGTAGATGCCTTGATTTTGCCTATATTTCAATTGTGTACAGTAATGATTCCACTGCTAGCCACTATCCATCATTACTAATATTGGTTGATGTTATTTCAATAGAAAAATATGTAAATTATATACAAATAACACCTTCCGAACCAGAGTAGTTTCTCACTACTGAATAAAGAGTTTCCGTTGAAAAGGCGAGACCTAATATGTATAACATAGAACCACTCATAGATATCACAATACACAACTGAAAGACCCACAAAATCTACAAACTTTGTCAGTTAGATCATTTAGATTCAAATACTAATCAATCCTACTGCGTGATGGATATATAAGTTACTTATGGTTAGGTATTGTCACGTAACGTAACAAACACACAATATAAAACCCCACATAAATGTTCTTCTACTTAAGCTTCTATACTGAAGGAACCAATTGGTAAAGATAGTAAATCGTTGGAGACTAACAGAAAAATCAAATTTAATTTAGCGTCTCTGTGGCACCCAACTCCAAGGTGTATATACGCACGCCTTTAAGAAGACTGATGCCCATTAAAGTCATCGAAATCCATATGCTACAGTCAAAGAAACTGGATTATCAAGGTCACGGTCAACCTTGCCGCTCATTTCACAACTACATGGCAGTCATAGTACACATTTTACGTTGTTAAATAAGCAGTCAGTCAAAACACTGTACTTGTTATAAAGATCATCGGCATTACTGATCTCTACAAAACAGTTTTATAAAGTGATCATTTTCAAAAATAATCTGAATGATTAAAATTTTACAGATATATCACTAAAAACACAATAATATCCTAGACTTCTTCATAAAACGTATTTTATAAGTTTCTTATGGGATCAATATGATACAAGATACCCAGTTACAAAGAGTTAATAAAATAACACCTTGTTCTCTTCACTCTATTATTCATAAGTGGATAAATGAATTTCAGGACAAATGTAAAAGGTTAAAGAGGCATCGAAACTTATTCAATTCAAATCAATTTTTTTTACAAAATAAGTATATTAGTAAACATTTTAATTATATCAATCAAGTAGTTACCGATAAACTCAAGACCACGAAGTTGATAAGTAACATAACCATTGCCTACTTCAATAATATGAATAAGTAAGTTTAAATCATCTGTTGAAAGAATGAATATATCTCCATGACTAATATATAATCCACCAAGACGTCCCAACTGTAAATCTCCAGCTAATATTCTTTGTAATTTTCTTGTTAAATGTTCATAGAATATACCATCTAAATTACCAGATACTTGATGTTTAGATATCCCTTTCAATTGAGCTGCTATAGGCATATTAGTTGTTTCTATACGTTGTGTCCTTCAAATGAAAAAAAAATTATATACGAGAAATAAAATAAAGCGACAAGAGAAGCTAAATGTTGATAAATACTAAGATAATAACTATGATATCATAGACAACTGTACTAGGAATTAAGTGATTTGAGTTTACAAAGCCCAGATTGCAAATGAGTTCGATCAGATCAAACTGTAACCCCCTACATCAATCGATAAAGATTTATTAGTTACCTAATCAACTTCACGTTGCATATACAGTTTGCATTTTATGAATATTTTATTTTTAAAGAAATAATCATCACCATGTGACATTGTAAAGAACCATTGAAAACCTGAGACCACTGGACAGCTGTTTTGTTATAGTATGGAACTCAGCAATAAGCAGTACTGTATAGTGATATGCTTCGAGATGGCTATCCCAAAGTTCCAATGAGGAACCATCATCTATGAGGTCAACTTGTCGGAAGTGAAGCGAGTATAAACTGAAGACCTTAGTGGACAGTTAAGCTACATCACGAATTGAGAGAAGTTGGAAAATGTAAACTACTGAACTCCGACCCAGTGCTTGAATGGTTAACGCGTTCGCCATGCGACCAAAAGACCCTGAGTCCGATTCCTAGAGGCGTTGTGCGTGCATAATACTAAAAAAAAACACCTGTACATTGCTCCCAGCTTCCCAATGGTTCTCCAGCTGACCTCGGTCCGTGGCACATATATGTTAGTCAATCAGTCAGCGGTAATAAACTAAATGATTGTTTATATGACTAACATACCACAGTGACTTCTTTATACGCACGTTGAAACATCTCATCTAATAGATGATCCTAGCCAGATATCCCCATACCGCTGGTAAATATACACATATAACTTAGCCACTAGTTCTGTATTCCCTATTTATTCTACCAGACCTTGAAATGTTCATCATTCAAACACAGTGAGTGGAATATGCATCAAACTCTTAGCTAAACATCCAGTTCGACTACACTATCATCATTATACTAGTTCCTTGGGTTCCTAATCGAACATAAGGCTTCACTAGCACGTCTCCACTACACTCTCTTCTATCAAATCTTTTCAACCTGACTCCACAACAACCCACAAACACTCATTCATTCATCACACCATCTCCTCCATCTCACCCTCACCACCGACGCACAACTCATCGCTTACCATCTACCTTCCACTCCACTAACTGGCCTCCTCCGTCATATACCCAGTAGTGCAGTAGATCTCCACACTGGTTCCAGGCTAATGAACACCTGTCTGTCTTACTGTCTTTCCCATACTGGCTGACTTCAACGTCCTCATCTGTGCCTGTGACACCACCTGTAGTTGGAACACTCCTGCCTGCCTACATTCATAGGTGAAGGAGGCTACTTCCTTCACGTTTCTCCCATTCATCGTGATTGCAGCTGGTTGTTAGTGGTGGTGGTGTTCATGGGGTATCTCCATCACCTCCGTCTTCTCCACATTCACTTGAAGTACTGTCTTCGCTACCCTACCCTGCCCTGCCCTGCTCTGCCATGCCATACCTCTTCTGCCTACTTCTTAGTTTTCGCCTGTACATATTCAAGTTTGTGTGACATCAGACACGAGTCATCACTGACCAAATACAAATCTTATACGTTCTTTTCCCCGCTTCACCCTATCCCACCCCCACCCCGTCTTCTCACAGCTCCTCACTGTTTGTTCCATGATCCAGTCAACCACAACACAATCACGAATATCATTGCGGATAGTATACTAAACACCCTTCTTTTACTCCTGCCACCACTTCACTTCAAAGGCATCACTCAGCTTCCCATTGTCAATTTACTTGGCTTGTAGTGTCTTCATATACTTGTTGAATCAGAGTGATAAAGGTTTGTGGAATTCCGTAGTGTTGTAGCAGTTTCCAAATTACTTCTCGGTTGATGCTGTCAAAGGCCTTCTCAAAGTCGATGAAGTTGAGGTGGAGAGAGAGTTGACTACCATTCTATACTCTGTTCTATGATGATACGAAGCGTTGCAATTTGGTCAGCACATGATTTGTACTTCCTGAAGCCTGCCTGTTCCGGTCGTAGTTTCGAATCCAGTGCATCCTTTAGCCTCTCCAGGATGATGCGGCTTAATATTTTGCTTCGGGGGGACAAAAGAGTGATTCCGCGCCAGTTCTTGCAAACACTGAGGCCTCCCTTCTTCGGGAGTTTGACAAGATAACCATTCTTCCAATCTGCAGGTACCTTCCTTTCCTTCCACACCTTCTGCAATAGTAGTGTGAGCATGTCTGCTGTCGTCTCTGTGTCTGTTCTCAGTGCTTCTGGCGGTATCCCATCTAATCCTGCTGCTTTCCGCATTTCAGTAGCTTCATTACGCTCAGGACTTCGACTTTTGTTGGAGGATTTATGTTCACTTGTAATTCAGAGGCTGCAGGTGGTATTTCTGGACGAAGTGCAGGTGGTGGTCGATTCAAGAGCTTCTTGAAGTGGTCAGCCCATTGTTTCCCCTCTTTCGTAATTATACTTCCATCATCATCTTTTATTGGTTTCGTCTACGTTGATCTCTTCCCAGATAACAACCTGGTTATTTGATACAAAGTTGTCAAATCTGTGTCTCCCCTACCTGCAGCCTGTTCTGCTTCACTTGCCAGTGTTTCGTAGAAGTGTCTTTTGTCTTTCCATGCACTCTTCTTCACTTCTTTGTCCAGTGTTTTATACATTGTACTCAGTTCCTCTTGTCGTTGAGCATCCTTGCACTGGTTTATCTTCTGCTTCACCATCCTCCTCTCCTCTATCAGCTTCCAGGTGTCCGTCGAGATCCATTCCTTATCTTCTTTCTTCCTAATACGGCTGTGCAGGTTTCTTCCACATCTCTTTCAAAGACTTCCAGTGTTTTTCCACACAGGTTTCTTCAGGGATGTTCCTCGATATCTCCCATTTTGTCTTGACCATATAGTCCTGATTTAAAAACCGCTACTCATTATTAATGCCTACATACGAAGTACAGTTACAACAAATTAGCGAATACACAGTTCATGCTTCTCAAGAATAAAAATGTTTAACAATGGTTAATGAACATGGGAAAACCATGAGTACGAAAAGATAATTAATAGCCCAGCTCTACTTATTGGGGTCTAGGTGACCAGACAGTAAAATCAGCCCTCTCACAATAGCTGTGCCTACTGCATGAAATAAACGAATGGTTGTTGAGTAGATAGGATTTTTTTTTCTTTCGATTTCAAATTTTAAACGAAAATAGTATGGTTCATTTGGGTGAAACAGAACAGTTTTCGCAATAGGTACTGTTTATCTTCCAATTAAGTCTGATTGATTATGAAAACAAACAAACAGAAATATCACTTGAATTTGTTTTATTCAAGAGATGGCAACGTGCCTAACGCATCTCACTGATATCATGTCAACGATGAAAAGAAGATAGGCAGTAAATATCAGTTTCAACGTAAGACGTGTTGATTCAATACACATAGATCCACGTAAATACCACCTTACTTAATTCTTTACTACCGGAGTATAGTTGGAAAAATATTTTCACTTATTTCACCGTGTAATATTTCTGCAAATAGAACGGTGAACAAGTATTCTGAATAACAAGTTTCTGAATAAATCACACTTTAATTTATAATCTAAACTATAGCTAGGGGACGACTGGTGAACTGATCACATCTCTGATGAACTAAAATGATCTTTGAAATGCATGCCAATATAATTCCAGCCTCGTGTAGATTTCGAAGTAAATTTCAACATGTGACTCAAATGTAAGTATTGAATTAGCTTACATTGTGATGATTTTCACCCTCCCCTCCCCTTATTTCCTAACGCATATAACGAGTAACTTACGATACAAGTTACTAATTAGTAATATACTGGAGCCTCGCCTGGTTAACTAGTTCACTAGTTACTAGCCGGTCGTAAGCCCGGGTAAAGAGGGAAGGTTGGGCATAGGCCTAGCAACCCTACCCCGTAAAACCAATTCAACCGCTACAGAAACTTCAAAGCACAGACAAAATATAAAACATTGTAACAAAAAACTTGTTCCTCGCTGGAATCGGAGAGACAAAATGATGCTGATGGTATTTCTGCAGGAGATCGTGTGAGGAGGAAATGAGTGCTTATGGGCTGTGGTGGAGCCAGGTTCAAAAGATGGAATGGAGACGTGCTACTGAAGCCTTATGTTCCACTAGGAACCCATGGGGCAAATAATAATAATGTTCTCAAAGGGCAGTCAGATAGATGATTTTTAGATACTTAAACACTTTTGGTAGTCTTGCACTTCCTTTCAACAACTATACCACCTGATATTCCACTCCCTTCTAGATAAGAAATTAAACAGAATAGATTAACAGAAAATAACTTGACCTTGATTGTAGACTGTCACGGTTAGAAGTTGCAGAAATTTTGATTTTCAGGCAAAAATATATGATTAGCGAAAACAAAAACTTGGATTCATCTAACCCAGTTTTAAACCTAATATGAACCAAAGCAAATATTAATGTCTTCAGTTTAGGCAAGAATACAGAGGTTAAAACAGCCACACTAATATAATACTCGCTAGATTCCATATAACAACATGAGGAACAAAACACTACATAGCATAACGCTATCAAAAATCACAGATTTTCACTGAAATAAGCAAAAAACACACGACTTAAATAAAATATATATCTGACTATAATTATTTCCAACCTCTTAAATAATACGAGAAGAGAAGGTAAAGGGGGAAACAATTTCTAACCATAGAAACTACAAAATAATATCAGGGTGAAAATAAGGCAAATGAAGCGACTTGAATGACATCACAGTGGAAAGTAACAAATTTCAAACCGTAGTATTCTCTTTTTACTGTGTAAGAATTGAGCATGCACAAGAGTTACCATGGTGCCATTGTCTTTCCCTACTTTTTTTTCCTTCTTAACTCATTAATCATTTATAATTATTAACTGATAATTACAATACGAAACAATAATTTCAGATTTATTCCAAATTCATATACATTATTTAAAAGCGTAGAATATAACCTGGAAAATAAAAAACTATTCTAAAATAATTCTAAGATGTCTAGCTAGACTACTGAAAAATACAAAAGTAGTATGATGAATGTATCACAAAAGAAAATCATAATTCAACTACATACTACTCCTAATTAGAAGTTACCTAGGTATGTATGAGGTAAACTTTCAAACTACAGTAAAATTTTACCATAATAAATAATCATCAAGTATCATAAGAAATAATAATGGTGGTTTGCCGAATACCTAAATAAGTTTAATGTTTACAAACAATAGTTATGAAAAGTAACAAAAGTGTGAAAAGGTTTAGGTGCTCATATCATCAATTACTTAATGGATATTTTAGTTATTCATAACGCCTGATAATATACCATTACAACAATACATGATGACAATCATTCAAGTATATACATGTGTGGTCAAAATGAATGACTACAGGATTTTCTTTAACACTACTACGACTTTTGGGTTGTATAAAAACACTAAGGCATAGACTTTATAGTAAAATTACGGTTTTTTTCTCATAAAATATGCGAAACATGAAATGATAAAATTATCAACGCATCAAGAGTTGAAAACAAGCTCCAACAACTCTAGTTAATATTTCTCAACAGAACTATATACTGACGAAATATTTATTAACAAGAACAAGGCGTGTATCAGCGAAGAAATATTTCTACAATGGTAAACGCCTACCATTATATACATCTGTTAATGGAAACAACCCGTCATTACACAGCTAATCATTACAAAAATAAGGCTTTCATACTATCGACTTCAAAGGTTTCACATGCTAATACAAGACAATAAAAACTTACCGTGTAAATAAAAGCCGATTTGACAGAGTTGCTGACAAGCATATTATTATCATTGCACCATTTGTCCTTAGGGTTCCTAATCGAACATAGGGCTTCAGTAGCACATCTCCACTACACTCTCTTCTATCAAATCTTTTCAACCTGACTCCACAACAACCCACAAACACTCATTCATTCATCACACCATCTCCTCCATATCACCATCACCACAGACGCACAACTCATCGATTACCATCTACCTTCCACTCCACTAACTGGCCTCCTCCGTCATATACCCACCCACTCAACCTCATCAGTCTATCCCAAATCAATCCATCTCAACTTACTTCCAGTGCATATTTCTTCAGCAATACCTTCTTCGTTCATTCATTCCCACAGTTCCTCCTTCCTCATTCTCACTAATCTCACCATCTCATCGCATCTCATCTTCAGTAGCGAGTGAGCACACGCACTTGTTCATGAATGTCTGTAGTCCGTCGGAAATACCTACACTGACGCACCATGTCTCTCAACCATCACATACAACCACTCACTTCATCTTCGTCTTCAAAATCCGCATCTCCTTCCACATGCTTACAGGAGTGCAGTAGATATCCACACTGGTTCCAGGCTAATGAACACCTGTCTGTCTTACTGTCTTTCCCATACTGGCTGACTTCAACGTCCTCATCTGTGCCTGTGACACCACCTGTAGTTGAAACACTCCTGCCTGCCTACATACATAGGTGAAGGAGGCTACTTCCTTTACGTTTCTCCCATTCATCGTGATTGCAGCTTCTTGTTCTTGTTGTTCGTGGTGGTGGTGGTGGTGTTAGTGGGGTATCTCATCACCTCCGCCTTCTCCACATTCACTTGAAGTCCTGTCTTAGCTGCCCTGCCCTGCCTGCCTTCCCCTACCTCTTCTGCCTACTTCTCAGTTTTCGCCTGTACATATTCAAGTTTGTGTGATATCAGACACAGGTCATCACCGTATCCCCCCCCCCTCTTCTCATAGCTCCTCACTGTTTATCCATGATCCAGTCGACCACAACACAATCACGAATATCATGGCGGATAGTATAGTAGGCGGCCTTGTTTTACCCCTGTCTTCACTTCCAAAGCATCACTGAGCTCTCCAACAAGCATATTAAAATAGTAGAAAACTCAGATTTCAAAATAATTAAGACTTCAATCCTTAAACTATTTACAATTGACTGACATCATAAACTAACACTGGATATCTACTGTAAGAATCAGTGAAACCTTTTAATCACAAATTATTGAAAGTATTTAACGGGATAAAACACCTATTCCACGATAGTAGGATATGGACAATATGAGAGCTTGCTTACACATAAAATCACAATAGAAAACTATCCCATGGCCTTTAAATTATTGAAACATCTAAAATACTCTCCAAAGTACTAACCAAACAATTCAAAGTAGTATCATTCCCTGAACTTGTGTTGATCCCCGCTAAAGAGCGCAAATAAGACGGTGGATGGTTCAGTTTGGAGGCCTGTTAGAATTTTATTGATTTCAGGTTGGTATTGATCATGGATACCTGATGGGGTCATGGGTGCGCACTGCTGAGAAGTCCCTTACTAGGACAAAACAGCTCTCCAGTGCTTCCAAGTTTCCAATGTTTTTCCAACTGATGTCATTCCATGATGAATATTAACCTGAAAACGGTAGTTCACTTTTTCAGCAACTATAAAGTCTAGCTGAGATAATGAAGACAAAAAAGAACGAACATAACTAAAAGAGCATAAATACGATTTACTAACGAGTTTATAAGTTGCGTTTTATGCTGGTAATGCGTACCAATTGAATAGTTTCCATAATATGTAGCTCATAAATCAATGTTTCAACAGAAGTCAATTTTGAGTACTTTTGGACAGTAAGGTTATCCTACAGCACAACATCATTAAAATATGGATGAAACCTTTGAAGGAAGCGAAGATAATCGTTTTTACCTGAGAATTGTATCAGTTAACTTGTAATACGTAAGTAGATAATATGTTGATTCGCTGATATTGTTTCATATAACTATGAATATTGTTTTTGCTGATAAATAGACAACAATCTTCATAATCAAATTGTTCCCTGCTAAGAACACGTTTTTATCCAATCGACAAGCTAGAATTGTTGAATGATTTCTGCTGATTCATTGAGATTTTAGTTAACCATATAAAAATTGGTTGTTTCCGATGCCGGTAGAAATAGATTGTGTCTAACAGAAGGGTAATTATTGCCTAATTTCACAAACTGAAGTATTTTCTTTGTTCTGAATTCCTTCAGTTAAGATGGATTGCTGTTGAAGAAACTTTATTTTTACTTATTTCAAACTAAGGTGGATTAAAATGGACTTTTAAAGTATTATAGTGTTAAGAGAATCATCAACATATGACTTGACAGAATTCCATAGGAGTTCCTCTCATTAAACTACGTTTTAGCACATAGAAGAGAAATCAATAACCAGAAAGAAAAAAAAAGAAATGTATACGAATACATGATAGAGTACACAGTGAGTAAACATACCGATGATTTGTCTCCCAAAAACTGATCGGTCTCACATATGATGTTATAAAGATAGCACTAGCCATAAGTGGTTCCAATGGTGCTGATAGTAAAGTTGAGAAAATACAGTTCGCGAACATGAACACAGAGTCTTATGATTTTTAATTTTGAAGAGAAATCAAAGTATGTTAAGGTTTGTGATACGGTAAACATGGATACATTATGGACACAGTACAACAATTTTTTTCACGTAGATAGATCAAATTGAAATTAATCAGGAAAGATAATCACAATTATTAAGTATAATCTAGGCTACAGAAATTAATTTTATTATTATTTGTCCTTTGGGTTCCTAATCGAACATAATCGAACCTGAGTCCGATTCCTAGAGGAGTTGTGCGTGCATAAAACTAGAAAAACAGCTGTACCTTGCTCCCGGCTACCCAATGGTTCTCCACCTGAACCCGGTCCGTGGCACATACATATTAGTCAATCAGTCAGTGGTAACAAACTAAATGATTATTTTTATGACTACGACTACCACAGTGACTTCTTTATCCGCACGTTGACACATCTGATCTCATAAGTGATCCTGGCCAGATATACCCACACCGCTGGTAAATATACACACATAACTTGGCTAGCAGTTCCGTCCTCTCCTATTTATTCAACCAGACCTTGAAATATTCATGATTCAAACACAGTGAGTCGACTATGCATCAAACTGTTAGCTAAACATCCAATTCCACCACATTATTATTACAAATATTAGTCCCTTGCGTTCCTAGTCGAACATAAGGCTTCACTAGCACATCTCCACTACACTCTCTTCTATCAAATCTTTTAAACCTGACTCCACAACAACCCACAAACACTCATTCATTCATCACACGATCTCCTCCATATCACCCTCACCACCGACGCACAACTCATCGCTTACCATCTACCTTCCACTCCACTAACTGGCCTCCTCCGTCATATACCCACTCAACCTCATCAGTCTATCCCAAATCCAATCTTGCTATCTTTCCCATACTGGCTGACTTCAACGTCCTCATCTGTGCCTGTGACACCACCTGTAGTTGAAACACTCCTGCCTGCCTACATTCATAGGTGAAGGAGGCTACTTCCTTCACGTTTCTCCCATTCATCGTGATTGCAGCTGGTTGTTGTTGGTGGTGGTGGTGTTAGTGGTGGTGTTGGTGGGGTATCTTCATCACCTCCGTCTTCTCCACATTCACTTGAAGTACTGTCTTCGCTACCCTACCCTGCCCTGCTCTGCCATGCCATGCCATACCTCTTCTGCCTACTTCTTAGTTTTCGCCTGTACATATTCAAGTTTGTGTGACATCAGACACGAGTCATCACTGACCAAATACAAATCTTATACGTTCTTTTCCCCGCTTCACCCTATCCCACCCCCACCCCGTCTTCTCACAGCTCCTCACTGTTTGTTCCATGATCCAGTCAACCACAACACAATCACGAATATCATGCGGATAGTATACTAAACACCCTTCTTTTACTCCTGCCACCACTTCACTTCAAAGGCATCACTCAGCTTCCCATTGTCAATTTACTTGGCTTGTAGTGTCTTCATATACTTGTTGAATCAGAGTGATAAAGGTTTGTGGAATTCCGTAGTGTTGTAGCAGTTTCCAAATTACTTCTCGGTTGATGCTGTCAAAGGCCTTCTCAAAGTCGATGAAGTTGAGGTGGAGAGAGAGTTGACTACCATTCTATACTCTATTCTATGATGATGCTTAGTGTAGAGTTGCGATTTCGTACGCACATGATTTGTACTTCCTGAAACCAGCCAGCCTGTTCCGGTCGTAATTTTGAATCCAGAGCATGCAAAGCAATTGATAAGTTTCCAAAAATTCTGCAATAATAATATTTTTCGAATATGAGAAAACTTATTCATATTTCCTTCCCTCAAAATCCATACTATAGAAAATGTAACTAATCTATTCAATGTCATTCATAAAGCTTTAATATTTATGTATTTAGAAGAGGCTAGATGAAGAGAAAATGAAATCGGTGAGAATAAATGCCTAAAATACTACTCAGTCATCCACTGATGCAGCTAATAATCTATCCTACATTTAACACAGCGTAGAAAATAATTTTATTAATCAATACTCCAAGTAACAGACTAAAGGATATATATATAGAAGTTCCATACTCTAGATATCCCTTCATTTCGATAAACTCAAACCGCTGTATCATATTTTTCTGAACCTATTTTCTTCTTTTATCAAGCTATCTTCCCGTGTTTAATGCATTCAAGTTACATAACCACCTTCCTATTGTTTTATTAAATGACGGCTTAAATAAGCTGCATAATTGTTGAAATAGATAATCAGCTATTTTGAACTGAATCCCAGTAATAACTAATTCTGATACTGATGTTCACATAAGACTTCTCTACAGAGATTTTCTCAACATGCAAATATAACTGTAGGATATGAAGCAAGAGTTATCAAAAAGAATGTTCTTTGTTCACTTAAATAGTTTCCGAATACAATTTATCTGAAACTTCAAAACTATTACACATTATTCACTGATCGCCTTTCTTCTCAGTTAAGTCTATGGATGATCATATGTTATACAGATATACCATATACAACACCTTACATAAAATACTGCTCCCTAATGATTAAACGTTCCAGATCAAATTTCGAAATTAATATTTTATATTCAGTTAGTTTTCATTACAGACTGAGATTACTGAATCATAGATATTTTATAATTAACACAATATAACAAAGAGTAAATAGTTAGTCAACTATATCAACATTAACAAAATTATATAATATAAAATGATAAAGGATACGAGGAATTGAGCCAAGTTGAACAACTGCATGAGCTACTGAACCCCAAATTATATTGAATGGAGCCAAATAGACATAAATAAAATGCAGTTTACGGAATAGTTCAATAAACTGAAAGAAAAAGATCGGTTTACAAGTGGTTATTTGTGATTTCATAGTAACAAGTTAACATTTAATTCAAACAAATAAAATTAACCAATCAGGATAAAGTAGAATAGCACAAAAGTATAATGTCAACAAATGTGATTATCAAAGACAGAGGTATGGTTCGGCCACCTAACAGCATTCAAATAAAATATCATGTTACAAAGATCAACAAGAAATTAATGTTTTAATGGCTTAAAAAAATGAAAAACATGAATTTTATAAAGGTATTATCGATCATATTATTTTATTTATCTTGAAAGGCATTTATGACTTTTTGGTAAAATTATTGTATAGTTCGATTGAGGAGCTTTTGATGGATTGTGGTATGGTTGTGGACAGAATATTCATTTATGCGTACAGACCATTCAGGATGAATAAGTAAGAAAAAAGCCACCCTAACAACCACTGATATTGCTAATTAGATGTCTACACTTTGGCTAGTAGAATAGTTTTTTCGAGAAATTAAAACCGCTCTCTTCAAGTTGCCCAAAAAATACGGAGAATGGGAAAAACGCTTTGTGCTCTGTTTGTAAGAAGCTACAAGAGCCCAGAGTTGCATGATTCATCGAGTGGATGAATTAAGTATACGTGACGTAGTAAGTAGTAAATCCGAGATCATTCATCAAGTGCATAACCACCATCAGGGATGATTGGAAAAATAACGTGGTTCACACAATTACTACTAGGTGGAGAAATAACTACTAACATCCTTGAGTTAACTTCGTTAGCCTTTAAAGGTTTATAAACATGAAACAAGCTGGGATTACTGTTAGCTGGTTGTAGACAATCGGTGGAAAGCCTTGGACCTAGGTTTTGTGCTTGTTGGCACTCGTCAGCAAGGCGTATCTCCAACCCCCTATGTATGTAACCTAGTCCTATAGGAGGTCAATCGCAGCCCAAATAGCTCTGTGGAAAAGACGCTGACTACAACACCATTGAGTGATGCGGGTCCTAATCTCAGACGGGACATCAGTTCCATAGAGGTTACAGACACGCCTTGTTGACAAGTGTCAACAAAAAATGAAACCTAGGTTCAAGGCTTTCTGCCGATTGACTTTAAGCAACTAAAACTCGTCAATGTTCACCGTGATCCTGAGCCTCTAAGCTTGATGGCAACATCAGAAAACTGATCAGTAGAATTCGGTCAGCACTGAGGACTAGACAACATGAAAGTGATTGCATTCCATTAACCAATCAATGTATGTGATCACTGTTCTTGGGAGAATTAATACAACAGGAGACTAGACATTTACTTTAGGCTAAATAATTGAGGATTTCTGAGAGTTGGTGGTTTCACATCCGGAAATATCATGGATTTGCAGCAATATGAGCTTCAAAATGCGCATAAACAGTACTCTATAATTTCCCACTTTTGTTTCTTCCAAGAAGATTCGGACTACGACAAAAACACTGGAATATAAATACAGAGTGATAAGTGATAAACTTAATACATGATAATCTGTAAAAACAGAATAGTGAACATTTACTCACTTTACTGACAAGGAGTGATACAAAGAAGTAATTGATAGGGAATGCTTCTTTGAGGTCACAGAAGTCGAAAGAAAACAATAAATCAGTGAGAAACAAACTTAAATAAGTTTGTTTGGCACAACAGAATCCATTCCTTAACATTTTCATACTTGTCACAATAATTATGAATGTAGACAGTCTAGATATATAGAGAGAGAAGAAAAGAAAAACACAGCAATATAAACTATTCACATGAAAACGCTATGCAAAGCAATGCAATAATATGTACATTTTCAGATTCTCTCCTCATTGTAACTTCTCTTATCGACTGATAGAAAGAGGCCTAAATCGAAATCAGCACTGTAAGTCATCAGTCGCTAAGGTAGAAGTTTTAAACTTTAACCTTGGTTCCATGTGTGGGCAGAAAAACCTAATTCGAAATTTTTCTCCTTTAGCTAACCAATGAAAATAAGTATCCAACTTCTGACCTAGTGGCTTTATTTTCCGAGGAAAAAATGTATAAAAATATGATTTTTTTTTTCTCCAATAAAGTTGTCTCCCTTACAGTCACATGTTGGTCTTCGTCTTCTGGCTTTCGCGGTTCAGTGAAGTATCGCATCTGAGAGGGAACTGTCGCTATTCGGACCCAGTCGAAGTATCTCACTGCGCCAGTAGCGTTCTCGTAATTCATATTATTCTGTCAATCACTTCAAACTAGTGCTACACTTCAATAATTGCGAAATTACTGTCAGCCATGTATAGGAACACCAACGGAGCTGTGGCTGATTGGTCTAAGCACTCGAGTTCCAACCGATAAGTCATAGGTTCGAACCTAGCTTCGCCTATAAAGGTTTGGGAACCTGAGGAGTATGGTATCATCAGACTTCAAGCACAATAGATACGGCTCAATAGCGCCTGCACGAGAGTGGATTTCCAGTTCGATAAGAACACGACCAAAACTCATTCTGGAAACACCTAGAAATATCGATAGGTTCAAACGAGCCTGGAAATTTGGTAGCAGCCTCCACGAACGTCAAAACCATATATACCATTAAGGGAAAAAAACCCACTGACACATGCATCCTAAAAACCAAGTAGATTTCATAAACGAAGTCCCAGTTAACTAACTAGGATTCGGTTTTATAAAAAACCTACTTTGAAAAAAAATCGCAAAATTTATCTCTAGAAGAACTCAAATCAATACATAGATGAATATAATAAAGCCACCTGCATACTCCTAAACTGATTTCTGAAAAATAGTATTTTTAAAAACATTGATTTTAAATTTTTGAGGAGTTGTGGAGATTTGGAATTATTTCAAGTTGTTATTCATAGTAGACTGACATCAGTTGGAGGAACAAACGAAACCTGGGAGCACTGGACAGCCGTTTCGTCCAACTAGTATGCGACTCCTCAACAGTGCGCACCCACGACACCGCACCACCAGGGATCGAACCTGAGACCTCCAGGTTCCGCGACCAGCGCGTTGCCATTGACCCATTGGGTCAGAATCCAATGCTCCATATTTCCAACTTCTGTTAGCTCACAATATAGCGCAACCGCCACCCAATGTCATTGTTGAGTAACTGTACTCACGACCACCGGTCACGACTTCTCATTGGAACTTCGGGAATACCTCCGAAGCTAGTCACCAATGAGCACCAGTTGCGGTTGCGCTACATTGTGAGCTAACAGAAGTTGTAAATATGGAGCATTGGATTCTGACCCAGTGGGTCAATGGCAACGTGCTGGTCACGGAATTTGGAGGTTGCGGGTTCGATCCCTGGTGGTGCGGTGTCGTGGGTGCGCACTGCTGAGGAGTCCCGTACTAGTCGGATGAAACAGCTGTCCAGTGCTCCCAGGTTTCCTTTGTTCCTCCAACTGATGTCGGTTTACGATTAATAACAACTTGAATTAATTTTAAAGCTCAATCAGATCTTAAAATGTGTTTGAATATTAGAAATTACTAATCATAATCATGACAGTCAATTTAGTGAGTAGATGTAAATCCATTCACTAGACTGCATCTACATCATACGCTCAACCCAACTTTTCAAACCTTTCTAAAGTTTTAATTTTTGGCAGACTAGATGAACGTCGGGAGCCTAAACTAATCAATTATATTTATTGACATACTTGTTATTCTCCGTTGTTTTACTGGATCGATTTGTTCGACCTCTGTTGGTATATGGGCTCCTATGCGGTTACCTCAATATCGCCTGAATATTTGTTATGATAATTTACCTGGTTGTGGCTAGCAGAAGAATCAAGGACGTGCGTTTTGTCTTATTTCGAACTCGTCAGCCAGATGTATCTGCGCTCCACTGAGTGACGTTCCCATTTGAACCTCAAACTCATCGCTTCAAACATCAAGGCTTTATCTACTTGACCACTGAGACACAATAGCCACAACGGGTACTAGTTATTACTGTTTATTGATATGTTTATGAATAAATATTCAGGCAATATTGAGGTATCCACAAAGGAGCCCATATGCCAATAGACGTCGAACAATTCGATGCAGTAAAACAAGAGAATTAAAAGCATATCAACAAACAGTAATAAGTGATAACTGTTGTACAAAAGGCGGTTATCATGTCTCAGTGGTCTAGTGGATAACGCCTTGGTGTTTAAAGTGATGGGTAGGAGGTTCGAGTCTGATTGGGAACAACATCACTCAGTGGAGTGCAGATACCTCCAGCTGACGAGTCTTAAATAAGACGAAACGCGCATCCTTCATTCTTCTGCTAGCCACAACCAACTAAATTATTCAAAAATAGCCTCGTAATTATATCCCACCTGAATTAAAACTCAATTTGTAAATCAGTCAAGCCATTATAAGCAACGAAACTTAGCATATCTCTCGTACTCAATCTAAACTGATAGATGTATGGATATTAACTTTAACCTGAATTGAGATACACACAAATGTATATGCTTGAATGTACAAATAAAAGTTGAATATGATTTGGCAATAAACAAAAATATACAGTCGTTTTATTTATCTTTCCTTATAATACTATTTTCAGAAATATACGAAAATTTAATCAGTGACAAGGGAAAGTTTACTCCACGTCACCGAATTCCTGTATGCAACGTCAATAAACCAAATATATAGTGCATTAAATCCAATAAACTTTAGGCGAATGCATAAAAAAAAGATATAACTTACAAGGGTCCGAACTTTGTAACTATTGAAGTAAACGAATGCGTCACAGTAAGCATGGTGACAGCAGGCAGCAATAAGTTCCGTTCTAACCAACAAGACCAAAAATAAACCACTTCCCAATGTATTAATCTGCCTTGAAAATCAGGTTTGATGATAGGCTTTACAAGTAATAACCATGGATATGGCTGTAAAATAATAATAATAATAATAATAATAATAATAATAATAATAATAATAGATAAATGCATTCAGCAACCATGAGCACATTTCTGCAATAGGCAATTATTATTATTATATTATTATTAGTCCCTTGGGTTCCTAGTGGAACATAGGGCTTCAGTAGCACGCCTCCAGTGACCTCTGTTCTCTGAGATCTTTTGAACCTGGTTCCACGACAGCCCACAGCCTCTCATTTCCTCCTCGCATGACCTCCTCCATGTCACCCTCGGACGTCCAACTCGTCGCTTCCCATGGGGATTCCACTCGAGGGCCTGACGCGTGATGTCCTCAGTCGGCCTTCTCAGTGCATGGCCAATCCATCTCCACTTCTTCCTGCATATTTGTTGCGTGATAGGTTCTTGGTTGGTTCGTTCCCAGAGTTCCTTGTTGCTTATTTTTTCTGGCCATCTGATCTTCAGCAGCGAGCGTAAGCAGTTGTTGATGAATGTCTGTAGTTTATTGGAAATGCCTTTCGTGACGCGCCAAGTCTCTGAGCCATACAAGAGCACTGACTTGACGTTGGTGTTGAAAATCCGTATCTTGTTCCACATGCTGAGTGCAGAAGATCTCCACACTGGTTTCAGGCTAATGAACGCCTGTCTTGCTTTTCCGATTCTGACTTTGACGTCCTCGTCCGTCCCGCCTGTAGTTGAAACAGTGCTTCCTAGATAAGTGAAGGAGGTTACTTCCTTCAAGTTTCTCCCGTTGACGGTGATTGGAGTTTGTTGTTGTTGTTGTTGATGGTGGTGGTGCGGTATCTTCATCACTTCTGTCTTCTCTATATTCACCTGAAGTCCCGTCTTAGCTGCCTCTTCTATCAACTTGTTAGTTTTTGCCTGCAGATCTTCAAGTTTATGTGACATTAGGCATAAGTCATCGGCGAAATCCAAGTCTTCTAGGTTCTTTTCCGTCGTCCAGTGTATCCCCCTCTTCTCGCTGCCTACTGTTTGCTGCATGATCCAGTCCACCACAATAAGGAATATCATGGGGGATAGTAGGCAACCTTGTTTCACTCCTGTCTTCACTTCAAAGGCATCACTGAGCTTCCCATTGTGGATTACTTGGCATGTGGCATCTTCATATAGTTGTTGAATGAGGCGGATAAAGGTTTGCGGTACTCCGTAGTATTGAAGCAGTTTCCAAATTACTTCTCGGTCGACGCTGTCAAAGGCCTTCTCAAAGTCGATGAAGTTGAGGTATAGAGCTGATTGCCATTCTACGCTCTGTTCTATGATGATACGAAGCGTTGCAATTTGGTCAGCACATGATTTGTACTTCCTGAAGCCTGCCTGTTCCGGTCGCAGTTTTGAATCCAGTGCGTCTTTAAGCCTCTCCAGGATGATGCGGCTTAATATTTTACTTGGGGTGGATAGGAGAGTGATTCCGCGCCAGTTCTTGCAAGCACTGAGGTCTCCCTTCTTCGGCAGTTTGACAAGGTAACCCTTCTTCCAATCGTCAGGTACCTTCTCTTCCCTCCACACCTTCTGCAATAGTGGTGTGAGCATGTCCGCTGTTGTCTCTGCATCTGTTCTCAGTGCTTCTGGCGGTATTCCATCTGGTCCTGCTGCTTTCCCGCATTTCAGTAGCTTTATGGCGTTCAGGACTTCCATTTTCGTTGGGGGATTTATGTTCACTTGTAATTCAGCGGCTGCAGGTGGTATTTCTGGACGAAGTGCAGGTGGTGGTCGATTCAAGAGCTTCTTGAAGTGGTCGGCCCATCGTTTCCTCTGTTTCTCTTCTTTTGTAATTAAATTTCCTTCTTCATCTTTTATTGGTTTCATCTGTGTTGGTCTCTTCCCTGATAGCAACCTGGTTATTTGATACAATGTCGTCAGGTCTCTCTTACCTGCAGCCTGTTCTGCTTCACTTGCCAGTGTTCGTAGAAGTGTCTTTTGTCTTTGCGTGCACTCTTCTTCACTTCTTTATCCAGTGTTTTATACATTGTGCTCAGTTCCTCTTGTCGTTGAGCATCCTTGCACTGGTTTATCTTCTGCTTCACCATCCTCCTCTCCTCTATCAGCTTCCAGGTATCCGTCGAGATCCATTCCTTGTCTTCTTTCTTCTTCCTTCCTAATACTGTTGTGCAGGTTTCTTTCCACATAGCTTTCAAAGACTTCCAGTGTTCTTCCACACAGGTTTCTTCAGGGATGTCCCTCGACGTCTCCCATTTTGTCTTGATGGCTGCTTTGAAGATCTCCTTTGTAGTTTCATCCTTCAGTTTCCGAGTGTTGTACTTGAATTGAGGTCTATCACCAGCTTCCTTGAAGGCTTTTAACTTGATTTGGAAGGTTCCTTGCACTAGATAGTGGTCTGAACCTACATCTGCTCCTCTTCTTGACCTTGTGTTAAGTAGACTGCGTCTCCATTTTCTTGAGATTGAGATAAAGTCGATTTGATTTTTAGTGTGTCCATCTGGTGAAGTCCATGTCGCTTTGTGGATATCCTTGTGCCTGAACACACTGCCTCCAATCACCAAATCGTTGAATGCACAGAATTCTGCAAACAATTCTCCATTCTCATTCATCACCTCACCTAGCGCCTCTCGACCCATGGTTAGTTCTCTTCCTGTGTTGTCCCCTCCCAGTTTGGCATTCATGTCGCCCATTAGAATTTTGATATCGCCAACTGACGTCTTGTCCAGTGTTGATTGAAGTTGTCTGTAGAATTCCTCCTTTTTCTCTTGCTCTGCATTATTTGTAGGTGCATAACATTGTATGATTGTGACCTTTCTTCCTTTTGAGTTGAATCTTGCTGTCATGATCCTGGAGGAGATTGGTTCCCACTGCATGAGAGCCTTCGATGCTCTTGAGGACATCATGATAGCCACTCCCTCAGTGTGCTCGTGGTTGGCGTCTGGGTGACCGGAGTAGATTATTGATTCTCCAGTTGACAGTTTGGAGAGTCCACTCCCATTCCATCTGCTTTCGCAAATCCCAAGCACTTCGATGTTATACCTTCTCATCTCCTTTGCAATCTGGGCTGCCTTACTGGGTTCAAACATCGTGCGGACATTCCATGTCCCCACGTTTACTTTCGCTTTCATCGAGAGAAGACACATCGGCCAATTGGCTTCCCGAAGGCTTTCACCAACTGGCGTCATTTCGCCTCTCCGATTCCAGCGGGGAATAAGTTTGTTTTCATTTTTTATATTTTGTTTGTGCTTTGAAGTTTCTTTAGCGGTTAGATTTGTTTTACGGGGTAGGGTTGCTAGCCCTATGCCCAACCTTCCCTCTTTACCCGGGCTTAGGACCGGCTAGTAACTAGTAAACTAGTTAACCAGGCGAGGTTGCAATAGGCAATGGACTACATATATTGTATGAGGGTTAATGATACTACCTGGTTTCCCACATCTCGGTAGATGAGACGGGGTCTGAACCTATTTTGAAAGTCAACTGCCTAAACCATTGAAGTAAAAGATAAACTCTAACTTCTAGTGGTAAACATAGCACAGAAGAACGAATATAGTTATAAAAAGCTTGTTTCTGAAAGTAGACACCAATATATACAATTCGAAATTTTATTGATTTTGGAAGTGCATACAGATTATGAACATATTCTTCATCAGCTTCTAAAACTATATTTCTAGACCATTTAAATGACCGATCAGTCGAAAGGAACGTATTCCATTCAGAGATGTGAGGGTGGCTACCCACACTGTGAAAGGGTATTTCTCATCGAGGTATCTGAAACAGTAACGACGGAAGAACATCTGTGGTTACAAAATAGTATTTTGGAAGTCTGAGGTTTAAATTTATGTGTTTAGTAAGGGCAGGAAATTCCTACTAAAGGCACCTGATGACCACAGGACAGGAAAAGCAGCATCCGCGTGGATTGTCCGTCATATATGAGAAACATCTTACTACTGTCACAACCCTGTCCAAACAGTGGTGCGATTTCGCCTTCTGACCCTTCCTTTTGATTTGAATCTCGCTGTCATGATCCTGATCCTGGAGGAGATTGGTTTCCACTTCATGAGTCTTCGATGCTGTTGGGGGCATGATGATAGCTACTACGAAACTCAGTGTGCTCGTGGTTGTCATCTGGGTAACAATATCGGAGTAGATTATTGACACTCCAGTTGACAGTTTGGAGAGTTCAATTCCATTCCATCTGCTTTCGTAGATTCCAAGCACTTCCATGGCATAACTTCTCATCTCTTTTGAATTCTAGGAAGACCAGCTAGGTTCAAACATTGTGTGAACATTCCATGTCCCCATTCTTACTTTCGCTTTCATCGAGAGAAGACATATTGGCCAATTGGCTTCCCGAAGGCTTTCACCAACCGGCGTAATTTGGCCTTTCCGATTCCAGAAAGGAATAAGTTTCTTTTTATTTTTCATGTTTTCTTTGTGCTTTGAAGTTTCTTTAGCGATAGGATTGATTTTCCTGGGTAGGGTTGCTAGCCCTATGCGCAATCTTTTCTCTTTATCCGGGCTTAGGACCGGCTAGTAACTAGTGAACTAGTTAACGAGACGAGGCTTTCGTCTATCCCTAATAAATTACAATTATTGCACTTTTGATGTATCCTAAACACATTCACATCATCACAGTTCCTTACACACTTTCGTGAACAATAGATATGATTCAACAAATTAATACCATTAAAAACTCTAGGAAAACTCACAAAACTCGATTAATGACAACGTTAAACAATTCACATACTGCAATTGATCTAGGAGTATATTCAATCACTTCAAAAATGTACTATCAAAAACTTAAGTGAAAAAATTGCATATGAACATGCTTTAGGTAGTTTCAAATAGGATAAGGAAATACATTATTTCAGTAGCAAGTAGAATGAAAAACTTGCTATGTTCGAAAGGTGTAAGAGATACAGTGATAGGTGTTATGTTTTCAAGTGGATATAATACACACGCTTGACTGACAGCTAACTTCATATAACAGATCCACCAACTCCGACACCGGACAAAAAACAGAAGACTGGAGTGTATGAGAGAGTGTAATACCTCCAAGGAGAATAGTCAATTAACCCAAAAGCACGTGTGTATGTGTATACATACAAAACATATGACGTTGTCCAGAATTTGAAATATTAACATAGTAAAAACAAGCACTAACCAATTAGCGACTTACGTTGAAAATGGGGAAGGAGCAAATGAACTATTGGTTATGTCGTGAAAATAGTATGAAAACGACAATTTAAAAATGTCTACATGAATAAACGATGTTTTATGTAAATCTGGGCCCTTCCAACAATAAGAGTGAACGATAATAGTTGTTATATATTCATACTCACAACGAAAGCTCAGTAAAAATGATGATAACTAATGAGTCTAGTTTGGGGTGAAAAGTCTATGATAAACGAAAATAGATACTACGAAAAAGTAAATTGGGTCAAATTAACACACTTTTATAAAACAAAGAAATAAGAAAATAAAAGTATGATATCAAAACTGGACGTATTAGGAGATAAGATATTCATGATTTACTTAGTGACACTTTTTTGCTGTTATTATCTATGTTACACACGATCTCCAAATTATATGATGAATAACAACTCGAGATAATTCCAAATCTCCACAACCCCCTCAAAAAAATTTAATTGAACTGGTGCTCATTGGTGACTAGCCTCGAGAAGTATTCCCGAAGTTCCACTGACAAGTCGTGACCGGTGGAGTCAAAGCCTGATGGCCATGAGGACAAATACTCAGCGATGACATTGGGTGGCGGTTGCGCTACATCGTGAGCTAACAGAAGTTGGAAATATGAAGCATTGGATTCTGACCCAATGGGTCAATGGCAACGTGCTGGTCACGGAATTTGGAGGTCGCAGGTTCGATCCCTGGTGGTGCGGTGTCGTGGGTGCGCACTGTTGAGGAGTCGCATACTAGTTGGACGAAACGGCTGTCCAGTGCTCCCAGGTTTCGTTTGTTCCTCCAACTGATGTCAGTCTACTATGAATAACAACTTGAAATAATTCCAAATCTCCACAACTCCCTCAAATTATATGTGTTATAAGTCTTAAGAGATCCAGTCGGAATACCTATATTTCGTTACTGAAATGACACCAACAAACTCAAACCCTATCAGTTCATACCATGTTTCAATTCAGCTAGTACTGAGAATGAACTAAGATTTCAAGAAAACAAGACCAAAAACATCTGGACAAGCTTCATTTCTGAAGTTTGTACTGACTAAATATTTCATCATTTGCCTGATGCTTAAAATAAGAATTCGAAAACTGTACCAGATGTTGTTTGAGTTCAATCACAATAAAATACACAATTGGATAAGTAAATGCATAACTATTAAACAACCTATTAAAATAGAGAATGAGAAGTACTCACCTTACGAAAATTAGGCCAAACATAGTATAAGACAAAACCCAATGTAGAACTAATCCAGATCAGAATACGATAATGATACGGTTGAAGGTAAGAGATAGAAGTAAATGAGCTTGTAAAATGAACAACAAACGCTGATGTAAACCAAACAATCGATGACAATAAATCATTTTCAAAACGAGCTATTAATGAAGCTCTTATTAAATTGGGTAAAGGATCTCCTTTCTGATATTGTGATTGTGTTGTTTGTTGATCTGATAATAATGAACTTGTAACTTGATCCTGTTGTGTATTCAACCTTGAATCATCTTTACTTGCAGGTGGAGTACTTACAGACTCAGGTACATTCTGACATACTGAAGATGGTAAAGTACTAACAGGATGATTGTTTAAAGTACTATTTATTGTTAATTTCTTACTCTCATCATTTTCATTATCTTCAGAATTGATCCAATTAGATATACCAGTGGTAGGAGATGTTGTAAGTTGCTTGATTTTTGAATCTTCAAGAGGTAAATTGTATTGGAGAGCAGGTGTGGAACTAGACTGGGTTAACATATTATGCCTGTTTAGTTGACACGGTAGACTAAAGCTATGAGCTTTTTATATCATTAAAAAAAAAGGTGGAAGAAAGTTTGAAAATGAAATTTATATTCAGAAATATTATTATAGGTAAACATTACTGTTCATCATTATATCATGTCTGTCAGTGTTTACAAGAGAAGTAACACATAAGTACAACTTCACTTTCATTCTACTTGATTTATTAGGTGTAATACATAGTGGAATAGTATGATTTACAAGATTCCGTTTCGAATATGATCTGATATGACTATGGACAATAAATTATGCCCAAAACGTAATCCAGTATATATTACACTGTTCCATTGTGTGATACATCTAATAAATCAACTAAGACAGAATTACAATCTATCACAGTGCTCAAGTTTTACTCTCCCTTTGATTTCGATAGGACTATTTCCACATTGATTTTTTAATATCTAATCATAGGTACATCTGAAATTATGATCATAACAGAATACAGAGTACTGACTTATGAAAGCAAAATTTTGGAAGCTTGGTTGTTCATATTTATGTGGGTTTCATTTAGTTTGATAATTTGACGAATGAACAACGATATATGTATGAGGAAGAAAGCGACAGAAATGGAAAAACTGCTTTATTTATTCCATTAACTGAGGATATCATCACATTCATACATACACTACAAACATAGGGGTGATAAGATAACACTGTCTTTTCAAATTCTCAAATAAATTATAAAACTTCAACATAATTCAAATTTTCGCGTAATCACAGGTATATAAGTCAACACAATAGATACTGAAAAGTTAAGCTGTCTCTAACCATTCACTTTGACTGCATCGTAGACAGTGAACACAAAGATTATTTTTAGTATTATCTGCCCCTTGGGTTCCTAATCGAACATAAGGCTTCACTAGCACATCTCCACTACACTCTCTTCTATCAAACATTTTCAACCTGACTCCACAACAAACCACAAACACTCATTCATTCATCACACCATCTCCTCCATCTCACCCTCACCACAGACGCACAACTCATCGATTACCATCTACCTTCCACTCCACTAACTGGCCTCCTCCGTCATATACCCACCCACTCAACCTCATCAGTCTATCCCAAATCCAATCCATCTCCACTTACTTCCAGTGCATATTTCTTCAGCAATACCTTCTTCGTTCATTCATTCCCACAGTTCCTCCTTCCTCATTCTCACTAATCTCACCATCTCATCTCATCTCATCGCATCTCATCTTCAGTAGCGAGTAAGCACACGCACTTGTTCATGAATGTCTGTAGTCCGTCGGAAATACCTACACTGACGCACCATGTCTCGCAACCATCACATACAACCACTCACTTCATCTTCGTCTTCAAAATCCGCATCTCCTTCCACATGCTCACAGGAGTGCAGTAGATATCCACACTGGTTCCAGGCTAATGAACACCTGCCTGTCTTGATACCTTTCCCATCCTAGCTGACTTCGACGTCATCGTATGTGCCTGTGACACCGACTGTAGTTGAAACAGTGCTGCCTACCTAAGTAGGTGAAGGAGGCTACTTCCTTTACGTTTCTCCCATTCATCGTGATTGCAGCTTCTTCTTGTTGGCGGTGGTGGTGGTGTTGGTGGGGTATCTTCATCACCTCCGTCTTCTCCACATTCACTTGAAGTAGTCTTCGCTACCCTGTCCTGCCCTGCTCTGCCTACTTCTTAGTTTTCGCCTGTACATATTCAAGTTTGTGCAACATCAGACACAAGTCATCACTGGCCAAATACAAATCTTATACGTTCTTTTCCCCGCTTCACCCTAACCCGCCCCCCCCCACCCCTCTTCTCACAGCTCCTCACTGTTTGTTCCATGATCCAGTCGACCACAACACAATCACGAATATCATGGCGGATAGTATAGTAGGCACCCTTGTTTTACTCCTGTCTTCACTTCACTTCAAAGGCATCACTGAGCTTCCCATTGTGAATTACTCGGCATGTGGCGTCTTCATATAGTTATTGAATGAGATTGATAAAGGTTTGTGGTATTCCGTAGAACATAAAGGTTACAAAGCGTTTATATCTCAAATGAATAGAAATATCCTAAACACTTCAGCCAATGAGAACTTACAACACCACCAAGTGTGATTTATACATTTCAATGAACATTCTATCTATGAAATCAGCATTAGTGGTTTCACCAAATACAGGTAATGAGCACTGCTGATGTTCAGATATCTTACCAGCACCACAAATAGTAACAGTTGGAGACAGATAGAAGTAGCGTAGAACCTTGCACACAGAAGTGTATCATTTCAAGCTGACACATTTCATAGTAGAATGCAAACAAAAAAATGGATAGAAAAGATTGAAACCAAAGTAGACAAGGTGTTTGGGAAGAGAGAAAAATTCAAAATAAAGGTTTCTCAAAATCTTGAAGCTTGAAAAGACGTCAAAGAGTGAATACATCTGAGTCAATGGGTCCAATTTCCAGCCAGGGGTTTGCAGACATCAATTCCTGTCGACTCGACGACCCTAATCAGGCAGTCTACACCTCTCTACACGGCTCAAACCAAAGGCTTTATAGACTGGTACGATGTCCTAGAATGGCCTTAATATGAGACTAGCATTTGGGCACTGTGGTAGACCAAAATTCCATTATAGTTCCATTTTATATATGTATCACTCAGTGAAACAGTATTATGTACTGATGACGTTTCGAGTAGGATTTATTGATCATTATCAAATTAAGGTAACCACAGAACTTTCTGGTCTAGTTTTTATGACCCTGTTATTTTTTATTCTTTGTTTTAGTTGATAGTAAGAGTTTCCACACATCCGTAATTGATGTACAGAGACTCAGTTATCACTCTTTCTCTTCACCCACTCAAGTTATTTTTTCAAATAGTTACTCTGTCCCACTTTGTTGTGTGGTTGTGTGACAGCATGAACGACGTATACTAGGTTAAACTAGATGACCAGGGTTAATAAGGTGAGCAGAACACAGAAACCTAGCTAAACGTAGAATGATGGACCCCAGTAAGATAAGAAATCTACAAAAGAGCCCAGCCATAGCTATGCGTGCTGTCAGACACAACTACACAATTAGATAGGATAAAATGACAATTTGAAGAAATAACTTGGGTGGGTAGAGACAAAGGGATCAATAACTGAAGTTTTGTTTATCGAATCTACACCTGAAACATGTAACAGAAGTAACACAACACCAATACCCGATATATGAGTAAAACTTGGTCACTGTGGTAGATTGTAATTCCATTTTAGTCCCTTTATTAGAAATGTCACACAGTGAAAAATTATTACTTACTGGACGTCTCAGATATAATTTATTGTCCACATACATATCATATTTGATAAACAAACTGAAATGGAATTACCAATACCCAATGTTTTCAAAATTTAACGATTAATTAAATCAAAGAAAGACAACAGAACTATAAAACTAGATCATAAATGTGAACATAGAATTTGGGCACACTGGTAGAATTTAATTCCACTTTAAATTAGTCTATATGATATAGTGGGCGATGATTGAAGTTGAAGCGAAAATTTGACCCGCGGCAGGATTCGAACAATGAGAGTCACATTTGATGTAAATGTCTTCTTTCGGGACAAAGTAGTAAGTAGGTTTCGGTTATCAGGCTTGGTCTCTTTTGGAAAAAAGGTCTCCATCAAATTTATCAGTTGAGACAAAGTTGACAGACCACCGAAACCTGAGCCTCACTTTGTCCCAAAGGAAGACGTCTTTATCAACCCTCCGTACAAAGGTGACTCACACGGCGCAATCCTTAAGCACGCATAACGCTTCTATCAGGAATATGTATGTAGCTAGCATCCAATTCATAAAAACCACCAAACCTGTATACCCTACTTAAACCTAACAGCACGTAAGCAATTATGTCAGATCCCATTGCATCTACCAATACAAATTTACATGTGGTGACACATGAAGAGAGAACTGATAGATCCATGGAAGTAAGGGCCTTGAAGCATACTCCAAAGTGGCTTCAAAAGTGAATCGAATCAACTGAACCCATAAACGTTGGTAGCAGAAGTCCAAGTTCTTCGACCGCACAATATGTAGTTGAGACAGACCACAGGACTGACATCCCCATGTCTTTTAGACCAATACAAAACGTGCTGGGAACGGAGCCTTAGATTTTTCAAGGCCTTAACTAATAGGAAGTTTAAGCCACCTTTTGTGTTCGAAAATAATATATCCCACTAAACTTCCATTGGTGGATTCAACTTTGCAACCAAGTTCGATGTACAACTATTTCCGCTCCATTGTTTTCATTGCTATTTGGCCTTTAATTTAACATTCCATAATTGATCTCTTTTCACATTCTCACCTCTTATAACCTCTTTAACCTATGACGAGTACGCGTGTGATTAGATTATTCGAAATGTGTTCGCGTAAATACATTACACGACTGTGGCAAATTACATCTTCTTATAGTTTAGTCGCAGAATTCATTGCACATAATCATATCAAGGCAACTGTACAACTTTGATCACTGAATCTCTGTTTATCAATTCAACACCTAACACGTATAATCGAAATAATGCAACACCAGTTTTGTATGTGTGGAAACTTTTACTATCAACTAAAACAAAGAATAAAAAACAACAGGGTCATAAAAACTAGACCAGAAAGTTCTGTGGTTACCTTAATTTGATAATGATCAATAAATCCTACTCGAAACGTCATCAGTACATAATACTGTTTCACTGAGTGATGCATATATAAAAAGGAAATATGGTGGAATTACACTTAGCCTTCTTCCAATCCAATCCTACCTCATGTGTCATTGCATATCGATTTAGACGGCGGTTCAGTGTGTGTAACACATGTCTCAGCCACTTCAGTCGCACAAGGTTCATAAGCTCATTGCTTTCCTTACCTCACCGAAACATTGTTCACACGGTGATTTCACCATACGAGAGCAACGATACGAAGACATCTGAGGTCTCTTCTTGTTTCCCACTCTCAATAACTATTCGTCAGAGCTGTATAACGGAACAGAACGATCCACAGAGCTGAAAACTTATCCCTTAACAGATAGTCGGATACCTCGCCAGTTGGCACCATAGATGATGCGAAGTGGCAAATGCCAAACGGGCCTTCTTTATCCAAGCTGAGATTTTGTCAGCAACCAACCCGTTCGGGCTAATGCAACTCCACAAATAAGTGAGGTAGTCGACATGTCCCACTACTTCACTCCCTGTTATTAAACTGGTAGAAGTTGCAACTGCATGAATTAAAATAAACAGCTTTGATTAGCGCTACATACTTGCTCGCTACTCAAACTGAACCCACACGAAAACACTGATTGGCACTAAAGCAGTGCGAATGATGTAACTATGTAGAAAAGCGAAACGGTCCACTTAATTAGCCACTTTACTCTCTACCAACAGACAATAGACTAGTTCACATAACTCAAAGAAACAATATGCAAAAAAGAGGTAATCAAATCATATTACAAATGACTTGTGTTTGGTATTCAAACGTTTGAAGCATGTCAGCACAAACAATCTGTAAAATTATTTCATCCAGAATCTCTGATGCAACTAAGGAATTTCTTATGAGATCAATCACAGAAAATTGGAAGGATTAATCCGACATTTGGCAGAAGGCTTATGATAATGTTTGACAAGTGGAGAAATTGTATATCGCTTAACAACAATAGTTTGTGTGGTAGTGTTGTCAGATAAACTATAGTGACGCCTCACAGAATAAAGACTAAAGATCCGCAAGTGATTTAACTATCCTGTTAGACATAAGTATAGTCACAAGAAGTCTTAAATGAAGTCATCAGGCTGAGAATTATATTCAGTGCAAACATTCTCAGGTATGTCTGTGTTCTATGACTTAGTTGACAGCAGATATCTGATCAATACAAACAGTTTAACGTCTAAAACCTGTTTAGTTTTTTTTCAGTTTGTTATTATCAAGGGCCCAACTAAGCCTCAAACAGTTAACTTGATAAGTAGTTATAATAGCAATAGCTTATCTAGAAATTAACCGAAATGACTAACATCAGTTGGAGGAACAAAGGAAACCTGGGAGCACTGGACAGCTGTTTCGTCCCACTAGTATAGAACTCCTCAGCAGTGCGCACCCACGACCCCACCACCAGGGATCGAACCGACGACCTTCAGGTTCCGCGACCAGCGCGTTACCATTGACCCACTGGGTCAGAATCCAATGCTTCATATTTCCAACTCCTGTTAGCTCATCATATAGCGCAACCGCCACCCAATGTCATCGCTGAGTATTTGTCCTCATGGCCATCAGGCTTTGACTCCACCGGTCACGACTTGTCATTGGAACTTCGGGAATACTTCTCGAAGCTAGTCACCAATGAGCACGAGTTCAATTAAATTTTTTTGAAGGGGTTGTGGAGATTTGGAAATATTTCAAGTTGTTATTCATCCGACTGTTATTCCTCCAACTGATGTCAGTCTTCGATGAATAACAACTTGAAATATTTCCAAATCTCCACAACCCCCTCGAAATGACTAAATTTGCAGAGAGATATAAACGATGAACAATTAGGAACTAAAATCTATAATCGATAGTGGAATACAACAAAAAAGATGTTTCGATAACGCTATTAGAAGACGAAGATTATCTGAGCAATGTGATGTATCTGCGCAATACATTTCGAACAATCTGATCACACACATTTACTTGTCAAGTCAATTTATATATGAAAATTAAAGGTTAAATATAGTGAATATGAAAAGGTTGTGACACTAGTCTTGGTAATATAATCAGATTACCAAGGATTACCAAGGTAAATTAAGTGAAACAACAAATTGTTTTTGTACACACAGCGGGGGATTAAGTTTACGAATGGCTAACGCTTCGACAAACTTCAGTATGCGCCCCTGATTATTCCTGTATATTATCTTAAACGCTGGTTTCGTATTTACCCTGTGATTCATTTCAATAATATGTTTTGCTATAGATGACGATGGATGTCTGTCACCTGAACTTATCAAAGTTTGTGTGTTAAACTGTTTTTCTAGCCATTTGGGGATATGTTCACCCACCGTAGTCTGCATTGAACGATTACTCCTCCCTATGTATGTGTACCCACACATACATGTAAATTGGTAAACGCAGTTAGATGTGATGTAATCATTTGTGCGAGGTTGAGGTTTGTGGTGAAGCAGGTGTTTTGTCATCTCAACAATGATAAGCTGAGCTGCATAGTATGTTTTACTGATAACAGAATTTAATCGCTGCTTCAATATCATACTACTTGTTTCCCCTCTGTATGGTACTTTAAAAAATATGCTTTTCTTCGGGACCGAGGAAACTGTAGGCTTTGGGGTCAACTGTTTTTTACAATAGTTGACAAACTGTAATGGATAACCGTTTTTCACTAGTGTCTGTCAGAAACTTATTCTCATCATCCATCTTATCACATGTACAAATACATTGGATCCTATTGAACAAGCATCTTACCATGCCTCTCTTATATTTCATCGGACAAAAACTATGAAAATTCAAATACTATCCTGTCCAAGTAGACTTCCTATATATTGATCGTTTTATAGATCCATCTTCCCTCCGGCACAAGAGTATATCAAGAAATGCGAGTTGATGGTCTTTTTCTTCCTGACATGTCAGACTGATATGATCTTGTACGGTATTAAGCCTTTTTAATAACCTCTTGGCATCCTCATCTATGTCACATAATACAAAGATATCATCCACATACCTTCTATAGAGTGTGACATTGATGATTAGATCTTGAGCCGTTAGTCCAGTATGTGACATATATACATCAGCTAATAACGGTCCTAATGGACTCCCCATGGCTACACCACCAAAAAAGATGTTAGAGGAGAACATCTACATATATTAATTATGAGATAGTACGATATTCAAGGGATGTTGTTACACTATTTTTGCTACACTCACCTGGTAATCCACATTCAACATCTATAACTCCTGTAGTATGTGATAAACGAGTGAGTAAAAGTTCCTCAGTAGTCCCATCATTTTGTGTAATCATTGCATTTGTAGATTTCATATGAAGATTTGGAATTAAAAGTGGTAATCTTTTCCACCATTTAGGTTTATCAAGATGAGTTATTTGAGATTTCTTTTTCCTTGACCAAAACTGTGATCGACTAAGTAAATTAGGTCTCATACTTAGTGTATACCAAATATTGTAAAAATAAAATCTAATACGATTCCAATAATATATACGATGTTCAAGAGATGGTAATAAAGTTGAATAAAGTATTATATTCGATGGTAGACGACTTAATAGAAAGCATAAAGCTATTTCTGCACCCCAGTATACAGAAAACAGGATACATTGAGGATTTATTTTCTAACAGAAATATTAAAATGAAATGTAATATGAGATGATAAAACTCTTATAAACAAAATAAAAAGTGATTTTATAGAAGGGGAATTAACTGACCTATGGCTAATATTATCCTTTTTCTTAAGTTTTGTATAGTAATTTTGAACTCATAGATTTATTGTCTACTTCTAAATATTCGTAGAACAAAATACCATTTCTGCTTTAATATTTGCATGCTGTCACCATCAACTATTACTATTACTATTACTACTACTACTACCATTACTATTACTATTACTACTATTACTACTACTATTACAGAGTATCTCTAGAAAGAATGTTAATTTAAGGAAAAGTCTACAATTGTACATATTTGTCTACATAGTTACAGGAGAGATAAAATTGTCCTATTTAACAATCTATATACTGAAAACTATATCAGTTAAAAACAGCAAAATCCATGAAAAATAGTACAAATCAGTATATATGGTATGACTCATATATCAAAATTACACAGTTCTATTTCATCCATATTTTGTAGTTCCTGGTAAAGTGACAGCCTAAATAATAAAAACATTCATAAGCAAATACTAAAACATGAAGTATATCAAACAACTTTCATCCTCATCTTGACTTACAAAATAATCTCTGTAAAACACAGTCCAAGATTTATGAAGTAAACATCTAGATTACGTTTTCAAGTAAATGTAAGTAATGAAGAACATACACGGGAACTTTAATTGTTTATGGCTAGCAGAAGAATCAAGGATGTGCGTTTCGTCTTATTTAAGACTCGTCAGCTGGAGGTATCTGCACTCCACTGAGTGATGTTGTTCCCAATCAGACTCGAACCTCCTACCCATCACTTTAAACACCAAGGTGTTATCCACTAGACCACTGAGACACAATAACCACCTCTTGTACTACGACTATTACTTATTACTGTTTGTTGATGTGCTTTTAATTCTCCGTTGTTTTACTGCGTTGAATAGTTTGACTTCCATTGCCATATGGACTCCTTTACGGATACCTCAATATTGCCTGAATATTTATTCATAAACATATCAATAAACAGTAATAACTCATACTCGTTGTGCAAGAGGTGGCTATCGTGTCTCAGTGGTCAAGTAGATAAAGCCTTGATGTATGAAGCGATGGGTTTGAGGTTCAAATGGGAACGTCACTCAGTGGAGTGCAGATACATCTGGCTGACGAGTTCGAAATACGACGAAACGCGCGTCCTTGATTCTTCTGCTAGCCACAACCAGGCAACCGCACTGGAGCCAATAAGCTAATAGAGGTCAGGCAATTCGATCCAGTAAAACAATGAAGAATTACAAGCATGTCAACAAACAAACAGTAATACATAGGGATTGTTCATCTGATGAATCATATATCAACTATAGTAAACACAGAATCTAACATAACTATTTATTACTCCATAACGCAAAACTTTACATCAGGATACACAAATTAAATCAATAAAAGTAACAATAAAGAAGTAAATATACAGACATAAGTAGTCACAAAAAATCCTAGACGAAAAAGATAAATAATGACAATACAAGGTAACGATATGGATTCAATGTGTCTAATTCAATCGAATCCCTCGCTTAAACGTCCTGGTAAACCAGACTGGAAAAGATTCCCTTGTCTTATGGAAATGCTCTTATGACAACATACGTTCATAACTTGTTAGAGAAGACATATTCAACACCTTAACATGATGAGGTTATTTCCCAAAAGGTAAAATGATAGAAGTGAATGTACGGGAGCTTATAACTGAAGTAGTGAAAAGTTGGAAAAGCCTGACTCTAAGTTATTTGTGTAGATAGACTTCAAGATTCACAACAACAAAAATGTATATTATACAAATCTGGTCACAAGTAACCATGAGAACGCAACAGGTTGCCTTTTGCAATAGAATGAAAGTTAAAAATCTTAGAAATTAACCTACTACAATAAACATCTGATTTTTTTTGGTGGTGGGGGGGGGGGTTGGGCAGTATCGCCGCCAATCAACGATGATATGATCCTTATGGTACACATTTCTTGACATCAATTTTGTATCAAATCAGTGCTTAAAAACAAACAATAGAACTAAGTCTAAGTCATTTCACCTGTAGTGTACAACTATTGATTAAGATTATCCTTCAAAACCTAACCAATAACTACTATCTAAACAGTAAGTATACGATGATAAAACCCTTGATATAATTAATAAAATTATTAGACCAACAAAGCTTTCTAGTTCTAAGTGCTATGAAGACATGACACATGTACAAGACAGTCACTAAAATTTATTTTTCAGTAGTATCATAGTATTAAAAAAAATGGTGACTTACTTGCACTGCATAATGACATGGAATAAATGTTATCCCGATCACTATTAAAGTTCTAAGAAGAGATAATACAACTGATAAAAGACCAGTAGTACCTAGATAATTAAAAAAAAAAAGAAGGTAGATAAATAGTGAAAATTGAATGGGTTAGTTTGGGTGGAAAGGGAATTCGAGCAGGTAATGCAGTCAGATTAGTTCCCTTGTACAAATATGTATATTTTATTTCCTTAAGAACACTGTGATATAATTACAGCTAACTTTTACAATTATAACAGTGTTTTCAGTGTTTTTTTTTGAAATCCCTTCCCTCAAAACAGTCTTTTCATATCATTTACCTGCACAGTACAAGGTATAGAAAAAAAACCCTGAGGTCGACATATGCTTCATAAAGCTTACTGTTTATGAATGGTCATACTGTCATTTAGTGAACAAGGCAATAATAATAGCCGAGTACGGAGTAGAAATTATCGATTCGATGACGATTTTGGCTGAATATAATTCACCCTGGAAACATCAATCAACTCAAAATCAGTACACGATGAAGTAAAGAATATTTCACAGATCAGCGGTTCAGCATGCCATTCCTAACCACACGAAACCAAAAACAAAGGCTACAGAACAGAGTATCGTCAGCAATTTTCGCCTCAATAAACAAACCAATACCTCAACTCAAACTGCACTAAGCAACCAGGTGCACATATGTGCAGTAGGCAATGAGTCACACCTGTGGTTTGAGAGCTAGTGATACTAATTGGCTTCCAAGCCTCAGTAAGTGGTACGGGGCTCGAACCCACGACTTATCAGCTGGAAATCGACTGCCTAGATCAATGAGCCACAGCTTCGACACCCAACTTATGAGACGCAATCGTTTCTAGAATTGCCTTTGTAGAGTATAACATTATGAACTACAATTACAAAAACGGATCACAATTACTACTAATAACACAATCCGAAAGAAACTGATGGATAACGCAGATCAGTATTGTTCTCAACAATGTACTGAAAAACCATTACATTACATTCTAAATGTAAAGAGGATCGAATATTTCACTTAATAAGTAAAAGAATTTTCACATCTTGACCAAGACGAACTAGTCTACGAAAGTATCAAGTTTAGTAATGTAAATATCGAAACTACTCAGCATCATAACACTCTAGAGAGCTGAAAATAGGATACGATAATAGTATAGGGCTACCAGCTATATCCTGTGTTCATAAACTTAATTAATGATTTGCACATACAATCTTCAGCCGTGATCTAGTTGTCTCTATAAGTAATCTATACCCTTTGTATTACGCACTTAATTAACACTACTGCAGTGGGCGCTGCTGATAAGAAGGGATATAAGTAGTATATGTTGGGAGGGGGTAGAAAACAGGATTTACAACTTAGTAGATGAACACTATCAAAAGGATCATTAGATAGCATTTGATTACGAGACATTAGATTACAGGCTCGCACCTGTGTGGCTTATATAGGTCTAGAAAGCTGAAGAAGACCATATATATGTTCCTATACTCCATTTTACTGAAGGTGATTTGAACAATTCCAGTCACTGAGTTGAATATATCTGAGTAATTTGTAGACGAACTCGACAAAAACTAATATGATTTACATTTAGCAGATACTTATTAGTTAATATAAATGTTTTGTAAATGCACTACTTATAGAGGGAATAAGTATGTGTTGAATGGAAACAAGATAAACTCGAAAAAAAAAATTAGTATTTTTAGAGTTATCATAATAAAGATATCATCTAAATCAGTAGTTCGTGAAACTAACACACACCAACAAGTCAACTATCAAAGCTGAGAAATGAATAACTTGCGTGAATAATTGAAAGAAAAAAAAACAGTTTAAATGGCCTTCAATACTACTAAATTCTACAACCTATCTACTGATTAATCAGTTATTTGCAAGCATAGTAACTGACACATACATACATATACTCAAATATCTCTACTAAACTTGTATGTTTGTAAAACAGCTTTCATATAGTTGTGATGATAAAGATACTCTGATTGTTTGGATCTTCAATCTTTAATATTACTGCATAGATAGATTGATAGATGAAGTGAGAAAAAAAAAACGCTTGGAACTATGTTTAACGGTAAGTTTAGTCTATTTTGTTGTGCGTTACAACAACAGAATTAATCACAGTATAAGAATAAATTAACTAAATCAATGTACATACCGCTTGCTCCAAAAATATGAATATCCAATTGCTCTAAAGCATAAATGAGAACTGTGTTTATTTGAGGTATTAGGCCAAAACAAAATAATACGGGAAATATCAGTAGTATATATACAGAAGCACACTCAATCACATAGGAAATACGCTCCATAGATAGATCAATTCCATAGAATTTAATTGTTGAAGATTTGAATGTTTTTGAAGCTGGGACATGTAGAAGTTGGGCAACCGCCATATCATCTTTTCTACTGAGAATTCACTTGACTCAATCACACTAGGTGGTAGCATTTGTGAAGCTGACTGAAATAGTATGTTTGATTCAAAACGAAGCTCTCCAGTGTGTTCGATATTGGGCCTGTTAACTGTTTGAAGTACTGACTTTGGAGATTGACATATATAGTCGGATAGTAGATAAATGGAAGCAACGACACAAAAAAAGAGAGACCGTGTAAATACAATCACACGATTATATCCATGCCTGGGCGAAGCTGGATCCGGCTGGACACTTTTGATGAGTGAGTAATGACAGCCTGCAATAGTAAAACATGCCAAAGGTCCGTAGTCCTGAAAATTCAGAGTGCGCAAAGTATAGTAACCAACAATGCTGACTAAAGCAGCCAGGATGGAACTCAAGATTGCCTCTAGCATGGTAAAGCTTCTAAAATAAAGCAGAAAAATAACACAAACGGGATCTATCCAATCTTTAGTCTCGAAATCAATGGTATACAAACTTTACGATACCATTTGATCAACTCTATCGAAAAATCGAACAGGAAATATTAGGGACCACAGCATCTCCTGTAACCTGAATGGCTTTGACTTAGTGAAGAGACTCGCTTGCTGTGATAACTTAATACAGCTAAATGTTTGCTGACTAAGATTCTACGATGACATGAAGACCAACTAGGGAGTGACAATTCTAAACACGTTTTCATAGTGTAAGCTATCAGCATTGAGAAATAGGTTTTAGGATGTAGTTGTAATTTTAGCTGGATAAGGATGCAGTGGCAGTGAGATGTTTACTTCGTATGATCAATATTCCAGCTAAACTTTCCTTATAGGGAAGGACGTTGAATAATATATTGAATGATAAACCATTTAGCTTGTAGTTAGTTTTAAGTTGCCTACCATCTAATGTCAACTTGAACGGAACATAAACACCGGTTATCCGATGCAACGCACTCAGACACTTCGTGCACATCCGTGCAGTAGGCAATGAGTCATATGTATTGCATGAGGTATAGTGATATTACCTGACTGGTCAAACCTCGGGACTCGAACGCGCGACCCAATGGTTGATAGTCATCTTCCTAAACCATCGAGACACAGCTCGGCTATCTAACTCTGGTAGAAACTAAGAACACGAGTTCAAACATAAAAGAAAGTAAGGCAGAAAGACTGGACAATTGAGAGTCTCGAACGATAGCTGCCACCTTGATATGGTGGTCGGCCTTGCATATCGCAATAACTCAACGAGCTATACTGATAGGACGCTTGTTTCTCTCGAGGTCCAACCATACCAGAAAAGTTAGTGGAATAGTGGTGAGGTAAAAAAGCAGTTACACTACCATCAGAGTGTGAGTTGATATGATATTATGGGAGTCTGAGGGCGAAGTCGTACTACTAACTGGATGGGATGTAACAGCAGTAAAGTGTTTCCCTTAGATGACCAGCTGAACCTGCGAAAATATAAAGCTCCAGAACCTGACATTTTGTCGCATGAAATTTCCAAGGATAGCGGTAAGAAATTGCCAATTGAAGTGATGAAGAAGCCAGGCAGTGTGAAAACCACAGGCAGTGCCATTAAACTGACCTACTTCCTTGATCATTTCAGTCTGTAAGAAAGAAGATAAATCTTCCTGGGACCACCACGGGGCAACTAATTGAACTAATATTGTGTCTAAGATTCTAGGGTCCATAGTTATCCCACACCTAACTGGAGCCCCAGAACACAGAACTGGAGAACAGGAGACTCAAGTAACCTAAGCAGATTTCAGACCTGAATGAAGATGCGTCGATCAGATGTTCACCCTACAACAGCCCCCTGAACACAGACATACCAACCGGCCAGCGACCGACACTTGCCATATTTCCTGAACTGACGGTAGCATTTGACTCTGCCAACCGTCAGGTGTTTTGATACCAAAAAAGTATATAATGCTTATCAAAGCCCTCTAGTTGAAATCACCCAGCCATGTAAGGGCTTATGGAGAGTTGTCGTGTGAACTAGTGGTGTTCGTCAGCGAAACCCACCGTCACCGTTCATATTTAACTTCGTACTAATGAACATAACCTTAGTTACGTTTGACTTCACAGGGATTAATGTACTCTCTGGAGGACATCTGGTTGACTTGTAGTGTGTCAACGATATTGTACTGCTGTGTAAAGACACTGACAAAATACAGGAAAGATCTTGAGAAGACAGAAATTTGAGTACGTTTGGGAGGTATCCCGTGCCCGTCAAATGTAAGATTATGCTACAGGAATGGTCCGTAACCACTCCCACTTTTAGGATAGAAAGTGAATTGGTTAAATGGGTCGACCACTTCACTTACTTGGGGAGTTATATCAGCCGGAACGGACTGGATGTGGATGAAATCTCAGCCCGGATACAGAAAGCCTGTTTGGCATTTGCTAGTTGGAGCATCTGTGGCTCCGACTGGCGAGATACCCAACTATATATCAAAGGACGAGTATACTGCACTACAGTCCGATCTGTTCTGTTATACACCTGTGAGATATCGTCGTTAAAAGTAGAAGACATGAAGCAATTATAGGGTTTCGATCATAGGTGTCTTCACAACATTGCTGACGTTTGCTGGGATCACCGTGTAAACAATGCTGACGTCAGGCGAAGGATACTAGGCAAGGCAGTCAAGTCGAGTGATGAGGTTGTGAACTTTAGTCGACTGAGATGGCTTGGACATGTGTTGCGCATACCGATCAATCCACCATCTACATAGACGTGCAATACTAGGGGAAGTTGGATGAGGTGGGAAGAAGGTTGAGGATGACTAGACAGGAACGTGACAAAAGCCCATGAAATCCATGATTGTTGATGTGAATTGTGTGAGGAGATGTAGACTACCTAGCTGAGGTCCCCGAGACGATAGGAATCAGTGGTTGAGGGATCTTGTTGACATGGTTGAAAGTCGGTCACAATGGTGCAGATGTATTCACTCTTTGATGTCTTCTAAAGCTTGAATATTCAGACTAACTTTTATCTTCAAACTGCCTGTTCTCTCATATAATTTTGTCCACTTCGATATCACTCATTTTCTATCTACTTGTTTTTTTGTTTACTGTGGAATGCCACAACATGAAACAATACACTTGCGTGCGAAGTGCGACGTTGATTTTGTCTGTCTGTCTGTTTGTCTATCAATCTGTTTTTGACGGATTAACGACGGATACGAAAGCTTCGTTGTGTACTTAGCAACTCATATTTTTTATAGTATACGTAAGGTATAAGAATGACTATCAAAGGTGAGTATAATGCATATTACTTTCTAATTATTTTCACCAATTTTGACTAAAAGTAACGATATTTACAGCTTACACGTGTTCAATAGTGAATGTCTTTAACACACACTTTGCGTTTCATTACGATACATTATGAGGTTACATGTACGATAAATAAGTTACGGCAGCGAAACCTAACTGAGACATAGGATCCTATGAAGTTCATTCCAAATCAATGAGCATCTAGACATGAGATGTCAATGGAAGTAAATTAAAAATATGAAAAGATAAAGGGTGGTCAGATCGAAAGATAGCGCTGATCGGATAAGCCAGTGACTATGATTCGAAACGGTATAAAAATGTTAAGAATGAATGATCGGAGAAAATATGTGAAATAGCTATAAAGTAACCAACAAAACGGTGGAACGTATTCATGGTCATCGACGAAACTTCAAGCGCATAATTCATACTTGTTTTTTTCTCATACGCCACCCAATGTCATCGTTGAGTAACTGTCCTCACCACCATCAGGCTTTGACTCCACCGGTTACGACTTCTCATTGGAACTTCGGGAACACTTCTCGTGAGCTAACAGAAGTTGGAAATATGGAGCATTGGATTCTGACCCAATGGGTCAATGGCAACGCGCTGGCCACGGAACCTGAAGGTCGCAGGTTCGATCCCTGGTGATCCGGGGTCGTGGGTGCGCACTGTTGAGGAGTCCTATACTAGTGGGACGAAACAGCTGTCCAGTGCTCCCAGGTTTCCTTTGTTCCTCCAGCTGACATCAGTCTACGATGAATAACAACTTGAATATAATTCTGCCAATTATAGTCCATAAGACAACCAAAATCAGTGATCAGAGAGTAGGTAGTACGGCTCAAAGTCAATAAATGAGTCGATTTTTTCATTGCTTATCTTCACTTGAATACCCACAACAATCATTTTTATTTTCTTAGTCGATGCATTCTACCTTTTTATATCTGCCTATATTGTTTTCCAATCTGATTTTGATAACAAATAAATGATACAGAGAGAAATACTCCTTACAACTTGATGTCGATAATGATAGATGAAACGGAGAATGATGTAACCAATGACTTAACAACTATTCCAGTAATTTGAATAACCACTCTCTAATGAAACAAATAAGGGTATATGAAGTAACAAAGCTAAGTTCCCATTCATAAAACAGTAAAAAATTGTAACAATGTTACAGCCATGAACATACTTGTCAAAAACAGATCCCAACTGTAAACGGTTCAGTCGAACACGACACATAAACGGAAGGCACGGAGACAATGATAAAGTATGCACAGGAGCAGTTGGAGAAGCACGTTTAGACTGCAACCTTAAAGGTTTAAAACCTCTGCGAAAAAACCAAAGTAAAGAGTTTGGCGATGAACGATCTTCATCGTCAGAACCAGATTCATTGGATAAATTAGGTGTAGCTTCTACAATAAACAACATATTTGTTGACATGATAAAATTTACTTTTTCATAGAAAATATGATCGAAAGATTAAAATATTTACTTATAAAAGAGAACAATTTTTGGAAGAAAGGAACAAACAAGAAGACTCCACAGAAAATAAACGTATGAGGATATTCGCCAAAAGCAATTGTCCATTTGACGTTTTATTCAGCAAAAAAGTAGGCGTGAATACACTATGTAGACAGTAGTTCAGTACAATTACACTATTTCAGAAATTTTTTCCCAACACTTGAATAATCTTCTTACTCCTTCAAGGAAGAGACTGGGCTGTTTGTTAAGGTAGAAAGGTAAGCATAAAGCCGATTGCGGTTACAACAAACAGAAATAAAACGTCATCATATTCATCAAGTGAGAAGACTAGTTAGTTAATCCAGTATTAAAAATTATTGGTTACTTCATGTGAGGTAATTGTGTTCTGTAAGAAACCTGACTTGAGAAGATAACCATCTGCATCCTGAACGACTAACAAATTCTTCAGTTGAGATTAGCCTTTCAGTAAACCCGTGAGAAGATTATGAATTTCTGCTAACTTGTTCTCACTATCAACTGGTTGTAAGACCTTGTTATGGCTCACAGGTAGTTAATTTGAAACACATACTCTTGGTTTCCTTCACATTTCAATATTATGAGCTAATACTAACAATTTACAGGTGAACAATGAAATCCGATAACTAGAAAGTCATGGTTAAAAAGCAGTGAAAATGTAGACTTTAAGCTGCTATACAAAAACAGATAATCTTCATTATACGTAAGACGTATAACAGTTGTATACAAGTAAAATACATCCAGAGGTTTGTGGGGATATATTTCTTGATTTCAGGTTGGTATTCATAGTGGACTGGCATCAGATCGAGAAACGTTGGAAATCGGCGAGCACTGGACGACTGTTTCGCACTGTTATGGCACTTCTAAGGCAGTGCGTACCGACAACCCTACCAGAGATTGAACCCAGAAGGTCAAGCCATATCGTGAACTGATAGAAGTAGGGAATATGAACCATTGGATTCCGACCCAGTGGCTCAATAGGAACGTGCTGACTGCGGGATCCCTGGCGGGATCGTGGGTACGCACTGAGTCCAATAGCAGGACGAAACACCTGTCCGATCCTCACAGGTCTTCAATATTTCTAAAACTGATGTCAGTCCATGTTGAACACCAATTTGAAACCCTTAAATACATTCTTTTTAAATTACTTCATCGGTCTACACATTTTAGTTAAGTACAAAATAAGAACAATAATGTAACAGCAAAAAGATAATTAGAACGTAAAATGAAAGTAACAAAATCACACCTTGTGTATTAATCTCATTATCACATTGTCTATTTTCATCGATTGGATGATATGTCCTAACATTCAATTCTTGAACATCCCTTTTATTTTCTTCAGAATTACCACAAGATGAAACGATCCGGTGAGTGTCACTAGCACTAAAAAAAACAATTGTTATGATAAGAGACTGACTAGAATAAAACGATAAACTTTAGCAAAATGAGGTTTAGTACAAGAATATATAAAGTCGATTCCCAAACTCTTTAACATTAAAAATAAATAAATAAACCGTATAAAAGAGGTAAGTAGAGTAAATCCTGAATTTAGGGCTTTCTATCAATTAGTTGCAAACATTCAACACCAAACAAAATAAGTCACAATATCATAGCACTTAGCTCAGTGACTGTATTGTATACTACACTAATTGAAATTGACAGGAACTGAGAATTCCACGACTGCACAACCTACTAACCGACAACCGATTTGTAACAGCAGAATATGTAACTTTTAATATGTTACCTAAAATATTCAAACACATTATAACAAGGTATATTCATCACATACTGACGTCAGTAAGAGAACCATCAAAAACCAAGGAGCATTGAACAGTTGTTTCGTCCCACTATGAGACTCGTCACCAGTGCACATCGACGACACCATGAGGGATTGTGCCCAGAACGGACAGGTTTTGCGGCGATCAACGTTCCCATTCAACCTTTATCTTTGAATCCAGTGGTCATTGAAACCAATCAATCCCTCCAAACAACCAATTGACTTCGATTATATGTCTCTTTAGATATCTAAGGCGAGAAACTAGATGTTTCGATCCATTTTAAACTAGGGCTAAGTCATCTCGTATACTGATATCACCTCTCGGTTTATTTAAATTACACTGTTATGCGTATTTGTAGTGAAATCAGTCTACTCATACAATACAGGTTTACAACCTACTGAAATAACTTATCCTCTTTACCTACCTCTACTTATCTAACCTCAGGATAACTCACCAATTACCATATTATGGGTTGTCAAGTATGTTTGCTTCTCTGGTCACTAAAACATATGGATAGGAAGAAAGAGAACAGAACTACTGTCGACGTAATTCCAAACAGTACCGTATTACGATGCAAAGATATACGAAAGGTAAATAGAACTGAAAATTACTCGATGCTAATTTTCGAACATGATACAATTAGTACAAATTTTTCAAATATCTAAGACTAGTTATTGCCAACAGTTAAGAAACTTATGAAGAATTTGAAAATCTACACATATCTAACAGCTGATATTTCGCCTTTAATTATTATATTTCCCTGGGTAATATATTATTATGCTGATGAAACGGTTAGATTTTGTAGTAAGCATTCAGACTAGATTACAATCCTGTCAACTATTAAATCAAATATAACTTTCAACAAATTGAAGTGACCTCTTATCCATGTTGCTTAAAAATACCCCAAGATCCTCAAAAATGGTAATATGGATAAGTTATCCAAACTTCAACAATAAATGATTGACTAAGCTTATCTTTCTTCTTTTGATATAAAACTGTTCGTATGATAATCTTACAGTTGAAGTATACGTATACAGTGAAATATATGTCATAATATTGAGGCCTAATTTTATTCTGGCACTGTCTTAGGAGTTCTAACCTATGCTAAAAAGGCATTACATGATATGAATCAAGTTTTTCTAGCTTCTAATGTCGAGTATTTATACACCAATATGTCGACAACAAAAAAAAAGCACTTTCTACTACAGGCGGCACAGACGAGGATGTTAAAGTCAGCCAGGATCGGAAAGACAGCAAGACAGGCAGGCGTTCATTAGCCTGGAACCAGTGTGGAAATCTACTGCACTCCGCTCAACATGTGGAACAAGATGCGGATTTTCAACACCAACGTCAGTCAAGTCAGTGCTTCTGTATGGTTGAGAGACATAGCGCGTCACTGTAGGGATTTCCAACAAACTACAGACATTCATCAACAGCTGCCTACGCTCACTCGATATTGAAGATGAGATGATGAGATTAGTAAGAATGAGCAAGGACGAACTTTGGGAACGAACCAACCAGGAACCTATCACTCAACAAATATGCACTGGAAGGAAGTGGAGATGGATTGGGCATACACTGAAGAGGCCGAGTGGGGACATCACGCACCAGGCCAGTTACTCGAGTGGAATCCCCATGGGAAGCGACGAGTTGTGCGTCGGTGTTGAGGGTGACATGGAGGAGGTCGTGCGAGGAGGAAATGAGAGCTTGTGGGCTGTCGTGAAACCAGGTTCGAAAGATCTCAGAGAACAGAGGTCACTGGAGACGTGCTACTGAAGCCCTATGTTCCACTAGGAACCCAAGGGACTAATAATAATAATAATATAATAACGAATAAAGATCATACCATACAACTCAGAGGTTAAAACGCACTTTAAGAATGAATAACACAAACAACTTAATCAACATCATTCATTCAAATATATAAAAGGTTGAATACGGCATAGGTCTTTCAGATCTTATTTACTTTGTATATTCAATACTCCTAATAAGAGTCCTGATAGATTCATGGTTTAAATCGAGAAAAAAAAAAGTGTTTAGTAGAATGGAGAAGTGAATACCAAAGACTCTTTAAATAAATCAAAATTACAAATTCAGTATAAAAAGGAATTAATATTTACCGATTGCTTGTCTCATCATTGGTGACAGTCGATTCGTGTAATACTGCCGCTGTATCAGTAGCAGCTTCAGTGACAGCATACAAAATATCCCATTCAGCACTGAATGAAACACAGAGAGAAATTAAAAAAGACAAACTTATTGAAAAGATAAGATTCAATACATCTGAAAGTACACTTTTTTAACCGAATATTGGATGTACGCCTTACTATTCTGAATCTATTAAAAAGCATGTTTGATTGCAGCCAAGTTCATAATTGTACAACATACTTTAAGTTCCATGTAAAATAAAGAGAAAATACTAGGCGAACATTTAGGTCGAGCAAAGTATCTTCTACATGATTCCCACCACCACAAAATACATACTCGACAGTAAAATAAAAATCGAATCCCAGTACATTGACAATACAGCGTTAAAATATATATATATGCTGTTGTGATAATTAATACTATATTAGGCATTATGTAAATATGCTAGGCTTCATTGAATAACACTATTAGTCTAAGGTGAAAATTGACCATGACCTAAAAAGTGAGGAAATTCAATTAGATTTCATTTTCGCGTTTACGGACATTTCCCTTCTACATGGAGTTGTTATCTCTGACGTACACTTACAAATAGCTTCTATCAGCACGTAAAATAAAATTTCTAAACCCTTTCTGCTAGTTATAGTAATCTTCAAGATGTCATTCATTCAGTTAAGTATTTGAGTGTCAAGAAACGGGTTTAAATCCCATCCCATCTACCACGATTCGAACACTCAGGTAGTATCATAAATCTTCAAACAATAAGTTTGGCTTATAGCCTGATGAACTGGTTTATTGTAATGTCAAGAAAACTGCTAGTCACTTCATCTAAGATTTAGCCTACTACATCACTGAAATATGAAATTACACAACTTTCCTACAGAAATGTAACTTCTGTAACAAAAAATTATTGAGAAAAATATTAACGATTCACCTGTCTGTTGAATCATTTGTCGTACAATAAGAACTTCTGATTAAAAATACAAGATGAAGAGTCATGGATAAACCCACTAGAATAAAACAACTAGATGATAAATTTTCATGAAACCTAGACTATAACGACTAAACCCATTTAATCCACGTGAATGATAGTTCTCAAACTTAAAGTCAACTGGTATCATGAGAGAGAACTTCTATTCAGCTGAGTTATAATGACTAGATTTTCGTTGTTAAATACTAGGCTGAACCACTGACTACCATTCCCAAGTCAATACTTCACATAGAATAGAATAGATGCCAGAGCATCACATTCACACTTTGAAGGCAGTTATATACCATCCCAGTGCCACAAAAGATGTAGGTTGGAGAACAACTTGCCTAAAATAACAAAATGGAATAACTAGATACGAACTCCTTAATGTAATATATGAATTTAGATAGTGTAGGATAGTATAATTCCATGTTGAATAACTTTATTCGATATGATACACAGTGAAACAGCACCATCTGCTGGATTTCGCTTTTTTTAGCACTATTTATTGCTTATACTTATATCATATCCATGATTATGAATATGAACTCATATCATCAGTATTTCCATGTTGATCCAATACCAAATCCACGAGTATTTCACTAGCTCAAAACAACTACAAATGCTCAAGTTAAAATACTTTGGAAAAAATGCATTTAATCGACTAAAATGGGACAAACTTCTCTGAATCCTCAGCATTTCCATCTCCCCTTAACTGAAGCAAACACTGTTGGCGGGTTAATCCACTTTCAGCCAATGATTTTACACCCATAAGATGGGCGAGAAGATTATCTAAAATATAAATGATTCCATTAGCAAATAAAACAATGCAATTAAAAGAGAAAAGAGGGTACATTGTCAAAAATACTTCCTTTTTTAGTTTAACCGAAAAATCCTAGGTTCCTTAGAATAAAGAGCCTGATTTCTCTTCGCTATTGCTAATGAATGTTGCACTCTTCAAAGTTGTGTATCACTGGTCTAGGTGATCGACTTTTAACTAGTGGGTCAAAGGTTCGAACCCCCCTCCATGCACCGAGGTTTGTAACTTCAGGCAGCATTACTAACCTGTACACAATAGATATGGCTCACTGAGTACTATAAAAACGTATTCGGTTTCTAGGTTATACAAATTTTTCGCTGATTTTTGTTACGCACTTCGTTCAAGATATAACCGACTGACAAAACTAACAGCAGAACCTCGAACACGGGTGCACTGATTCATGTTACCACAATTCACAGTAGTGCACAGAGAACAGGTGGATAGAAAAAGTGATATCGAAGTGGACAAAATTATATGAGAGAACAAGCAGTTTGAAGATAAAGGTTAGTCTGAATATTCAAGCTTTAGAAGACATCAAAGAGTGAATACATCTGCACCATTGTGACTGATTTTCAACCATGTCATCAAGATCCCTCAACCACTGATTCCTTTCATCTCGGGGACTCCAGCTAGGTAGTCTACATCTCCTCACACAATTCACATCAACAATCATGGATTTCATGGGCTTTTGTCACGTTCCTGTCTAGTCATCCTCAACCTTCTTCCCACCTCATCCAACTTCCCCTAGTATTGCACGTCTATGTAGATGGTGGATTGATCGGTATGCGCAACACATGTCCAAGCCATCTCAGTCGACTAAAGTTCACAACCTCATCACTCGACTTGACTGCCTTGCCTAGTATCCTTCGCCTGACGTCAGCATTGTTTACACGGTGATCCCAGCAAACGTCAGCAATGTTGTGAAGACACCTATGATCGAAACCCTATAATTGCTTCATGTCTTCTACTTTTAACGACGATATCTCACAGGTGTATAACAGAACAGATCGGACTGTAGTGCAGTATACTCGTCCTTTGATAGATAGTTGGATATCTCACCGGCGCCACAGGTGACGCAAGTCGGCGAATGCCAAACAGGCTTTCTGTTTCCAACTTATCTTGTTTTAACTTTAATCTCACTAAATAGTTTGCATCCCTGAAATTATATATCTTTAATCAACTAACTGATTTAAGGAGAAATGATTGATTTTAAAGTTGTTTTTCTTATAAAATTGACATCAATATGAGATTTGTTGTTAAACGTCTATCGATCCACGATACAACGTGATCAAAATATAATTTCATCGGTGAGTGTATTTATCATCAAACCAGATTGGCTGACTTCACAGGTAACGACTTTGATCAGAATTCTGAAGTGAGATGCGAAAGAGAATCGTATTATCTTTCAATTGATTGATTTGCTTGTTTTGATACAGAAAATCGAATAATTACCAAACAGACTAAACACAGCATAATTGCTTGTATTATACCGTCGTTGATTGGACCGAATTCATCGGTTTCTATTGACATATGGACTCCTATACGGATGCCCCGATATTACCTGTGTTTTAATTATAGTGATGATAGATGACTATCGTGGCTTGGTGATCTAGTGGATAACACTCTGGCGCTTGAAGTGATCGGTCCCGAGTTCAAATCCCGATGGGAACAACATCACTCACTGGGAGGCAGGTACATCCAGCTGACGAGTCCCAAATGGAACGAAATGTGCATCCTGAACTCTACTGCCAGCCACTATCTATCATTACTAGATTAAACATAGTTGGTAGATACGCAGACGATATTCAACGATTAAAGACACTTCCAAAGTACCGCCGAAGTTTCTTTTATTTCAGTTATTACGATTAATGCAAAAAATAATCAGGTTCAAGTTTACTGACTGTTGATCAGCTAAATAACTAGATTAGGAAATGTGAATAAAAAAAGCTTCGATTAGTGAAGAATTCAAACTTCAGAGCAGATGGTTATCAGTAACAAATTGATTTGTGAACTCTAAACACACTTACCAACAGCTTGGTCTACTGAGATGGGATTCATTGCAGTCGGAATCAAGGAAGGAAACGAAGTCTAAAACAAAAAAACCCAGAAAGATTTTAAATATCACTAGTTGAATAACACTTTATTTGAAAACAACAAGTTTATTACGAACAGAATACTACTTATTTTGTACCAAATGCAGTTAGTTACCTGTAAACTAATGCTACTACTACCACTAGCCACAGCCTTATTCTGTACTTCTTTTGTTTCTTCTGTTTGTAATGAACCATTGAAAGAACTACTACCATTTTCACTTTGAAGTAAAGAAATATTTTTTGGCTGATTGTGTAAACGAGAGGAAAGACCAGTTCTACGACGAAATCCAGCTTGGCGAATGAGACGACTACCATTTCTGAAGATAAAATGAAAAAAGAGTGTGTTGAACCCAGAGGAAGTGATTAATTTTAAAAACTAATCATCATCTCATATGAATGAAAATCAAAATATATCTGTACGATGGATACAGCTTTCTTATTGGATCACAATAAAGAAGACATTGAAATCGAAATGACCCAGTGGATAATAATAAATACGCTAACGATAATAACGTGATGAGACACTTGGACTAGATTCGAATAGCAACTGTTCTCCTTCAGAAACTTATACTTCACTGAGCCGCCTTGTGACTATATAAAAGACTCTTTATTGGATAAAAACACATTATTTATATAAAAAATTTTAATCAATATATAAAACCACTACGTTACAACTTGGATACTTATTTTGATTGGTCAATTGTAGGACAAAATTGTCCAATATGATTTTTTCTGACCACACAGTAACATGAAAGAAAGCTTTGAACCAAAAACTTCTACCTTACTGGCTGATGACTTAGAATGCTTATTTAGATTTACGCCGTTTCCTATCAGTAATTTTTCAAACATTTTAGACACATAATACCGCATACTTTAACCATAGTTAGATGTATTCATGAAATATGGTTAATTGCATGCATTTCTTAAATTTTCAGAAGAAAACCTCTTTTAGTTAACCGAAAAAGTATGGGACTATAAAAGTTAAAGTGCATTCAGCATTCGACTGAGGTAATATTATGTAGACTTACTACCCTTAGACTTCCACATATATTTTAAGATGGAAACTGATTGTAGTAGATTGTTTTGTAATTACAGATAAACGGGAAAGGAACTGAACAGATAGATAAAGCCAACATCGAACCTCGCATACACATGCATCGATTCATGTTGCCACAACTCACAATAGTATACAAAAAGCAGGTGGATAGAAAAAGTGATATCAAAGTAGACAAAATTGTGAGAGAAAAAGCAGTTTGAGGATAAAGGTTAACTCAAATATTCAATTCTTAGAAGACGCCACAGAATGAATATATCTGCATTATTGTGACCGAGTTTCGGTCATGTCACCAAGAGTCTTCAGCCACTGAAGAAATACCACTTTTTGTACATTAAGAAATGAAAATAACCTTAAAAAACCCCGTTTTCCGACTTAGCGTTACATCTGACCGACCAGACGATCCTCGATGAATAAGCATATGATCTATCACAATTACAAGACGGTGGGTTAGTACACCATGCCTCATTCTGCTTCAGCACTGATGAAATCATATCTTCATAACATGACACCCCACTTAGTATGAATCATGATAAGCAGATGCAAATGCTCGCATTCTGATTGGTTCTAGATTGCTTGAAAGAACAATGTATCAATATATCTATACGTAATCATCATGATTGGTCGCACTGACCACACCTAAGATTCTGTGTTCCCAACACCCCCATTACAAAATTGTACATAGGTCCCTTAGCGGGTTACAAATCAGAATGTTACTACCTGGCTATCCAAACCTTGGCAAATGTAGTAAGTTCCAGACACGTGACATCCAGGTTGAAAGTCGACTGCTGACCTCAATGAATAACAAATTTAACATTGTACAACTGATAACACCTGAGTCAGGGGTTCGGCTACCTTCCAATACCCATCCACTGCAGAAGAACAGGTCTACTTTTGTAAATCTCACCTCAATACTATATTCGTTTATTTGTCTTTTGTTAACATGAAAGGACTACACTTATCACATCAATGTCCCTGACATTCTAGGTCAAATAATAATAATAATAACAATATATTCGTGCAAATACAAGCCCAAACCAGTTTACAGACATGACTAACACTTTTGGCTGGTTAAACTTTATTGTTCAAAGATAATCAGCAGGTTTATATAAGTAAAACTAATGTACGGAACAGAATAAGATAATGGATATCTACACATATCAGTTTTTCACGAGGATGAACTTTACTCATATTTTGCTTTGTTGGAAACAATTCATTTTAAATACAGAAAGAGATGATAACATGAACACCATATAATTTACCAAAACCAAAAATTCTCTAACTAATTGTGTCTTATAAGTTCAAAACAGGAGAATATCTATATCATGATAATAGTTTGATTGAAGTTTAAAGTAGAAATTTATTAAATCCTACTTATGAGATAATAAATAAATATGAGTGCAAAATGAAAAGGGGCAATAGGTAGTTTAGTATACTTAAACAGCGTAATGAGAAGACGAAGATTATCTGAAACATGTTGTGATGTATTAACGCTATACATTTCGAACAATCTGATCACACATGGACTTGTCGAACTATTTATATGATAATTTACGAAAAGGTTAGTGAAGTTAATAGGAAACATAGGAATAGGAAGGGATAGAAAAGGAAAACCTTATTCTTGGTATGAAAATTAAAATCACTTTATAAGAGATATGTTGATGATATAGTCATTATATGTGAATAGCCTGATGATGCAATATGCCTGCTACAGAAAATGAACACGGCTCAGAATCACATTAGCCTGACTTATGAACAAGAGACGAACAACCAGCTACCGTTCCTAGACGTATTGCTCAGTCGACGGGAAGATGGCTCGATCAGGAGATCGATCTATAAGAAACCTACATGGACAGGGCAATATCTTAATTTCCATAGCTATTGTCCAGTCCAATACAAACGTGGTTTAGTCAGATGCTTATTCAACAGGATAAACCGTATCTGCACCGATGACACCAGGGAGGAAGAAGCCAACTTACTTACAGAATGGATACCCGTTGAGATTTATCGACCGGTGCAAAAGTTATGTACCATTGAAAAGTATACAGTGTTCCGTTGCTAAGAAAAATGTCTACATCTCATTACCATTTAGAGGTGATTCACATAGCTTTGTTGTGAGGAAAAGACTTAGATCGGCCATCTGTAAAACATGTCATGCAGCGAAGGTCATCATTGTAGAGAAGACAAAGACCATGTTACAGCACAAACCGAAACAACATATAAACGATTACATCACATCCCACTGTGTTTATCAATTTACATGTATGTGTGGACACACATATATAGGGAGGAGTAATCGTGATATGCAGTTAGGGAAGGCTGAACATGTACCTAAGTGGTTACAAAACAAATGACCTCAACAGATCCGATAAGTGCAGGTGACAAACATCCATCTTCGTCTATCGCTAAACATATACTAGAAACTAACCATAGGATAGACATGAAAACAGCCTTTAAAGTACTACATAAAAGTGGTCAGAGCCGAGTGCTTAAATTTATTGAAGCTCTTGCCATCCGTAAATTTAAACCCCCTTTATGTATATAAAAACAATTCGTACTCACGTTGAACCTACCTTGGTAGTATTGATTTTAATTTTCATACCAAGAATAAGGTTTTCCTTTTCTATCCCTTCCTATTCCTATGTTTCTCACTAACTTCATTGACCTTTTCGTAAATTTTCATATAAATAGTTCGACAAGTCCATGTGTGATCAGATTGTTCGAAATGTATAGCGCTAATACATCACATGTTTCAGATAATCTTCGTCTTCTCATTACGCTGTTTAAAGTTATCAAATGGACCAATTGCTTTAAGTTTAGTATACGATTTACTACCTAACTTACAGAAGCGTAAGTGATCGCGAGTAATGCTTAGAACTAAGTATGAGTATAAAGACTGCAGAACTTGTAAAATATGAATGTTTTTTTTCTTCGAATAAACAGCTTACAATCAGCACAATAGTAACAGTTTGACTGCATAGAAGGTTCATCGGGATGTGCAATCACCAGTAAACATACCATTACAATGTTGTGTAATAATTTTTGAATGTTCGAGAATGGAACATTCACTTCTGTACTTGCTGACTTAGTGACGAATGAAGAGAAATGTAGTTTTGTAATACAATCCATTAAAGTTAAATGGTAGATCAAAAATAGAAATTGAAAGTGAAAAAAATAAATAAATAAACGAATCGATAATTGTGTCTAGTTTGATGAATGCTCCTAATATCCTCTAAATGTAACAATTGATGAATGAATTCAGTGAGTAAACAAAAGACCATATTTCGAAACTATTTAGCTTATAGGTATAATTTTCAGTATCAGAAGAATTTCAATCGATATTCTAACATCTCTATGGAAGCAACACCGAATGTAGAAATCAACAACGTATGTTCAAAACTTGAACAGATCGAGAACTCCTTTGAATGTCCAGATACATTTTGTCGAGTGCTAAACAGTATAATGTTTTGGCTAACACTCATATTTATATAACATTAGAACCAGTGGTACGCATACAATAAAATTAAATTTTGCAGTTATTTTTAATGTTTTGAAAATTAAAAAAAAGTCGCATAAGAAAACAACAACAACAACAACAGGAGGTAAACAAAACATCATCATTTGTTTATCCATATTCAAATATCAATTATTATTTTTCCGTTGTGAATAATTACCTTGTTTCAATAACAGGCAATTTATTATGATCATTAGGAATCTTATCCACATTTGATAATTCCAAGGGATGATGTTTTGCTTGTTCAAATGGTTGAAAGTTATCATCAGTAGAAACAGCATTGACCAACGGGTCAGAAGCTGAATAATTTTCGGCATTCTGTCCATTCTTTTCTAAACATTCATCTTTTTGTTCACTTAAAGCTGAAAGGTGATCAGGTAAAAAGGAACAAAAAAGTATCTTCAAAAAAAATTTTTGTACATATTTTGGAAGAAATTCTAACAGATTAGTAATTATAAGTTTTTCACATTAGGTTTATCAAAAAACTGACGTACTCTGAACCACTTGGTAGGTAGTAATGACGTTCAAATGAAAAGTATGTAGAAATTGATTATTAGAAGATTTGACGACTTAACAGGCTACTAGTGTGAACTAATCCATTTCAATAATTATCCAACCACAGAAAAACAGTTATCTAGCTAACAAGAATGAAGTTACTGACCACAGTTACAGTCCCAATAGGGGTCCAGCAGTTTGACCCTGTATCGCAACAGGAAGTTACACGTATCAAACAACAATAAATGATACCCGATGCACAAGTGGTGGCTCTCGTGCCCCCAGTGGATAACCCTTTGGTGTTTGAAGCGATAGATATTAGATTCGAATCCCGGTGAGAACAGCACTCACTGGGGTCAAGGTACATCCAGTTGACGAGTACCAAATGGGATGAAAGATGCGACCTGGATTCCATTGCAAGTCACTAATATGAATATTATAGTCCACAACTTTATCACAACGTGATGTTGTTGATACTTCTCCCCCTACCCCACCCATAATATCCACACTAATCGATTATTTATCCCAGCAATTCACTTGACTCACCACCCAAGTATGCCCATATTTTTTTAAAGAGAAAGACCACTTAGCAGTAATTCTAGTATTCATTATCTAAGCATTAAAACGCAGTGTGAACAGTAATACAATACTATCTACCCTACTACTTATAATTATATCATAAGGTGTTGATCATAGAAGTATCTCATTATGGCTACTACTACTACTAATTACAATAATTCAAACCAAATATTAGTTCCAATGTCTAGCACGCATAACTTCATTAAGGTCATTTATTTTAAATTATGTTAAAATTACCATGATAGAGTAACAATGCATCGAAACTTCTCTTAAAGTAAACAATATAGAGCAATTATATATGTATATATACTAAACATACACAAAATGGGTCTCAATTTAGTAAGGGATATCAAATTCAATAGTCTCAACAACAACAAAAAAGCCAAAATTGATTTTGTATGATAATTCATCGATATAATAGCTGATCCAACTCAAAATCTGACTGATTGTATCAACAAGAAGTCGATTACAATCATGATTCAATAACTCTAAATAAGTTTTAGAAAGCAATACAAAGTTACAGCGAAAAGAACTAAAATACACAAGAAAAGATAGTTATTCACGCTTTCGGACCGAATTGATACATCTCTGTTGGTATACTGGCTCCTTAAACAGGTGTCTTGATGTTGCCTTAAGTTTCATTTCCAGTGTATTTCTTTGGTGATGGATAGCAATGGAATCCAGGACAAATGTTTTGTCTTGTTTGAGTAAAGACTACCACAAAGTAGGTGTGAATCATTGCCTAGAGCATGAACGTTGATATTTTCTTGATTCCAGCCAGCGACTCACAATTCAGAATAGATACCAGGACCATCGAGTCTTGTGGTGAGCATGCTACCGGTCAATCATTCAATGACAGCATTGACAAACAAACTACTGTACTTCTGCTTTCTGCCTTGTATTTCATTTTAAACCAATCTAGACCTTTGGACTTCTACATGATTGAATAGACAATGGTAAAAAATGTATTCCAGGATGCAGGATTTCATCGTATGATGAATGTATGGTGAAAAATAAATCCACATTAAATCAAAATATTGGATACAAAAAGCAACAAAAACCAAACAAGTCAGCTGACTTTTTAAAACAAGGTGTAACATTTCAGTAAGTGTATAAAACAAACCTGATTTATTAGTAGTGGAATGAGTTTCTTCGAGAATACACCATTCCTTAGTGTTATTTTCCACATTATTCTGTATATCGACACCTTTATTTACTTGTTGGCCCTCTAATATAACTGCCTCAACCACGTCAGACCCGATAGAAGCATGTAGATTACCTCTAGGAGCTTGAATACTGTTCATTTCCGGTGTGTGTAAGCGAAGTGGAGAAATATCAGTCACAGCTGAGGAAGATGATCCAGTTGATTGTTGACGTAAGCGAATAGCTCCACCTGGTAGACGGACGAGTTGACGGTGGTAGGGAGTGAGTGGATTTAGTGCCTAAGCAAGGATTAAACGCAATTAAGACGGAAACAATACATAAAAGTGTGATAACACTAACGACAATAGTAATAGTGATAATAATAACCATAATAAATAGTCACGTAGAAAGGTAAAATATAAAGAAACTCTAAAGTGAAACCGATACGAAGTTAAAAAGATATGAACTATTGTTACGTAAATAAATTGCATGTATCACCTGTAAGCGTTTTACACCGTCGAAGAAGAGGAGTTCCAAAATACCACATTCTCAACATTTTTTGAAAGAATATCACCATGAGACAGTGATTGACTGTATTATAAACAGTTTAGTAGTGACTTCGTGATATATTCACAACTTCCAAATAGGCGTAAAGATGTTCCAACTCACTCCTTTACTTCAGTCGCGGATAAATGGTTAGCTGGTACATGACAATTTGTCCACTTAAACACAAACAGGGGACGTAAGCATCAAGAAATATACCACATAACATAATGCAACACTACGAAGACAGAAACAAAAAGAGGTGAAAGAAGAAAAAGAAGAGTGAACAGACAGTCGGATCGATTTGACGATTTCAGAAAGAATAGCATTCCATTTGTTTCATTTTGTAAGGAGAAGACAAGAAAACCGAAAGTCGGCAGTCAGTGGTTCCGGTTCTGAACGACCGTATCTCATATAATCTCAAGCTACTGAGTTGCATAATCTTTCTAACGCATTTAAGAACGCTTAATTCAACATAACCATCTTTCATCTCAAAACATCATGTCATACAATGACCACTTATCTGCTTTTTCAACCAATCCAAAGGTTAGCAAACAATGAACGGTTTGAGAGTCACTGAGATGACATTCATGACATGTTCATATCACTAAAGCCGGTGTTTGGAGATGAATGACGATCCCAACCACAACCAAACACATGGGGTCCCACTTCAGAATTACTTACATGGCGTTGCTATCAGATCCTAGCAATCCTTCAGATACAATAGTTATTGAAAACACAGTCGTTAGAAACCCTCGGTTCGAAGAGGTCAAGTTCCACATCCCTACAGCAGGACTGCCAGCACCGATGCATCGTACACCCAATCTTTTACAGCCCGACTAACACCATGACGATATCAAAGGTGAGGGAGATTAGTGCACATATTTATGGTGCTCGATATACGGTTAGAAATTTCATCCCCTGTGCCTTGAATAGTACTCACATAACCACCAAAATACATGCACTTTTCAAGTACTTTCACAGATTTTCCGGAAAGGATGAGTGTAGAAATACACTTGTCAATCTTCTTGAGGTAATTTACACTTCGTCGGTGCACAGCACGTACCACATAATTTTGGGCGTTGATTGAAAATTGGTGGGATGTGGTTTCAGTAGCTTGACTGACTTAATCATTTTTCAATTAATGAGTCCGTTTCAAACTCGCCTTCACATAATGAGGTATGCGTGCACAAGTAGTACCACCAGGCATCACAATATATGGCTGACTGTCTAGCATACAGAGCTATATGGAGTTGTTCAGCTGCCTTATATGCTTACCCACAATGGTAGCATTTTTTAAGAAAAAACGAAAATAGCTACAGAATAGATTGTTTTATGAATCTAGCACAAACAACGCAATTGGAAAACGGCAAGTGAACATTAAACTTGCCATAAATGTATGGTATCTTAAGGAATATATCATAACAAGTGAGCATATCCTTTGGGTAACGGAGTCATGTTCATATGCGAGGACACCTAGTGAACTAAACTACAATTTACCAGTAAATATGCAAAACACGTCCGACCTCTGATTATTGTTCTTAAACAAAAGGAGACAAACATATCGAAGTTATTCGAGTGACTGTGTCACACCACTATGTTAATGTGCATGTTTCTGCTCCACATTCATGTTATAGACTAAACAAATAACCAAGAGAATCACAGCTACACAGATATGACATATAATCCTAGTTATTAACCAATACACTATACTTCCCTAATATTGACACTCCAACAGGTCGTATAACGCAACTACTGAAACTCACTGTGGAATTATAACGTAGACTGTGGGAACGCCATTCTCTTGGTAGTGGACGAGGACAAAACTTCAGAGTAGCCAATGAAAAATCATTAAACGTAACCATATCTCCATGCTGACGTCGAGAATTAGATCGCGTAAGTCTATGATGATTGGTGTTTCTAAAACACTGACGCCAGAAGAAAATGGTCTCGGTGAGTGAAAACTCGGTACAATAGGGAATGCTGTTTCGGCCAGTTGGAGCTAAGCAGGTTACGGTTCTACTTTGTTGATTCCAGTCCATGAGTAGAGCACGTCTGTGAAGCTGTGATAGGACATAGTCAATAGAATAAATACAATTAGTCAAAGATACATTGTTTCCAATTATAGACTATTGAATTATGAAACATGAACAAATACTACACCTCACACAGGTAGACCTTTCAAATGAAGTTAGTTCCTGATGGATAAAAAGCATTTTAGTAACCAGTTTCATTACTTCTCCCCAACTAAGACCCCATCTTTATGGCTTCGAAATACAAACCAATGACAGAAAAGACCATATTCGAAAGCTAACACTGAGTAATTTATATGATGGTCAAAAATTAGGCTACCCTATGGCTAATTTAGTTATTTGATCAGTGAAATTTATTTATTTAACTTTACGAATGCTGACGTGTAATTCAATCCTTAACCATGTTTATCCTGCGTGACATTTAGTGTACGAGTAATTCATTTCACTTGATATTAAATTTCCTTGCTAATCGTTAGGATTCTAATATCAGCACAGTTCAAGGTTGTGTATAGTACGGTTTTATGAGCAGAATATGGTCTTCAAGCTAATAAGTAACGTGTCGTTCAACAAATCAACAGGTACAAGACCCTTGTTAGGCGGTAAAATTTTCAACCAAACCTTTTACTATCAAATGAATATACAACAGGAGAGTCCGACTAAGTTGAAAAGTTATGCAAACATTGTGCCGACTTATCTGTAGTGAAAACTTACTAGGTTCCGCAATATATACTGAATCTGGTCAGTTTCTAGGAATCAAAACAGTTCAAGATTCTGTATTCAAGTATATGAACTTCAGAAATGTGAACTGATAAAGTTAAGTGCTGAAGTGAGAGGCCACAGAAGTGTATAATAAGACTAGCGTGTCACCTTAAATTAGAGGACCTCCTTATTTGGTGTGGGAGCCAATTGTGATAACTCCAATTACCTGCATAACGACGGTCTCAGATGTCTGATAACGAGTAAGAAATAAATTGAATTTTACAAATACATGTGTCAATTGGTTTGCACCTCGCATCCCATTTAACTCTCATTTTTAAAAACGAATACACCTTTATTATATGGTATTACAGACTAACCTGAGATCTACTTTTCATGCGAGACAATGGTGATGTGTGGGACGCTGTTGGATGCAAGTCCAATGTTTCCAGGTCTTTTTCTGATGCAGTGAACCGTGAAACGGGTATAGGGGGAAGTCGACTCACGTCCCATTTAAGCTGATTTATAATACGCTTACACTGTTCAATTTCTGTACGCACTGAACTGGACCTCACAAGAGAAGGACCAGGCAGAGAGGTGCACGAAATAGGACACTCACCACTTGGCAGCTTTTCTAAAGGATTCACAGTTTCTGAAACTGACTGATCGAATTTCAAACCAGGAATACGACCAGTTTGGTCGTAAAAAGTCAGCAATCGTTGGATTTCATTTGTATTTTTCACTTGGAAAGACGAAAAGATGATTTTAGGAAACCTTTACTAAAAATTCTTAACTGACGTTAATACTTAGGAGGGAAACACAAAGATAACCGTGAAAAATTATGAATAATGAAGTTTTCATTATGAGCATACTGTTAAGAATGAGAGTACACAGAATCTGAACATTTTCTGAGGCTACAACATGCACAGATTAGATAGCTATCGACTTATTCACTTGGAAACTATTAAAAAAGTATTAAAAGAAACAGCAAGTCGATGGGAACCCGCGGAATAACGGAAAATAACTTATTCATATTTGGGTACGGTTACTTTGAACTAGGTGTGCTAATATAGAGCTTTTAATGGTCTATATTGCACTTTTGTTTAACTACGCTAGGAGGTGCTAGCAAGCAAAGAAAATTCAAGTCATTGTTCCGAAAAAGCAGATGTTGCCGTTACAACTACCTTGGCCCGATTCGTGGTTCACAAATTTCTCAGCATCCTAACCTATGTAACCCAGTTTTCAAATTCCCTACTGTAGGCATCCCTTCATACCTATAAGCTGAAACAATTTTGTCACACTCTCTTAACCTATTTTCTTCCCTAACATTAGTAATATTCCATAAAGCTATCATTCTTCAAATTATCTTTCTTTGTTTATTGCACCCTACTTCCATACATATCCTCCTATTGCTTTATCAAACGACCACTTTGCACTATTCATTACGTAGGCCGAATAATCGTTTAGATAAATTAATTTGAATTGAATTTCAGTAATAATTGAATCTGACAATAATGTTCACACAAGACTTCACTGAAGAGAGTTTCTCAACTGTATAACATCAAAAACCTATAAAAAGAAATCCTATTATTATTATTACTGTTACATTATTATTATTATTGTTAGTCCCTTGGGTTCCTAACGAAACATAAGGCTTTAGTAATACGTCTCCACTGCACTCTCTTCTCTGAAATCTTTTGAACCTGGATCTACGACAACCCACAAGCACTCATTTCTTCCTCACACCATCTCCTCCATGTCACCCTCAACAACGACGCACAACTCGTCGCTTCCCATCTAGGTTCCACTCGAGTAACTGGCCTGGTGCGTGATGTCCCCACTCGGCCTCCTCAAGGTATCCCCAATCCATCTCCACTTCCTTCCAGTGCATATTTGTTGAGCGATAGGTTCTTGGTTGGTTCGTTCCCAGAGCTCCTCGTTGCTCATTCTTACTAATCTCGCCATCTCATCTCATCTCATCTCAGTAGCGAGTGAGCGTAGGCAGCTGTTGATGAATGTCTGTAGTTTGTTGGAAATCCCTACAGTGACGCGCTATGTCTCTCAACCATACAGAAGCACTGACTTGACTGACGTTGGTGTTGAAAATCCGCATCTTGTTTCACATGCTGAGAGGAGTACAGTAGATCTCCACACTGGTTCCAGGCTAATGAACGCCTGCCTGTCTTGCTGTCTTTCCGATCCTGGCTGACTTTAACATCCTCGTCTGTGCCGCCACCTGTAGTTGAAACAGTGCTGTCTAGATAGATGGAGGAGGCTACTTCCTTTAGGTTTCTCCCGTTGATGGTGATTGGAGTTTGTTGTTGGTGGTGGTGGGGTATCCTCATCACCTCTGTCTTCTCCACGTTCACTTAAATTCCCGTCTCCGCTGTACTGCCTCTTCTGTGAACCTGTTAGTTTTCGCCTGTAGATCTTCTAGTTTGTGCGACATCAGACACAGGTCATCGGCGAAATCCAAGTCTTCTAGGTTCTTTTCCCCGATTCAGCGTATCCCCCTCTTCTCACAGCTCCTCACTGTTTGTTGCATGATCCAGTCAACCACTATCAGGAATATCATGGGGAATAGTATAGTAGGCACCCTTGTTTTACTCCTGTCTTCACTTCACTTCAAAGGCATCACTGAGCTTCCCATTGTGAATTACTTGGCTTGTGGTGTCTTCATATACTTGTTGAATGAGGTAGATAAAGGTTTGTGGAATTCCGTAGTGTTGTAGCAGTTTCCAAATTACTTCTCGGTCGACGCTGTCAAAGGCCTTCTCAAAGTCGATAAAGCTGGGGTAGAGAGTTGACTGCCATTCTATACTCTGTTCTATGATGATGCTTAGTGTAGCGTTGCAATTTTGTCTGCACATGATTTGTACTTCCTGAAACCAGCCAGCCTGTTCCGGTCGTAGCTTTGAATCCAGCGCATTCTTTAGCCTCTCCAGGATGATGCGGCTTAATATTTTGCTTGGGATGGGCAGGAGAGTGATTCCGTGTCAGTTCTTGAAAACACTGAGGTCTCCCTTCTTCGGGAGTTTGACAAGATAACCCTTCTTCCAATTGCCAGGTACCTTCCCTTCCTTCCAGACCTTCTGCAATAGTGGTGTCAGCATGTCCGCAAATCCTAATATTGTTGACGCAAAATTACATAGTATGGAAATATAACTGTAGGACCTGAAAAGGTTATCGAAAAAGGATGTTTTTTATTCATTGAAATGGCTTTTGTATTATGTTTAAAATTTATACGAACTTTCCTTAATTTAGGAAATCTTACTATCAGTTATACATTAGGTAACTATCTAATAATTATCATCATATTTGGTAACTCAGTGAAACACCTGCATCCTAGTGAGTGTCGGTTCTTCTATCCAAACTCAAATTTAATACTAATCATTCTAAATATGAATACTATCCACTGAAATATCAGGATTAGTTAGTTCAGACAGACCTAACTGATGATTTACGAGTAGAAAAAAAGCATATCCTGTCTCCAACTGTTAGTTGCTACCGAATATTTAACAAAACTTTGATCACATCTAATATCATTGCCTTTTCGGAAGTTCGTGTGCCAACGAAGAACGATCACTTCACAGTCATAATGATACCTAATGTCAGGAATCAAATAAACAAAAACTAGTGTGAAATTGTACTCTTGTAACTAGTGGTTCATGGGTTGTAATGGAATGACATGATCCAAATGAGTAGTTTTAGAGTGGCAAATTACTTTTTATTAAAAATCAAACAACCACATACAAGCTAACCAAACGTACTCTCAGTAATGAACTAAACGCAACAAGATTTTGCCCTGAAGTTTTCTATGATATAGGATAATCAAAAAAGGGTAAAATCGGATTACTGGTAGCACATACCTGCAGTTTCGGAAAACTGTTTTCTGACAGGAGCTTGTCTTGCATGTCTCCCAATGAATGATCTCCTTAATGGTGTATTAACATAGATAGATCTAGGTGTCCTCGGGTTAACACTGCGACTGAAATCAAATCTTTTTTGTTCCTGAGAAGTCAAGGAGACTGCACATGGTAGTGACAAAACAACAGTCTCCAAGTGGTCTGAATCTTTACTATCTTCACACATAGAAGGCACCGGATAGTCAACATCTAAAGAGTTCAGCTTGTTCTTTACAGAATTTTGTTCTTCACCAACTACAGGCAAATCTCGAGGTGAGGCAGAACAATCACTTGAAACACAAATCGAATCTTCAGAGACTTGGAGAAGTGACAAGATGGACTGCTCACCATGCAGTGGAGGAATAGGAAAGGTAACAGAATCAGTGAAGCTGTCCGCAAATCCAAGATCTGGCTTCAAATCATTTTCAGATATACAAATCCCGTTCTCCTTTAGTACGCATCCACTTTGATTGCTATTGGTGACAATTAAGTCACTACCAGCGAGAGGACAAACATCACGTTTTGAATTATCTGTTAACTCTATGAGAAAACAATAGATACGGACATCACTGTCATTGGTTTAAAAATAGGAATGAATCAATTTGTGTAATTCAATGTATTATTTTCAGTTTTCAAAAGACACTGTTAAGCATCACAGCTTAATATCAAGTATGCTGACCTTCATATTGTGCACTATCAAATTTAGAAAAAAACTCGTCTGCTGCTTTCCCGAAGATTTAAAAATCGTAACATGCTAAAACAGATTCAAAACTGTTATCGGTCTTAGTGTAAACTTTAAACTAAGAGTGTATATCAGCAGCTGCTTATGATACTGTCAGTCATGGTTCATCCAACTAAAAAACTTGCACCTATGTGCATCATCTAAGCATATTGTTACCCGAACAGCAGGACAAAAAAAATGAAAGAAGTATAGCGATTACAAGTTTCATACAGTCAACAACTATTAAAGGGTCCACATCAGTTATGAAATAATAATGTATAAGTCCTCAAGCGAAAGTAATACTTGGCTGCCGTTCTAAAATTTGTTCACACATCAAGGAAATATGTGAACAAATTTTAGAACGGCAGCTAAATATTACTGTCGCCTGAGGACTTATATTATTATTTCATAACTGATCTTTGAGTATGGTTTACCAAACCAAGTCTGGATTAGATTTTTCAGCTTACTTTATCTTCATTTTAGGAAGCTTTGTACATGCGTACCTGAAAATTCGCTATATGAAACATTAAAGCTATGCAAGAAAAAAAGTAATGCAGACATACGTCACGGAAAGATCAAAATACATGCAGTCAAGGTGATATATTAAAAAAGCCGTTAATTTTGTATTCCATACTAGAAATAGAAAATACGGTACAACTGAAGTATGATCGGAGATTTCCAATGAGCCAAATCCAATGAAGTCTACAGTCACTGAGCTTCATGAACTTCTGAACATCACTCAAGGAGTCGTCATGCACCAAAACATGCTGACGTAGTACATAGTTTTACGCTGCCGCACTATAAGCTAACCACATGTCTTTTCCAACCACCTCCTAGAATCAGGATATTCTGGACAGAATGAAAAACGCTGGATAAGCACTAATGAAACGTAACTGACTAAGACCTACGTTTGAAGATGACATCCGTAATTAAATGACAACCATCATCATGCTGAAATACCTTCCCAATTCTTAGGATTACTTACATGGTATTTTCAACAGTGATAACACACCTGAGACAAGCGATCGAAAAGGCCCAGTTGCAGGATATCTCCCATACAGAAAAAATATCTGCGAAGAGGCATCGTACACCAAAACTTTTGCAGTCACACCACTAGAGTGACAGGACTAAAAGTAACCATAACCGTCTAGCAGTTAACAGAAGCTCATGAATAGAGAGTACGATTAAGTAAGAGAGGTTTTAGGTCTGACTGACAATATTTTTGCGGGTTTTTAACTTTACTCAGATCTTAGAACAGAGGAATGCTTAACAGAACCAAACACTAGCTGCAGCTCTTGATGTGGTGGTATCTGACCTTGTTGACTAAAGGTACTACCGTGGTTACTAATTGAAAGAACTGTCTGATATGTAAGTCGCCTTTACAAAGATTTACCAACTTTTCATTGTCATGTCAGGGCCTACAGTGAACTTTCCATTCAGTGAGGTCCACCAAGAAAATCCACTACCATTTGTTGTTGAACTTAGAGATAAGGCCCGCTCCACTGACTATTTGGGAACTGAACTCCTCATAGGAGTTTCGGTAAATAAGTTGGTGTATGCTCATATGTCCCTGTCAAATGAATACGCTGACAACCAACACTTAGGTTAGAATGGATTTCTTAATTTCCAAATGCAAGTTGTTGCTTCAGGACTAAGGTGCATCGTTTTTCCATTCACAACAAAAATCGAAGGGAATTGCAGTACTGACCATCCAGCCTGCTCAGAAGTGAAATCAGTTTTCGTCAGACATTCGTCGGCAAAATTCTAATGCATAAAAAGAATTTTATGGGCTTTCGCTTTACTCACTACAACCTAAACTACGAGGTAACTTTTCCACAATAAGTGACTCAACCTAGTACGTAAATCTCCCTCGGGTTGGTTTGCTTTAACTTTAAGTGGCTCTTGTTAGTTTGAGCCTCTGGAACATCAGGCTGCTTGCCAACATAATGAATCGATAAACAAAGCATCGTCTCTGAAAAGTTTATGGTGTCTTAAAAAAATGTTAGCTGACACAAATTCCCAATGTGCTCTACAACATCTGTACAAATGAGTGAGGAATTTATACATCTAGTCCGGAATACTGTTTGGAAGGAGTGTGACCAACCCCAAGAAAAGACTTACCAGCTAGCTGTATCCCAGCTTGTCCAATGCGCCGGCACCTGTCTTCGATTTCACTAACGTTTGAGAAATCCTCTTGATCACTACCACGAATATCTGTGTGGTGTTGACTTGACAGCCTTAAGTACATCACAACTATTTTTAAAGCTTACTCTGCATTCAAATACGAGCTTTTTGCTTCTTGACTGTCAATAACGACGGGATCACTCTTATCAAGAAGATCATGAAGTCTCCATATTACAAGCTTTACTGCAAGAACAAACGAGCCAACTGAAAGACTGTAAATAACTGCAGTAATGTGAGATTTTTCTGAAATCTAGAAAGTAATTAAGACTCCAGAAACTTACCATAAACAGAACCAGAGGAACAACGAATAAGATAATCCACGCATAAACATGCACAAGGTTTGAGAAGTGAGTTTGGGATGCATCCAGATAGAACCCACCGGTTAGAGAGGCTATGATACCTTCTTTGAATATGACAGGTATCATATGCAACCTCATCCTTTCACATCATTATCTAAAGGGGTGTCTAACTCAGTCCTACGGACGACCTTCATCCAGGTGACCCGAAAATTAACGAACGCCTAGCGGTCCAATATCCAATATCTTTCAACGAGCTAATCCAATATTGATAGTGCGAGCGTAGAAAACTGGTAGTTTTTGATCTCACGCGTCTAGTTCTTAGGGCTTGGTTCCGGTTGTTCGGTTCACTCCTGTGCTTCCTTGCTTTTAGCTTCGGTGAGGTGGATGTTTTGTGGGTTAGTAGGTTGTAATTTGTAGAGTGATTAGGGAGCTACGGGTTGCTGGGAGGTTTAGGGAACTGCCGTGACTCCTGTCTGTGTAGGTACCTGAAAGAGAGTAGTAAGGTAGTGGTAAAGGAATGAAGAGAGAATCAAGAAGAGAGTGAAGTAGCACCGTAGAGACTCTGGGAGCTGGGTTAAGGCCGTATCGCTAACCATCCTTGCCTTTAAACAGGAGTTTACGTAGATAGCCACTCCCCCTCCTGCTCTATGTTCCCTGTCCCTGCGGAAGAGTTCCATGCCAGCAACACGCATCTCTTCGTCGGAGATGTCCGGCGAGAGCCAGGATTCGGTGATGAATATGACGTCGGAGTGCTGATGTTCACGCAGCGTCCTCATTTCTGCTACCTTCCCTCTTAGCCCCCTAACGTTGCTGTACATACATATTAGAGTGTGCCTGATGAGAGGGGAGGTCTGGATGTGTATTTTCGCGGGATGAGCGCTTACGTGGTTGATTTAGCCTCGCCAGTCCTCATAGGACTGGCATTGTTCCGTTTTTTTGTGTTTTGTTCTTAACTTGGGTGGGGGCTGTGGAGGTGGTGGCTTCTTTACTTGATGTATCTAACTCACTGGTCAGTGCCTGTGTGACGACCACTGACTCCAGAGGTCTTGGTGGTTGCCGTCTCTCCTCTTGCCTTGTGGGTCTAGGCTTACTTTCACATATACGTATTGAGCCACCCATGAGATCTTTCGCATTATACCATGCGTGCAGAACGTCTGTGAGGGAGGCATATGAGTCGAACTGGACGGCGAGTAGTCTGGGATTGGGTATGGTCTTCAGATGCTCTGGTCTTGGCAGTCTACTGACGCTGTTGGCCGGTATACTGTTGAGACCAACTTTGGTTGAGAGCCATCGCCGTTGCTGGACGTCGTGAAAGTACCGATCTTTGACCGAGCTGTCATTTGGCAATTCTGGAATCCCTTTGTACAACTATAGTGTTGTTTCTGTTGGGATTTCCAACCGCTGACTTTCTCTCCTCCTCTCTTATTGACCATGGCTTGTCAGGCCTGGCCGGAATTTTACAGGCATTAACAACTTCCGGTCGTCGCGAGAGGAGTGTGTCTTCAGCCTCGGTATTTAGGGACACACGTAAAGGGGGTGGCTTATCTCGGGGTGCACGGCTTCCTCGAGAAAGGCGATTCGGTGATTCGGTTTACTCCTGCAGTGGAGGAAATCCCCTCCGCTTTCTCGTTTTAAGCCTCAGTGAAGTGGATGTTTTGTGGGTTAGTAAACTGTAGTTTGTAGAGTGATTGGGGAGCTATGGGTTGCTGGGACGGTTAGAAGACTACCGTGACTCCTGTCTGTGTGGGTACCAGGAAGAGAATAGAAAGGTTGTGGCAAAAGTATGAGGAAGAAAAAGAAAGAGAAGAGAAAAAGGAGAAGAAAGGAGGGGTGAAGAGAAAAGAGGGAGAAAAGTATGTGGGAGTTGCGCGAACGGTAGCGTGGGCGTAGTTCCTATGGGACAATTAGTAGGCAACGTGGGTGTATTAAGCGGGATGGTGAGTAGTGGGTGGAAGGGAGGTGGGGGTGGGCTAGTGAGGATGGTGACTCCCTGAGTACGTGCGTAGTAGACTATGTCAGGTGACATAACTGTATAACCGTCTCTTGAATGAGTCAACTGAGGGAGCTATAACTATATGTCGCTGTATGGCAATCCATAAAGCACATCCTCTCAAGAGGGGAAATTGGAGCTGAGTATGGTGCTGGCTCCTGATATGCCATCTTGATGGGGTTTACTCGTGAGGACCGCTGTGTTGCAGACAAGGTTGACATGTCTGCGTGGTTTACCTTAAAGGCCATAATAAGATCATTCCCTTCCCACGCTAACCCAAGGTGAATAGGTTTAGGTACTTAGGCCTTTCAGGATATGTCTTTCCCCTTAGCCTCACAACTGATTCTGTTGCATCTTTGTATTTTTGAAGGAGATTAGAGTCTCTCTTGAGTGTTGGAGGAGCCACCGTACTGAAGACCTCTAGATGTGGCCGCACATAGGATTTGAAAACTGTGAGGAAGAGTCCGAGGATGAGGGCGCCAAGCTGTCTACGCAGAAAGAGCAGGGTGGCGTTCGCTCTGGTTGCCATATCTTTGCGGTCGGAGCTGGTGTTCAAGGTGATAGCACGGTTGCTCAAAATGTAATGGAAGTCGATCGTACTTGCTTCATGTTAACCGATGTGTATTACTTTGCACTTTTCCAGGTTGAAGCCCAAGCATTTTCCGACGACCAGAGTTCGAGTTGCTGCAGGTCTTCTTGTTCTGCTGTTCAGACAGCTTCTTCGTTTACTACCCCCCAAATGTTGATGTCGTCAGTGAAGAGGAGGATGGGTGAGAATATTTTGTCTGGCAGATCGTTGACAAACAAGAGGAACGGGAGTGGTCCTAGGATTGCTCCTTGGGATACTCCTGACGTCGAGGGCCTCCACTCCGACCGTATTCTGTTTACTTTGGTGCAGAACTGCCTCCCTTCCAAGTACTCCTTGAACCAAGAGGGTGGGGGTTTACTTACACCAGCTGACGTGATCTTGTGAAGCAGGACTGTGGGTAGGACACCGTCAAGTGGTTTGGCTAGGTCGAGAAAAACAACATGTGCCGGTTCCCTGTTATCCCAGCTCGGTGTCCAGTCGTCTCGGGCGGTTAGTAAGCTGGCGGCACATGAACGGCCACTCCGAAAACAATGATCAGCAGTGTGCACAGTGTTTTCCGTATTGGGGAATCCCTAGATAGTATCAGCTACCAGACCTTCCAACATTTCCTTCACAATATGGAGTAGAGCAATTAGCCTGAAGCTGCCAGGGCTTTTTCTGCCTCCTCCCTTGAAGATAGGTGACAAGACGGGGCTCTCCCATTCTTTAGTGAGTCTGCATGACTCTACTGAGTGCTTGAAGAGGTTGCAAATTGGTTTTGCAAGCACCTCGGCACATTTTCTTAGACCATTGGTTTTCGGTAACTTCAGCCAGGGGACTTGCCCGGACGTAGCCTAGGTAGTTTGCCTAACACGTTTTTCTCTGTGGTTGAGATGTGGAAGATGTGCTCCTTATTTATTCGGTCGAGAGCCGCTGCCATCGTCGGACGTCGTGGAAGTACCGATCTTCAGCCAAGCGGTCGCCTGGCAGTTCTGGAATCCCACTGTCCTGATTTCCAACCGCTGATTTTCTTTCCTCCTCTCCTATTGGCCAAGGCTTGTCAGTCCTGGCCCGAACTTCCCGGGCATTAACAGCTTCCGGGTTTCGCGAGAGAAGTAGTGTGTCCTTGGCCTCCTTGGCAGTGGTCAAGGGCATATGTAAACGGGGTGGCTTATCTCGGGGTGCCCGGCTTCCGTAAGAAGAGTGACACAGTGGTACAGGGAAGGGGTATTCCAAGCATCTGACAGTAGTCGGTCCTTATTCGGTCGTCAAACCGTTCCCTCTCGATCAACAGTGAGTCTGTGGACACATAAACGTTGAACAAGGTGGTCGAGTTAGCCCTCCTGCGACTCGCATCCGTTGTACGTGGCACGCCCAACTTCCCGATGGCTATTTCTACTAGTCGTTTCTCGGTTACTGTCTGGGATGTTTGGGGTGGGTTTCGTAGACAGCCTAGCGGTCCGTGTCCTCAGCCGTGCGCTCGACGTTCTCTGAGGTTGAGTAGGGAGTGTGGAGACTCAGCCCAGAGTGGTGCCCCGAGTGGTGGCGTGCACGCAGCCGGAGGTCTAGTTCTGTCTCCAGGCCCATGTGTTATCCTGCAATGCTAACCCAATTTTATTCGAGGACGTTGGTAGCTTTTGCAAGGCGGAGAGCACCCCTTTCACGCTTTCCGTGTAGAGTGCGGGTAGCTCCGTGCATTCCGGATAAATGGGACAGAACCATCTGCAGACTTCTCTCTTCATCAGCTTATAGTATTGCCGGGGGACTTTGACGTCGCAGTGACAATGCACCCATCGCTGACATAGGTTGCATGCAAATACCCCATCAACTACCGAAACAACTTTAGTGCAAACACTGCAGCCATCGGGTGTTGTAATACAGCCTTCTTCCCATGAAGAAAGTGCTACGGATTGTGGCGAACCGCCTGTGGCTGCCTTATCATTAAGCCTCACACGCTGTTTCTCTGTTCAGGCATAGTCTGGTCTTCGCCTGAGATAGACCAGTTTATGACGTGCTAGCGCTACTCTGTGTCACCTGTCTGATGGCGACCAGAATTCTAGGAACACAAGTTGGCCGCTTCTTTAGAAGTTCGGTGTTCTAGTCTACCCCGTTTGTCTGTGTGTACAGATTGGAGCGTTGTTTCAAGTGTCATCGTCGCTTTCTGTGCGCGACTGCATCATCCGTCTTGAAGCTTCGAATCTAGCACTTTGGACAGACATTCCACTATTATATAAACTTCTTGAGAAAACATATTTAACTGCAGTAGAGAGGTTGACGACTGAGTGAAGTAAAAGGATAGAATATATAAAGGAAGACAATCTGTGTTGGCTTGCCTTCAGATACCTGTCACTTGCTCCACTGCTCTGACCAAGCAGTTTGACCGTAGGTTCCGGATGTGTATGTAGAACTGGGAAAAATGTCTCCTGGGGAAGGAGTTTCGAAGAGAACCGGGAGCTAAGGCAGTTTGGCAGTTGAGACACCTAAGAACCACTGACAAGAGGGAGATTGGTCGGTTGAAAAAAGAATAATGCCAATTTTCAACTGTTGAGAAATGAGTTGACGAATACGCATCCGTTGAGT